CAAAAATTGAGTAAAAACGGAATACTAATAAGGAAGTTATGATTTTTTTTTAATGTATGAACAACTGTGGAACTTAGATAATCACTACACAAATTGTCAATTTGGTTATCAGTTTGTGACGCCATTGCCTCATTTTATATTATATTTATCCCATTGAATTTCCTTTTTATCCCTTAACTTGATTCCCCCATGCCTTTGCTCAAGTTATATAATTCATATTGCGTGCATCATGCATGACATTTCACTAAATCTGTTATGAACTTTGAAGAAATGATACTATTTTTTTAATATTGTATATTCATAAATGTTGATTTATATATAAATAGTTTATTAAAATTCACATTTTTCATGATTTAACTGAAAAAAGCACTCTATATTAGTGCATCCACACAAAAACATATTACTATCAATATAACCTGGATCCTGGTGTGAGGAAATATAATTTTGAGGGGGAAAATTCGAAATGTATGTTATTAATATAAAGAAAACAATAAGTAGATAGTGAGGCAATGACGTCACAGACTCATGAGTGAGTTGCAATTTGTCTTGTTATTTTTTTTTCTTTTTCAAGTCATTAAAAATGCATAACTTATTAGTCACCGGTATCTGATTTTGCTCAAACCTTTTTTCATTGGTTTGTCTGATTTTCCTTCTTCTATTGAAATAAAAATTATATTTGGAGTGGACTTGCCCTTTAAGCATCATACTGTGCAGGGGCGGGTCTAGGGGGTCCGGCGGTTTAAACCACCCCCACCCCCCCCCCCCCTTGGGCGACCAAGTGAAAAAAGGGGGAAGAAAGGAAAAAGGGGGAGAAGGAAAATAAGTAAAACGGCGCCATTTTTTGGAAAATCCTGGATCCGCCACTGGGTCGAACCCCCCTCCCACCCCCCCCCCCCCCCCCCCCTTGGCAAAAAGCTAGATCCGCCCCTGCTGTGCAGTTGGGTGTAATGGTCTGAATATCTTTTTTAAAGATTTGTGAGGTCGCAGTGCGAAAAATTACATCTCATAAAGAGGAAAAAACAATCCTAATCACGAAAAACTGAAAAGATCTTTTATAAGATACAAATTATATTAATTTAAAATGCGAGCGGGCACAGCGAGCAAGCTTTGGGTAAAATTGGAAAAAGTTTATCTTAGGTCTAGAGCACATTTTGTGGTGAAAGAAAAAGGCCAGGACACAGTCATATCCAAAGTTAAAAAGAGAATTATTAGAAAAGAAAAAGAGCGCGTGTCAGAATTCGAACCTGAATTATCAGAGGTGAAAATGGGGCACTACTCGCATCTGATAAGGGGCACTCACCAGAGATGGAAAAAGGCACTTTTACGAGAACAAAAAAGGGCACTTATTACTTATGAAAAGAGGCAATCATCAGAAGGAAAATGGCACTAATTAAAAAGTATAGGGGCATGTGTCCAAATTAAAGGGCACTTATTACAAAGTTAAAGGGGGCACCTCTCAAAGATTTGAAAAGAGGCAATTATAAGAGGTGAAGGGGCACTTATCATAGGTGGTAAGGGGGCATTTCTTGTATCTAAGATGCAAACTTTCAGCACTTCAAAAAACTTGTTCCTCCCTATTATATAATTACAATGCTGCCTCGAAACCAAATAGACGCTCTATTTTTAACACTTTCTTAATACTGTGAAAACCTGTACAATATAGCCAAAGAAAGCAAAGTGACAATGCTTTCATCTTTATCAAGGGGTGGGATTGGGGCAACATATAGTTATTGTTCCCATCGCAGTAAAGCAATCGGCTTGAAAATGCTCTAACATGGAAAGTTTTACCATTCCAAAACCTTTTTTTTTTTCAATCCCACTTGGTTGCTATATAATACGATCCCTTATAAAGTCACATTGTACATGTACATCAGTGTTGGGCTCAAGATCTGGTCATTCAAGATAGAGATCAAGATTAAGATGATGATGATGATGATGATGATGATGATGATGATTCACAGCATTTGTGTGGCGCCATAATGTTTCAAAAAACATTTAAAGGCGCGAGCTCCTCCAATAAATTTAGCATTTAAATATCTGAAAGAAGATGTGAGTTCAACACCTTCGAGATCAAGATCGAAAATATTCGAGATCAAGATAAATTTCTCCCGGAGGCACCAAATGTGACGGGGCAGATTTGTTCCTCCTTCGTGGGTAGGGGCGTCAATCAAAATAATTTATGCGCCCCCCCCCCCTTTACGAGACAATACACTATGAATATAACAGACAAAGAAAGCGGACAAAATATACAGTTCCTCAGGTAGACAAAGGAACATCCCTTCACTGCTATTATGTAAAAATGTGTAGAACAGGTGTCACATGCATATTCACCTGTTCTACACATTTTTACATAATGGCAGTGAAGGGATGTTCTTTTGTCTACCTGAGGAACTGTATATTTTGTCCGCTTTCTTTGTGAGTCATGTTCATAGTGATATCTCTCTAAAGGCTATTTGCTTTTTTTTCTGTCCTACCTCAAAAGACAATGATCAACGTCGATCACATTCTGATGCTCTAAAATACCGATGTTCAACTTTATTTCTCAGTGGTCGCGTGATGCTAAAAAGTAGAAACCCTGTTCTCCTGAAGTGCCAAAAGCGAGGGGCAGACATGTTCTGCGTTTCAAGTGAACGACTCACTCTTTTTGCCCATTCACAAGCCCACGGATTTCAGTAGAGCGATTATCTTTACATAGAGACGTAATGAGCTGTATAAATGCAATTGCAATATTCTCTATTTTCTCGTTTGCAGTAATCGAATGGACCGCCTCATTGGGTCCCTCCAAAGACAAAAGAATAATTACAGAAAATAACGTGAAGTGATTTTGTTGTTTAATAATGCTGACTCTTGCTCTATAATGCACAGTCTCAACTTTCCAAACTCAAATTTTCTCTTTCGCTCGCTCCATCTCAAGTTAATGAAAACATTGTTTTCTATACTTTAATCACAAGGTGATTACAAGGCCCCGGAATCGGGGAGGTTTGGGCAGGTGCTTCGATTATATTTTCCCCGTCTCATTTAGCAGGATAAAACTTAGTATGGCATCAAGAATTTTGCATTATAACCATTATATTTAGTGCTTGTTATACTACAGAAACACATTTTAGGTCCCTCGTAACGATATTGCATGTAATATTTTTTTTCAGTATTGATAAACATTTAAGTGCTCAAAATACAGTCATTACAATTTCAACATTGCACTTAGTCGCTACGCTCCCTAGCATTTCAATCGACAAAATTGTAACTGTATAAACTCGCCATAAACAGGGGGGATGATTCCTCAAATGAAGATGGTGTGACAAAAATAATAAATTTGTTTATTAGGTTATCATAAGAATATGGTCAACCTTATATGTTCATCATAATCTTGAAGTAGGCTGTTACATTTTCTTTAAAAGGGAAGTTTATCCTGATAATTATTATGTGGTATCAATAAGCAGAAAAATGCGAAAATCAGTGAAACCAAATTTCTTCTTCTTCTTTTCTTTTCTTATTCTTTTTATTTTTCTCTTACTAGGTCTTCTTCCTTTTCTCTTTTTTAAATTTTTATTCTTCTTGCTTTTTCTTCTTCCCCTTCTTCTCTTTCTTCTTCTTCTTTTTTCTTCTCATTCCTCTTCTATATACTTCATCTTCTTTTCTCCTTTTTCTTCTTCTTATTGTTTCTTTTTCTTCTCCTTCCTCATCCTCTTCTTCTTCTTCTTCTTCTTCTTCTTCTTCTTCTTCTTCTTCTTCTTCTACTTCTTCTTCTACTTCTCCTTCTTCTTCTTCTTCTTCTCCTTCTTCTTCTTCTTCTTCTTCTTTTTCTTCTTCTACTTCCTCTTCTTTTGCTTTTTCTTATTCCCCTCTTCCTCTCTTCCTCCTCTTTATCTAACAATGTCGAACCTTCTGAAAAGCTATCTGACAATTTTCTTATTATGGTTTAATAGTATACAAATAATGAATGGTTATGAGTTCAATAGTGCGAATATTTTCATGAGTTGAAAGATTAACATTCTATTCAACGAGGCGTCAGCCGAGTTGAATAGAATCAACGTTAATCTTTCAACGAATGAAAATATTTGCACTATTGAACGAATGAAAAACATTCATTATTTGTTTTATACAACATCGAAGAAGATCTAATAGAACGTTAATCAACAAATTATGCTTTACTCCTTATTTTAAAGATAAATTAAAGTTGGAGTCAAGCCTTCTCGATTACATTGAGATTGCCTTCGCGTCAGATACACGCAGGGATACGCGCGCGCACGACTGAGAGGTACGCAGTCTGCATATAACCAAAAATGCACGGCGCATATAACCAAAAATGCACGACCGTGCAATATACCATCTATTGAATATCATGTGACCAACAATCCTCCAATCAAATGACAAGGATCCACGTAGGTGTTGTATAAACAGAAATATTAAGGTCTCGTGCTGGGCTATCGGGTTACTATGAATATTGTTATTATTACGTTTCCTTCCCTCACAGACTGGGTTCGGAAGAGGGGGGGGGGGGGGGGGGGGGGTGTGTAAAGGGAAGGGGTGTATGAAGGTGTTATGTGTTTGTTTGACTATAATGTGTCTGTGCATGAAGGGTGAAAAGACGGGGTGTCTTTTCTTTTGTCTGTTTGGTGTGTGTGTTTTTGTTTTTTTTGGTTGTTGTTGTGAGTTTGTGTTGGTCGGTTGGTTTTGAATAATACTTCTCTATCTTGGGGGGGGGGGGGTAGTACTATGTTTGATTTAAATATTTTTAAAAAAATTATGTATATTTTGAATATTATTTTTCTGTATATGTTTTGGGTGAAAAAATAACATGTACAAATTTAATTTTGTCTTGTAACTGATGTAACTTCTGAATTTTTGATTTGTACTACTTCTGTTTGGAAAAAAAAGTCCCTATGTTTTCAGTAAGCAATATAATTATAGACTTTGTAAATACGTATCAACGCTGAATGTCCGTTTTGAAGTCACTGCTTCATTTTGAAATATTTTTCCCCGTGTTATTATTATGTAACAGGTCAGAATTGAACTGTTTTATAGTGAAACATATATATCTATTTCTAATCAATATCTCCTCAGGAGGAAAGTAAGAAGTTTATATGTTTACAAATTGTGTACTTCAAAGAAGTATGACTCACACATATTCCGAGTAGAAGCTATCAATTTGGCCAAAACAAGACATTCAACAGCTATGAGAGAGTTAATGATGTACGGTCACTTGGTCAAAGGTTAGTAACTCGACCCCCCCCCCCTTTCCAGAACACTTGTAGTAACTTAGCCAAACAAACCCCAGATTGTAAACATCGGATAAGAACCCCCAAAACAAAAGACTTCCTGTCTCCCTCCCAATAACAAGACCCTTTCCCAGAACAGGTTATGTGTGGTAGCTATACCACCGTGAGAGTGTAGCTGTTATAAAAGAAGGCAGAGGTATTTGACAGATTCACTCCTGTACTGCGCCCCATCCATGGGGCAGGCAGGGAGGTCGACTCTGCAAGCTTTTGGTGTAACATGTCATTATATAGGTAAGAAGATTATTCTTTTGTTAAGTTGGATAATTATTGAGATAATTAGTACTTTTGTAGATGTATTCTGATGTTAGTTAATAACCTTGGTATCGTTCTTAACGATATAGTTTGTGTTGAATTAATATGCATTATGTAAGGTGTGGCATATTATTTGTTTAATCATCAGTATAGGTTGATTTCGTTAGTGAGTTAAGCACTAGATTAGGATTTGGTAATAGTAATTTGAGATGATTTGAATATTACTATGTTATCCATTATATTACTTGTAATCTTTAGGAGTTTTAGTTATATAATGTGTTGTTGAGGTTAACTCCGGATAATCGTATTTTGCAAGACAGTTGTAATTAAAAGTAATGTTTTTTAAGAGTTAACAGTTTGCGGACATATAGTCTGAATCTTCTTCAGTTTTTTGTTGTGGAATATAATTTACAATGCAATTTGTATTAATTATTATTCCTTCAGGTGTTGACAAATTACAATCAACATGTAAGAAGCGGGAACGAGAGGAAACGGTCCTCTAGGCCAGATTGCCAGGGTGAGTGGGTTATCATATTCAATGTATAAACCACTAATTCAATGTAGTTTTAATTGGGAATTATGTTTGATTGTTTGACAAAGTTCACTTGATGGTTGTCTTCATTTATTTGTTGGGAAAGTTATCCATAACGATGGAAGAACTTTATTGATTAGATACTTGTTATTTTCATGCAATATTGATTAAGTTTTAATGAATGTAATATAAACAACATGTTTATCATTTATTATTATGAGTCGGCTTGACGTCATATTGTTGGAATGCGTATCTAAGGGTCAACAAATATTATGTTTATCGCTATTATGTGTGTTTTTCAAACATGTCCACATTTTTATTTAATTGTTTTAACTTTGTTTATTTGTCCAGGCTTTAGCTTTGGCTTTAGCTTACTTTAGCTTTGTTCACTTTGCACCTGAAATAAAAAGAACCGCAACACAACGGATGGTGTGATGTGTCGTAATTCTCTACCAGTTTCCGCGTGTGATCGGCGTTGTTACAATTAATTATACCAAAAGTGTATAGTAAACTCAATAATATTGACTCGTCTGCATGTTGAGCCGAAAGGGTGATAAATCTGCGTAAAATAACTAAAGGCCCATTCGAGGCAGTGGGAGTTTTCGGGGAGAGGGTGGGGGATTCGGCACACATTTTAAGCCCCCCCCCCCCCAAAAAAAAAGGGGGAAAAAAGATCATGAGTGAGTGTAGGCAAAGCGCATTATGAATGCAAGAGCTCCTAAGCCACCTCCACCTCCAAATAAAATATTTTTCTCTATAACCGCGCTCCTGCTTTTGGCTCTAAACGGAGTGTAAACAAAAAGTGTAAAAAATATGACTAATTAAAGAGAAGGGCTAAATTCCATCAATGTAGGATCTGAAATATACAAACACACAACTATATAAATCATGACGTATTGTTATTTTTAATTGGGGCGGACCACCTAATCAAAGCGCAATGCAAAGTCATTAACTTTTACATTAGCATTGGCATAGGATGGATCCAGGAACTTATATGAAAACGGCATGTTGGGGGGGGGGTGCACCGGTCGTACTTGGTGGATGACATGACATTAACAAGGGCCTTGTATAATGGAAATTGATTCAATCTTTTAGACTTCATAACCTCCCTTCCCACTCTCCCTTTCTCCGCTTTTATCGTTTACATCTCTTCCCCGGCACCTTCCCCCACCGGGTGCCCCGTAACTACGCCACCGTTGTATATTTTGACATAATTATCTATTATTTCGTTTTGTTGGCTGTTTCAGTAAATACAAATCATAACTTTAATATTAAGTATAGGTCTCTCGTAAAATAAAAACCCCCTATATATTTCGCATAAAACATTTAACGGTTCCAATAAAACTTTGTACTGAGTTTATCTTGTTATGGTTGATAACATTACCTTAAGATTTGGTCCAGGGTTTTCAGACTTTGGGGCATGTGCACCACCCATCGGGGCACGCGGCAAGCGTATTGGTGGGAGGGGGGGGGGGGGGTAAAGTACAATGTCCTTGAATTTTACTGTTATGTGTTGAGTTGATTCATCTTGAATGTAGTATAAAGGATCTGAAGTGGACCTTGGTGTCAGGGGTAGAGCCCGGGGGGGGGGGGGGCGTGCAGAGCCAATGATGATCCAAGTCTCAGCCTAAAGAAAAACACCATTTGCAGGGACGGTGCATGAAGGGGGGGGGGCGGTGATGCACCTTCCGCTTTTCCCATCTTTTCTTGATTTGTATTTTCATTATTTGTATTTGATCCTATTTTCAGTATAGGTACCAACGGGAGGCCTACTCAATAACGATTAATTGTGAGCGAGAGGAGTAATCGAGTCAAAATTTGGGCCATAATTTCGGCTAGGTGTAAAAATGTCAGAGCCGTAAAATTGTCATGGGCACAACAAACATTTCGGGTAACAATCATGCCATTATAATATCTCAGCACTTTATCACGCAAAATTTCGAGACGATAATAGCTACTGCATGGGCTAGTCTATTTATATTCTCTTCTTTCATACCATAATGTATATTTTTAAAAAGACTGTGTGTTTTGTATTTCGTACATGTTCTGAGAATAATACAATGTGGAAAATAAATTTGAAACTTGCGTAGGCTATATGAATTTCTATAATTTTTTGGTATTTTTTTGGTATTTTAAATTGGTTGATTTATGATGTTTATTTGGTTTTGAGGAAGTAAGTAGATAGAATATTAAGATTAAATGAGATAAACTGGAATCAGTTATAAACATCGCACATAAACTCCACAAATTCAGTCATCAGACGCATCATGTTCATCCTAGCCGAAAGACCTATTATGACGAGAAACCATTAATTAAATTCACTTTAATTTTATTTCATTCAGTTAAAAAGATAACATTTACATATAACCGCAATCAGATGTATAACATAAAATACACAAACATATTGGACAAGGACATAAAATAAACTGAACAGGTTGCAACCTGAAAGGAAACATAATCCTCATTATAAAGGTTGATTTTTTTTCATAGATCTAGGATCATTGTAAACAAGTTCGTATGTTAGGCCTACCAAAATTCGGGAAAGTATCACTGTATTAAGTTTAAATTAATTCCTCACGATAAAAACTTTTCCAGCTAAGTAGGCTTACTGCATAATAATATGGAGCCATTTCAATTATGTTCTCATTGCTATCTGCGACATGGTTCGGTCAGAGTGAGGGGGAAGTCAATCCTGAGTAGGTTTTAATAGAAGCGGGAAATGATAGGGCAGGTCAGTGACAGTAATTTTGAGCAAAATCCAATTAAAATATGAAAGTTATACAATTTTTGAATCAATCACACACAATGTGCAACTCTGTGACGTATCTAGAAAGCTCCCCTCCCATTTGCTCTGCCATTACTAAAACATTTGAAAGTTTAATTTTTACCATAACGAAAATTGTCAGTCCTGCATGCACTGCCCGAAATATATTGTTGCCAGGCGCGTACGCAGGGGGGGGGGGGGGGGGGGGGTTTGGGGGGTTAAACCCCCCCCCCCCCTTTGGAAATTTTTTGTGTGTAAACCCCCCTAAAAAAAACCTAAAACCCCCCCCCCCCCCCCCCACCCCCCCCCCCCCCCCTTTGGATTTTTTTTTTTTTTTTAATTATTAAAAAAAAAGAAAAAAAAAAATTATTCCCATGGCCGACCTAAAATAGGTGACCTTACCCCCCCCCCAACGGAGCAAAATGTCAAATTTCCAAATTTCGAGACCAAAAAAAAAAAAAAAGTGTCCTCTTACCCCCCCCCCCCCCCCCCCCCCCCCCCCCCCCCCCCCCCCCCCCCCCCCCCCCCCCCCCCCCCCCCCCCCCCCCCCCCCCCGCTTATTCAGCGGCTGGCTGAGTCGTTGCGAAATTTTCGGACCGATTTATAAATGTTAAAACCCCCCCTTGAAAAAATCCTGCGTACGCGCCTGTTTGTTGCAATATGTTTTATACAACCTATGTCTGAAAAAAAAAAATCTATTCCTTCATTAATAACTAGGAAATTGAAAGTTAATGACTTTTTTTTGACAGATTGAGCAAATGGGAGGGTAGCCGTATGTGTCACAATTTGTATGCCAAGTGTGTGTTTGATTGATATAAACTTTTAAACTTTATACTTTTCTGTATAAAGGAGACAACCTTTTGATTGTTAATGGCAGGATTTTAGGGACACTATCTTCACAAAATAGTTTGTATTGTCTTCTTCTGCTTAGGTTTGAAATGTTAAGATTAAAGAATATCACTTATTTTCCTAATAAAAAGTGGCAATATATCGGGGAAAATATATTACGGATGTGAAAATTATTAGACCGTGTCACACAAACATTTCTTTAAATTCATGCGCATATATGTTGTGTGCAATCTATTTAAGAATTGAAATAAATTTTAAAATTCAACCTCAATTCATGCTAGTACTGTTTCACATGTTAGATAAGACTGGTGGAATAGAGAAGATTTGTTTTTCAATGAATACGGTACTAGATTATTGAGATGTGTAATGCCTGTAGTAGCCGCATCACTCACTATTTCAAAAAGTATGTTTGGGCGGGAAACAAATTAGGGACGCCATCTTGAGCGTCGGTACTCAAAAATCGTCTGGCTGATGTTTTCAAACGCAAAAAATCCATGTTTGGTGAAATTGTAGCTGCATCTTAAACGTTATATAACTTGATGTTGTGTATATGTATGGATATACACTCGGCATATCATATTGTGTAAGTAATATCCCGAAAGGAATGAAATTTTATCGTTATTTTCACATGATTTTCTGAGTGATTGGAAGGGTGCCGTATGTGTACTGTGCGGATATGTGTACAGTGTGTATGTGTAGTAAAGTGCGATTTGTCAATGAGAGTGGAGTGCAGTGTTCGTGTGTGTACTGTAGAGGCTAGAGCATAATGCACGCAATTTCTAATGCATGGTGGCGCCGTTGCTGCTGAAATGCAAAGGCGAAGATGAGAGATTTGGCGAAGACTGCGCCAAAATTTGATTTTAAAATAACTGTAAATCTTAGCTTTGTTACAATATGTAATATTTGAGAATCTCCTGGAAAGCTAATGGGTCACTTTTTGCAAAAATTCCCTACCAATTTGGTATATTTTGTTGGTAAATCACAACCGCATTCATGGCATTTCCTCTAGAAAATGAGAAAATACCATTGCATTGCCATTGGCAATCGGCCTACCACCACCAGATCAGTGTGAGTGAGACCATATTAATTCGCGCATGTCTTAATTTAGTTCGCTAGAAGATTTCGAAAATCTGATAATGATATCACCAATCCAAGGCCAATGGAAAGGTTTGCATTAAATTACCCAGAGTCAGAAATGGAATTTTCTCTGGAATTGAGTGTGAATTAAATTATGAAAAGAGATTGGCGTATTTTGCAGTTATTTGGCTTTTGTGTCCATTGCGAAAAATTATTATCAACCTACCGATAATGCCCTTATTAGTTAAGGGTCTGGAAATCTTCATTTTGAGGGCAGATATCCTCAAAAATACTAGGACTAGACTAGGAGAAGTGGTACCAGCTGATTGATTGTATAAACCCTGTGCGCGAAGAAATTTGTCATTGTTTTTATGACTTTTTTTAGTTGCAGCGCGCATGCCGATCCGACATCAAATTTTTAGATCGCGATATCTCTGGAATCCTTTGACAATAAATTTTCTAGTTGAACCAATTTGTAGTAAGAAAACTTTGCAGTCCATAGACCTCTAGATCTAAGGCTCTATCAATATCATGATATGATTTGGTTATTTTGGTAATTTTATTTTTTTATTTTTGCCGACTCCGTAGGCAGCAAGCCAGGTCCTGTGTATATATTAAGACGCACCCCCGACTGTCAATAAATTTGTGTAGAATAGGAGAAATCATAGATCAAAAATCACATTTTCTAATATTTTTCAAAATCTTCCGCTAACTTTGGTCACCCCTTCATAGTACTAGACCAGCTACAGTTGAGTTGTGATAATTGACAATTGATTAATATTATCCCCCATTTTAATCAATTTCCTACTAGGTACCGGTAAGAGACAACATACTTCTCTGTAAGGGCTGGAAGACAAACTTTTGAAGAGGAGCTGTAGCACCAGGAGGCGTCATGTTTTACGCACATTACGTGTTGAGTAAGAAGGGGCCCTTGGCCAAGATTTGGTTGGCAGCCCACTGGGACAAGAAACTGACTAAAGCTCATGTATTTGAAACTAACGTTTCATCATGTGTGGACAGCATCATTCATCCCAAAGTAAGTGAACACTTGACTTCTCATTTACTCAATTTAGGATGTAAATTTTACAAAACCAAAAGTATTTTGGTCTTATCTTAATATATATGGAATCAAGGGGGAAATGGTTTTTCTTCCATCATAGATAACTGTACATTATGGGTAACATCACTTACTAAGTTCCTTTTTTCTCAAGGCGTTTACTTCCATTCTTGATATCATTTCTATTAATCCACTATCATACATGCCAACTGTTCAGATTAAAGAGGAACATTCCTCTTTTTGGGAGAAGATAATTATCATTTTAAAGGTACTATGTCCCTTTTGCAGCCAACCTCAAATGCTGTAGAACTTTGCAGGAATTATGAATATGTCATGTATGTCCTATCTGTGAAATTTAAACGTTAGCAGTGTCCTCATATTCAAATTTTGCAAGGAAACCCGTTTACTTGCTAGACTTCACTGTCAGACACTATTGAGTGACTGACTGGCTTTTTTTCTTCTTTGGTAATAACATACATGAAAAGAGTTGTAAAAGGTACATGACTATTTGTCTACATCAATAACCCACTTCTTTTGATGGCCAAGATTAAACTGATTGAATCTTTGCGCAGCATAAAACGTATGACCATTCGGTACAATTGTCTGAAAATCAAGACTATTACTTTTGGGCTCTATAGCCCTAAAGTCGATTTGACAACTAATAGTCATTATTTTCCCACTTGAAGACATTTTCAAGCCCCACCTTTTTAGGGAAGTTCTAAATAAGTATTATCTTTCAAATGCAGTTGGAATTTAACTTTTTCATTTTTTTTTGCCTGCAAATGGGACATAGTACCTTTAATGCAGGTGTTCCTCTTCCTGTACAAATTTGTCTGTAGTATTGAATAGGAGAGTTAGGATTGTTCCTCTTTTTTTTTGAAAATAGCATAATTTGTACAGATTTCTGATTTTCAAATGTTGGCATGTATGCACTATGTTCGTTGTAACTAAAAGAAGAACTAATAAATGATATCAAGTACATTTCATTGACTGTAGTCACAGCAAAGAAAATACATTTTCAATTTAGATTTTAAAGCTTCAGAGCCGATGGTAGTGTGAAAATATATATACCAATTCATATACCAATTCAAACTGGGTATTTCAGTATGATGATGGAGTTTATCATATGAACATCTGGAAAGTGAACAAGCTGAATAAAACTCTGTTCATGTTCTCTCTGTTTGATTCTGTGGTAAATAACTGCTATTTTTGTTTTGCTTCAGGTCAAGATGGCTCTACGAACTTCAGGTCACTTGCTGCTTGGAGTCGTGAGAATCCACAGTAGGAAGGCAAAGTACCTCTTAGCTGACTGCAATGAAGCCTTTGTCAAGATCAAAATGGCCTTTAGGTAAGTAATCTTGACTCATAGAAGTTGTATGTTTCCTCTCGTGGTGTATACTATATACATCTCCACGGTTGTATTACAGTCACAGTTTTGTGCATTTTTCCGGCAGTAAATTTTTTTTGTAGTTTGTACAACTTTATTGAGTTGATAAGTATGTTTTCTCACCAGTCATCCTGCTTTTTTATTTTGTCAAATGGTAGATAAAACAATTTACTTTCTGTCAAAGAAAGGGGAAATATTTAAGTTGCCTTTTATACCCTTTTCACATCTATTTTTCTTAACCCCGGACTATCCTTAACCCCATACTATCCTTAACCCCATACTATTTTTTTTGCTGTTCACATCTATTTTCTTAACCCCGGACTATGTGCTTAGCCGGGTTAAGAAATTTCACGCGATTCACACTACGTTCGCCTTAGCCCCGGACTATTCGATAGCTCATGAATATTAATGCTTTTGCTACCGCGCAAAGCGTTTTCCCTTTATTATTTTACCAATACAAATCAATTACCCATTTTTCATCCAATTCACTTGATAAATTTACCTACGTAAATATGACTGATAATGATAAATGCAATAAAAAATTATGAGCTACATGTTCTTTCACTATTTTTTTAAATCAATTTTATAATAAAGATTTTTTTCATAATGACCTCTGCCTCGTAAAAGACTAAACGTCAATACAGAGAGCATGCATGCGTAACGTGAACTGCATGCATAGCGCGCGATAAATGCAAATTCACGACCACACGACCACGCTGTCTGTGATTGGCTGTTGCTTAGCCCCGCTTCTCCTTAGCCCGGTTCGGATTCACACTACGCAGCTTAGCACCACAATTGCCCGGCTAACCCCGCAATTGCCCGGCTAACCCTGCTATTTTGCAGGGCCAGATAGTCCCGTACTATTTGTGGGGTTAGCCCACTTTGGCAAAACGTAATGTGAACAGAAAGCCGGCTAAAATTACCCGGGTAATTGGTGGGGCTAAGGAAGGAATTGGTGGGGCTAAGAGCCCCCTTAGCCCCACCTATTTCCCGGGGTTAAGCAATATTTGGTAGATGTGAAAAGGGTATTATAGTGGAATTGGTTGTGTTTGTATCACTTTCAAATTACATGGTAAACAAATATTAAAAATGCTGGCAGAATGGTATAAAATAAGGAAGGCAAAGGCTAATATTTCTACTACTGTTATTATTAGTCATTGTGGTTTTCTGTTGTAAATTGTATTCTGATAGAAAGACAGCAGGACTCCCCCCCCCCCCCCCCCCCTACTCACATTTAATGTAGGATAACTGCAAATGTTACAAAAGTAATGTTGATCTGTTTTTGTAATATAATTTGCCTACTAGGCCTAATTTTAGTATTGAATGTTTGCAAATTACTGTATATATGTGTCACAAATTTGTCATCGTATATTTCTATCTTCATGCTTATTTCTCAGGCCTGGAGTTGTGGATTTACCCGAAGAGAACAGGGAAGCAGCCTTCACAGCCATCACATTGCCAGAGGTCTTTCATGACTTTGATACAGCTGTTCCAGACCTCAAGTAAGTAACTTCAGTGACACAGGGAAACAAATATTTTTTAAACAATTTCGGGGGCTACTTTTCAGCTTACTTGCATGCTTCGAATTCGATGCCAATTTTTTTTTTTTTTTTTTTTTTTTTTTTTTTTTTTTTTTTTTTGGGGGGGGGGGGTCTCTTTTCCCTGCAGTGACAGTACAAGAAAACGCACCATTTCTATCTACAATCTTGGAATTATCTATACATACATGTGTAAGTAAATATTTGCAGGCTGTCACCTCTCAACATGCTACACAGTTTAGCTATTGTTGCTGTTTGGCAGGATTTAACCAGGATTGCAAAATTTGGTGTCCTACAAAGAGGTTGCCCTACCCCCCCCCCCCCCCCCCCCCCCCCCCCCCCCCCCCAGCAAAAAGAATATATTTCGCATCTGCAAGAAATATGCATCTTTTGGATGCCTGTGCCCTGTGCACCTCTGACTAAACTCTGTAAAAGCCTGGTATGAGGTTGTATACAAACTTGCTCATACTTCTGAACACTATTTACAGTATTTAGGAGAAACAAAGAAATTTATAAAAACTTCTTATTTTGAAAGTGAATCCTATTTCAGTGAAAATTTGTGGATTTGAATGAATGCATTTTGGGACCCTCCTGCCCTTCACTCAAAACGAATGCTAATTTGTTTTTTGTCCTGTTTCAGTGATGCCGAGGTCCAGAAGCAGTTTGCCCTAAATCAGAGCAGAGTAGAGGAAATCACAATGAAAGAAGATCTTGGCAACATTACTCTCACACAAGATGATGCCTTTGGTAAGTTCAGTATAAGAAAGGTGAACAAGATTTTATTTCGGTATTCTTAAGCTGCTTGGTTATTGCAGGTTCTTTCAAGTGCCTGGCAGCCTCCGTGCTAATAGGAAACGCGAGTGTTTTCAGGGGGGGGGGATTGTAAATTTTCCCAGATGAGGGTAATAATCATGTCGATACATTCTTTGATCCTGCAAACTGCTTCTCAAACCATCCCCTTCTCAAACCATCCCCTTAAACGTCTGTCATGAAGTAGGACCAAGGGTACTCAATTTCCTTCTGAGAAATCTGGCACCACCATAATGTGGTGCCAGTGCCAGAATCATGTTTAAAATATTAATGATAGTTTACAAAGCTCTAAATGGTTAACCTAGTTATGTTACTGAATTGTTGAATATCAAGTCTCAAACTCATGGTTGTAACCTTCGTAGTACACAAGATACTGTACATTTATCTTGCAAATACCCCCATATAAAACCACAGTAACCCTCGGAGACCGGTTATTTCTTCGTGCTGCCCCTAGATTATGGAATAGATTACCACTAGAAATAAGGAAAGCCCCATCACTAGGAATTATTTAATCAAGACTGAAAAACTCACTTGTTCATGTAGGAGGTATAGCACAGCATTTACAAGCTCTTGCAGCGCAGTAGAATATATCCACATACAGAGCTGCCAAGTAGTACCAGCATATGCATAGTTTTGCTATTGCTTTGTGTTGGCGATTCCTGCAGCGCGCACGCATGTACATTGCACACAATACAGGGGATGTACACCACTAAAAGACGAGCGCATTTCCCCAGGCCATGCATACACACGCTAATGACATATCAGTGCACTGCACTACACACACAGTGTCAGTACAAGAAAGTCCCGATCTTACTTCCAAAAGCCAAATTTTGCTGTCAAAAATGCGGAATCAGGGCCATATTTCCAAAGCTCATGGGGGTTTAGCCCAGTTTTAAGAAACAGCTTCACCCAAAAAGCGCTAAAAATCAAGAAATAAGCTATTTTGTTACCAGTTTTTTCGCCTATCGCAAGCCCTTCGAGTGTGATGGTAATCATGGTATCTTCAAAAAGCCAAATGAAAAACGAACACCGGACCTGCTGATGCATTGACTTTATGTACAAAGTTGATTGCAATTCTAGACTTGCCTTGATTCGACCGCAATGAAGCACCAATAGGTGCCCCAACTTCGGCATAGAACATCATCGTGTGTTGCGCCGCAATTCAGTGGCCCTCGTACTCATTGACTTAAATTCTTATAGTTTTAAATAATGGATTTTTCTGATAAAGTAGGTAAATATATTTAACAAATCGTTTTTTTTTTTTGTATTAATTTTTTTTTTGTATTAATTTTTTTTTTAAGTGACAGGTCGGCAGCTCTCAATGATAGAAAGCGTTTTTATTCAAAAAAACATGATTGCAGTAGCATTTTATAGGGAAAAAAGTAAAACAGGCAAAATATGTTTTTTCACCTAAAAATATGGTTTTTCAAGCTGAATAATATGTTTTATGAAAGTGACAGGTTGGCAGCTCTGCACATACTGTAGTTATTGCGCTTTACAAATGAATGTTATTACTATTATTATTATTACTATGTCCATTCTTTGTGTAGGTGACATCACTTTTGATGACCGTGAGATGATGCGCGATGCTCCCAACATTGATGACTCCCTCTACAAGCGAGGCTCCGATGAGTCGACTATGCTGAGTGAGATGGATAACAGGAAAGACCAGACCATCGACAACACCATGGAGAAGCCCATGGACCTGGGTCTGGATGAACCTATCAGGGATGATGGCTTCGGAGCAGAGATGGGCATTGGAAGTGGTATCCTTGGTAAGATGATCCTCGTTATCTTTTATATTTTATTTTCCTATTCATCCCAGGTAATTTCATATAACCCGTTCTCAAAGTCACCATTAGTCTAAGTTCTTGGATGTTTTAAAGCCTGTCTGTACTAATTTGGCCAGGAGGGATTAGACCACCCATGGTGGTCAGTGACAGGTGGTTATCTCATCAACTCAGCTCTCAATTAACATAAGAAAAAGAGGATCATGGGGGATCAACTAGGCATTATTTTCTGCTACAAGTAGTACAGTGGGGCTTTAACTGAAGTACATGTTAATTCTCACGTTTCCATGGGATGTCCATGAATGCACACTTCTGTAGGTTTCAAGATTCTGCCCCCTCGACTCTACCTACTTTGGTCAACTAATGGAAAATAAAAACTACATTTGTTGACTCGCTTTGCACATACACATCACCTGTTGAAAGCAAGAAGGCCATTTACATAATGTGACTAACCCTGTAAGTTGGGGCTCTGATTGGATTGGAAGATCGGAGCGACACCCTCGCACCTTTGATCGGTATCGGATCGGAAGAGCGACAAAAAAAATCGGCCGATTTTTTTTTTTTTTTTTTTTTTTTTTTTTTTTTTTTTTTATGACGAAATTTTTCAAGTTTTTGGCTATCAAATGCTCAAAAAAAGTTCATGGCTGGGAATATTTTGTCATTTGGAGTTGTTGTAGACCATGTTTGTTGATATTTTGTGCCTTTTCATGACTTTGAAATTAATAATATTGGTCTAAGAGCAGAGGCAAAACATGCAGGCCGCCATCTTGGATTATAATGTAGGTTTTTTTTTTTTTTTTAATGACGAAAACTTTCAAGTTTTTGGCTATCAAATGCTCCAAAAAAGTTCATGGCTGGGATTATTTTATCATTTGGAGTTGTAGACCATGTTTGTTGATATTTAGTGCCTTTTCATGACTTTGAAATTAATAATATTGGTCTAAGAGCAGAGGCAAAACATGCAGGCCGCCATCTTGAATTATAATGTAGGTATGCATTATAATCCAAGATAGCGGCCCGCATGTTTTGCCTCTGCTCTTAGACCAATATTATTAATTTCAAAGTCATGAAAAAGCACTAAATATCAACAAACATGGTCTACAACAACTCCAAATGACAAAATAATCCCAGCCATGAACTTTTTTGGAGCATTTGATAGCCAAAGACTTGAAAATTTTCGTCCTTAAAAAAAAAAAAAAAAACCTACATTATAATCCAAGATGGCGGCCCGCATGTTTTGCCTCTGCTCTTAGACCAATATTATTAATTTCAAAGTCATAAAAAGGCACTAAATATCAAACTTGAAAATTTTCGTCATTATTAAAAAAAAAAAAAAAAAAAATCACTGATTTTTTTCCGATCATTTTAATTGATCGGCGATCGGTAATTTTTCCCCGATCACCCCTGATCGGATCGGTATCGGCGGCCGATCCGATGATCGTTTACAGGGTTAAATGTGACAGTATATGAGTGCGGCATTCTGGCTCCATGTAGACATAACCTGGGGTACATACATTAAATTATTTGGCAGTCAATGGTTTTGTCACAAAGCAGATACATAGCCTACTAGAAAGAAAGAAACCAAATATTGGTACTTACGCTGCGTTTGCAGACTCTCCTCCCAGTCATATCTTACATCTATCCTTTATATATTTATTTTATGTATATTACTTTGTCATTGTTTATCATTAATTTGATGCATAGAAAACTTCAAACAGGTGATTAATTCTTCTCTTACCTTGCTATGCACCTAAAAGAAATCCATCCAGGAATATGCAACTGGGTACACATATTGTCGGACCTTTTGTGCATGTCTTCCCCAATGTTATCAATCTCTCTCTCTCTCTCTCTCTCTCTCTCTCTCTCTCTCTCTCTCTCTCTCTCGAAGTGCCATTTCAAATGATTTTGGCGATCATGCTGTTCCACAACCCTCGGTTCCTATCCTTCTCTATTAGCACCACTCCCAGTTCTTTCACACTCTCTCTCTCTCTTCCAACAATTTTTGCTGACTGTCCATCCACAGTATCCTCCTTCTTTCCACAATTTTTCAATCAAACACTATATATAAACTGGATATTTTTTTTCTCTCTCTCTCCATCAGGCAATGAATTCATGGGACCTGAGGATGGCTTGTTTGATGAACAGCCAGAGATCCATGCTGGTGAGGTGCCCATTGGAGGTACTGCATCGGGTGAAAGCAGTCCAGAAAGGCCAAATGAAGAGGAGAAACAAATCAGAGGTAATACTAATTCAAACTTAATATTTCCATCTATTTAACTAAAAGTTATATCAAGAAGGTTCTGGGAATGTGACTAATTGAAAAGTATAGTTGATTTCCTGTGAAGGGTAGAAACAATTGGCCACCCTTCCAAGTAAATAAATAAAATTACATGTTATTAATGGTAAGTGCATAATAAAAGGAAAGTATCATTTTATATCAAGGGTCCACAAAGACATTAACTTGAGTTAACTTTCTTGCCAACCATTTTTTTTCTGCTTGAGTGTATGTTGTGTGATTTTATTGACTGGTATACTTTCAGCCTTCAAATGCCCCATATGAAGGCTGAGTAAAGTGTGTATGAGCATCCGTACGACAGATTATATGAACTCATGTTTTATTTTCCGTTACATTTTGCATAGGACAACCAATGGAGCAGGGCGAGGATGTTGCAGAACAACCAGCTGCAGATCAAACAACACTGGTACAAAATGATGAAGATGCATTTGCCCTAGAACCCATTGACATCTCGGGTAAGCATACATAGATATTAAGCAGAAAGTTGTTGGGAGCATTCAAAGTAACATAAGGATACAGGGTATTGCATCAATTTTAAGTTAGAATGCCAGCCAGGCAACACAGAGACAGTTGCCTGGGTTGTCAAATTCAGCATCTAGTGGTCACTGACCATGGAATTAGGACAAATCAATGTGAATTATTTCATTTGTTAATTTTTGGGGGGATCTCCTGTGCTAGAGAAGCAGGTATTGTTTGTTTTGCAAGAGGATTTTAGACTATAAGTTGTTCCTGGGCAACTGCAAATTATTTTGGCCTGGAAGGAATTTTATGATGTGTAAATCGTTAGGTTTGTAGATTGAAAAAATGTATTTGCTCTCAGTAATTGACAGATATATGGGATTTCAAAAATAATATGTGTCCATAGTTAATTTAATTCCCTTTTATTTTTACCAGCATTATGTAAATGGTTTCATACAATAAACCACTTTTGAGATACTATCTGTGAATGGGCAGATAAAGGTCATTTGTAAAAAAAACGAAAAAAAAAACGCTCTAAAACCCTTTGAGATGACTACTGGATTCATGTTCATGAGAGTTATGTAGTCATTCATTTATGCACCATCTTTACATTCTATGATACACAGGTAGAAGTATTCTTTTCAAGAGAGCAAACCAAAGAGTATTCATGAAGCACCTTTATCACTTTGGCAGTGATTATTCTAAAAAGCGCAAAGTAGGATGACTCCATGTGTCAAAGACCTTGGGATATTTGTACAAGTGTTCTCTCTGAAGTGGCTTATTCTTTCACCAGTAGTGTATATTATACAATGTATTATTCCATATGAAGTCATTAGAAGAATATCCAATACGATTTGATTTCTTCTTGCAGCTGGCATGAAAGAAACCAGACAGAGGCGCAAGAGGAAACTGATCGTCGACGAGCAGAAGGAGCTCCAGGGCGACATCATCAAATCGCAACTCAAGGACACGTCGGACATCGTGGCCACCCTAGACCTTGCCCCACCCACCAAGAAACTCATGCTGTGGAAGGAGACTGGTGGTGCCGAGAAGCTCTTCTGCTTGCCAGCACGGCAACACACGTCAATATTTATTCTATCTGTAAGTCTGGCTGGCTGGCATGCAATTTTCCTCTTTATGTCATTTCTAGATGGTGCATTTCCAATGATTGAATAGCCATAGTTAAATAGCACAGATGGAACACAGTGACCTTTAAAGCCCCACCGTACTACTTGTAGCTACTTGCTCCCTCTATATAGAAAACAATGCCTAAGCGGTGCCCGTTGGTCTCCCATGAATATGATCCTCTTTTTCTGTTAATTGAGAGTCAAGTTGATGAGAAAGCCACCTGTCAGTGACCTTGCTGGGTGGTCTAATCCCCCCTAGCCAAACTATTACAGACAGGCTTTAAAGCCGCTCATTGACATCTACTCATTGAAAGTCTGCTCTTTACTAGTGTTTACATCTATTCTAATTGAAAGAAGTGTTTCAATCAAAATACTTAGTCTGATGAAAGAAAACCTCTTCTACTGACATTTGGTGAATTCTCATCAATAACAAATGTGTCACAAACTTTACCTTATTTACAAGATAGATGTTTATTTGGTGCTTATGGCTGCCAGGAATGATTTTAAATGGTTTTCCGATACGTAACTGTTGATATTAGATTCATCTTATGTGGTGTTGCTTGGACCCTAATAGTATCTCATATGTCGCGTTTTTGTTGACAGATTTACAGACGGAATCTCACCGCTGACATTCCAAAGGATCTCAAGATTGTCAGAGATGAAGACTTTGAGCTTGAGGAGCCTGAAGTACAGCGAAGAGTAGAGCATCATGACTGTAAGTAACACAACTCTCCCAAGAATGTACAAAGAATTCAATAAATGGCAACTATCTCTCCTGTTTAATTGCATATAAAAGCTTTTTTTTTGCGCAAATAAACAATTTCTATGTTGAATCTCCCTAATTATTATGTACTAACTAACAAAACAGCAAGAAAAAAAAAAATCATTGGTTGATTCGTCTTAATGTCTACAAAATCACCTCCCTACCTTGTGCAGCACCTTCTGCTAATACTTTGGACTTGAAGGGTAGGCATAAGACCATATTGATCACAGGAATCTGCTTTTGTGCAGACATGATTCAGATATACAAAATAATGCAGGGCCTAGATGAGCTGGTTCCAGCACACTTCTTTGACCATCCAACTGATAGTAGAACCTGTGGCCATGGATACAAGATCACTAAAAAACAAGTCCACTCAAAGCTGAGACATGTCTCCATTTTTCAGAGATTTATCAATGAATGGAACAATCTCTCCTCTGTAGTTGTGGAGAGCACGTCACATAATAGCTTTAAATCCAATTTGTCAAAATTTTGGTAGTCAGGAAAAGATCAATTTGAACCAGAGAGTCCTTCGCTTGTCCATGTTCGTCAACTGCTGTACAGCGCCACTAAACATGTGTCCCAACATGGATTCTTCATCCTAATGTCAACGAGAGGCAATAAGTTGTTAACTTTAAATGCCTTCTTCCAAGGTATATTTCCAAGGTATTGTGAATTACAACCATTTTGTGTCTTTCTTACCCTACAGTCACCTTGGAAGCCTCCAGAGACCAGACATCATTGTCCATTGACGAACCCTCCAGGATCGAGGACCAGCCCAGCACCTCAGCCACACCCGCTCCCCCTACTCCAGCCCACATCCCCATGTCCAGGAGATCCTCCTCATCGGACGGTGGGGACTACGGCGGTGACCTCTTTGCCGCTGACTACGACGATGATTACGATATTCCGTCCGTCGCGCCGCAGTCCGTCGGACCACAGGCCGTTGAAGAACCAGAGGAGGAGGAAGAGGTGAGGAGAAGCATACCACTACTTAGATTGAAAATTTAGGAATGGAAGAGATAGTGCTATATGAATGACATTGCTCTTGCCATTTTGCACTTCTTTTGCATCATCTTTGATAATGATTTATAATGTTACCCACAGCTCACAAGTTTTTAACACAACCCCGGTCCCTTTAACTTTGATGAAATACAAGTCCATAGAAAATTTCATCACAGAGCAAATGTCATGTCACCCCTCCCCCATAACAACCTACAAATACAGTCAAACCTGCTTTAGTGACCACTTGTATAGAAAAGCACCTGTCTACAAAGACCACATTTTTTTGTTTCCCATGAAAATGGTTTCTCTCTGAAACATGAACAAAAGGAACCTGTACATAAAGACCACTTTTCTTGTCTCCCTTGGATGATCTTGTAGACAGGTTTCACTGTACTTTATTCAACTGTTTTGTTAACATGGTTCTGGTTGTCTCCCTTGATAGCTTCAAGAGGGTGAAGACCAAGAAGCACACGAGGAGAGGAAGCTGAACAAGAGAGCACAAATCATGTTGACAGCAATCAATACCAGACTACAGACCTCATCGGAAGTATCGTTCAAGGTAAGACTCTTGGTATTTATTCAATTCTAGTACTTTGTAGCTGAAGAAGCAAGTACTAGCTTATTCAGAGATGCCAACCCTCCCGATTTCATCGGGAGGTTCCCGATAATTCACCCCAACTCCCGACCTTACGATCACCATCCTTATCCTCCCGATTTATTTATTTTTTTTTTTAAAGTTTTTTTTTTATTTTTTTTTTTATAATGTTTTTATTAATGATTTTTTTTAATATATATCTGTGAGTTGAATGAGAAATATCGTCTGTTAACTTTAGCATGTAGTAATTCCACTATGGTAAAAGACAAATTAAGAGTAGCAAAAGATTGTTTCAGCATATGGATCGCCGTAACCAATGCGTGGATATTGACACAGAATCCAAATGCCGGAAAATCAGCAAAAGAAGACCAAGAAATGGTCTCAGAAGTATAAGACCGAATACAGTATCAAGTGCCAGTGTATTCGGAAGTCTGAAAAGAATTCATCATGCATTTTGTACAATTTGTATGTTATTTTAAAAAAAAGTGGGAATTATTTAACTAAATACACATGTAAAATGCCGCAAAATAAGGCTCAGATTGCACCAGAGAGCATCTAGAACCCCAGAGCTTCCAGGGCCCTAAGGCGGGCCCTGGACCCCGGCCGCATGGGTCGGGCGCTACGCGCACATTATTGGGCGTCAGTTACAAATCCTCCCTATTTCTGTTTTTCAAAAGTTGGCATCTCTGCTTATTTAGCATCTTTGCATCGTGAGCACCATTTTGTTTCTGAGAATCACTTCAGAAGGACAGTTTATAAACTAAGATGCTTTATCAATGATATAGAGAGGTGTTTTTTTTTTCATTTTAGTTCTCCTTTCAATTTCATTTTTTAGATGATTTTTTAAAATGACATCTTCTGTACATGAGTAAAAAATCTCTCTCTCACTCTCTGTCGCTCATTTTCACGATTGATCTTGCTTTGCATTGGTTTTGAGCAATTCTGCAAATTTGATCCTGCAATCTAATTATTGATCATTAAGACACATGGGCGCTCAAAGTCTAAGTCAGGACCCCCCTTCCCCAATTTAAGAATTTCTACATAGGACTTAATGCATATAGGCCTTAAATTCAAGTCCGGACCCCAGAGAAAAAAGTTATTGTGTAGTCCTGATTAAGATTTTAAGAACACTTTAAAGATTAAATTCAAGTCTTTATTGGCTTTCAGAATGCAGAAGAGTAATAGAACCCCATATGTAATATTAATCCACATCTCTCTGGCCCTATTTGTTACAGCATGATGTCACAGCGAGACTTTACAGGAAGCAAGCTGCAGCCAAATTCTACACCCTTCTTGTCTTGAAGAAGCAACAAGCCATCGATGTCTTCCAGAACGTCACGTATGGAGACATCACCATCACGTGTGGGCCCATGCTGGAAGGTGTTGCATAGGCCTCTTTGGATTGGAGCAGTACTCTTGCTACAAACCCATCCAGTTTTCACCTCGAACAATCTCAGAGACATTGTCACTATAACTAAGCAGTCCCTTGGCATATATTCCATGTTTTTCACGTTGAAACAGTTTCCTTGCTACGCCCGTTCACCTTGTCACTATGGATAATCTCAGAGATGCATCACTGTACAGGCTCATTTTCATGTGCCGTACTGAATGAATGGCAAGTGGGGATACAAAGAAGTAGGTGCACCCAACATAGGTCCTGTGCATAATCACCTATCTGTATATTATAAGATACAGTGATGTAGAGCAAATTGTGGAGTGCTATATGCTCAAAAATTATCCGCCATGGTTTACTGTGATACATATGGATCAATCTTCTGGGAATTCCCACTGTCTGGGCTGTTGCGTACTGAAAAACCCCAGAAAGTCTCATGTGCATTTGATTTCATGAGTGCTTCAGACTTGCAAAAGTTTCTTATGGTGAAATAACCGAGTCACATCTGAAGTCGCAGAATATTGCAATTTACAAAAAGTTTTGTGTCGCAAACGTTTTTTGTTTTACAGTAGGCTTTTTAGAGTTGCCAACCGCTATGAAATGTCCTGACAAGACTTTCTTGTATTTCATTCAGTGGTAGGAATTAATCAAAGCTATAATGAGTTGCCCCACATTGTACTCTGTTCATTCAAATGCTCTGTTCCATCAACAATTTTATCTTACATTGACTCTCAATAAAATCTCTCTTGATGATAAAGTGTTTTTTGACCAATATTCTGTAAACAAATGTTTGATCAAAGGGACTGGAAGGTTGAAATAGTTGGCTTAACTTTATTATTATCTTTCCAATGGAAAGCATACCAGTTGGTATATTAATTGCGCTAATGTCTGCTTTGTTCAAGAAATGTTAGTATGTTTCAAGTAGTTGTTCTCGGTTGAAATAGGTCAAAAACGATTTACTGTAAGAGGTTGGACAAAATTTGGCCTGCAATACAAGTACTATTAGATCTGACAGAATTGCCTATTGGTCTTTGGTAGATAACATTTGATAAAAGTTTTCAAGAGTTTAGAATTGAACAGCAAATGACGAAATGAACATATTTTTATAGGAAATTTTAAAGTTTTGAGTGCGGAATTGACTTGAAGTAACAATTAATTCACAAACCTCAAATTACAAATCAAAGTGCTATGATCAAAATGTGTTTTGATCAATATGGAAGTCTTATTCTTGATCTTATATTGAGAATGACTATTTTCAGATATCGCAAAGAGTGCTTTTAATACCCTTTTATCATCATTTGAGCATTGTACAGAGAAGATATAAACATTGAATTTTGTCTGCAAGGTGTTACAAGGTGGGTGATTTGAGCAATTAAATTTGGTTTTATGCGTTTGAAAATGCCTTAGATAATCAGTTTGATATTTTAGAGAATTAATTTGTTCAACACCCTGATTTAATGAAAAGCTCGTTAACAGTTTTCTTAATCAATTCCCTGCCAAATTATTAACGCAAAGTGGTTTTACGTTTTCTCTTCTATTTGTGATGTCAATCTAGTATTTTACTGCAACGTCTTCTATTGTAAATAACATAGTTATATCTCAACCTCCATATTGTTAGAAGTAGTTCATTTAGATATTAATTTTATTTGGCTGTCATTAGTATTATTGAAAACATTACTTATTTCTCATTTCTCCAACGATTCTTGAAATATTGTTCTAAAATATGTTTGATGTAATTCTGTAAAATCAGCTCAAAAGACCATTCTTTCTGTGTCATATTTCAGCATTTCTTAGACACATTTTTTTTAATAGCTCTCTTAGATTCACCCAATAAATCAGTAAAACGTGAATCACACTACAATCCTACTTCGATCTGCGTTGGAAGAAAAATGAAGTCGTGTATTTATTAAATGCAAACTCTTCTCGGTCAAAGTTTTTGTTTGATTGTGCAGACTATTGAGCGTTGGTAACATCACAACAAAGTCATGGACTTCTGCCATCTGGTTTAAATAACGGGTTTTAGTAGGATTGAACATGGGCAAACAATATGTAACCTTGAGGCTCATAAAACTTCTGTTCTGTATAACTTAATCAAAACGCGTCTTAAATGTGTAAATGTTTGCCTTTTGTTACACAGAGATTTTACTTGCACTTCTCTTCATATATATTATACACATAGCACATGCAACAAGTTTAAATGAGCACTTTTGTGGAAAAGAATGCCAAACAAGATCTGTATACAGTCAAAAGTAGCATTTAGAGTCCTTTCTTTCATGACTGTTCTGTAGCTAAGTGTGTCTTAGAAAATGTGAATACAAATATGCATAGTAGCCTCAGGATGTGTGTATTTGAAATATAGCTGCAAAATCTAAATACATTTAAGCATGTCCTCCACTCTTCCTTTATGCACCTGGGTCATGTTTCACGAAACCATCACAGGTACAAGTTTACCAATGTCCCATTGAAACGTGTGTAATTTAATACATGCAGTGCAGTGGGTTATCAACGAACTTGTACTTAATGACCATTCGGTGAAACGCTGCCCAGATAGCATTGGTCTACACAGTCTTGCAACCTTTTTGTTTCACTTAGGAATAAATCATTTTTAAGAAGAGTTCTATTTATATGCTTGTCTTATGTTGTGAGCAGTTTACTACCAAAATGCCATTTTTGTTCATCAAAACTTTCCTTTTTGCTTTTTTCTACTGATGTAAATATCACTTTGTAAATACAGATACTCCTGTACTATTCCCTTATCATAACAGTAGCTTTCATTGAATAGTATCATTTTTTTTTGTTCCATGTTCTTTTTTAATTATTATAACTCTGTCATGACCTGTCCCGTATTTTTGTTTTTGTATTTAAGTTGAAATGTGTAAATAATAAAATGAATATGATAAAAATTAAAAGGTATTCCAAGTTGGATTTACAAGTCATATTATGTGTCTAGTGAAGAATTTATTTCTGTTGTGGATGTGTTTAATGAAGTGAGCATGCTATCTAAGCAAAATGAAAAATTACAGATTATATCTTGATATGATTTTGAATGTATTTCTATTTATTGTATGTACATGTATTTTATCATTTATTAAAGTCAGTATTTCCCCCTTCCTGGGGGTAACTGACTTTCACACCATGAGGACACTCCTTCCCTCCACTTCTTGTCCGTAGCAGCCTCTTCATTTAGACCAACCTTGTTGCTTTCCATCAAATCTTTGATCTTCCTTTCCCTCTTATGCCGTCCACTTCTCCATTCCATGCTCTTCTCACAGTTTCATCATCTTCTCTTCTAAACACATGACCCATCCATCCATCTCAATCCACTTCTCTCTATCACTTCCACCAGTTTCTTCTAGACCAAACCTTTCCACGATCTCCCCGGTGTTCTTTCCATCGGACAGTTTCACACCACATATCTTCCGTATCACGACTCTTTCGGTTCACCTCAAGATACCTTTTTCCACTGTCTTTATATTCCAGGGGGTTATTTCACAAAGATTCTAAGTCAAACTTAACTTTTAAAGTTGTACTTTAAAATTATGGAGAGCCATTTGTAACCTTATAATGAAATATGTTCAAAAGCAAAAAATTTCAAGTATTTTAGACTTTTCATAAATTCCACATCAAGAATATAAAATCTCCCATGATAATAGAAAATATGAATGATTTCAATCAACATTTTATGCCTTTTAAAATAACTTTTACACAATATTTTCAAAGATGCTAACGGCTTTCCATAATTGTTAAGTCCAACTTGATGATAAGTTCAACTTAGGATCTTTGTGAAACACCACAGGTTTCTGAACCATATACCATCGCTGTTCTAATAGAGGACTTATAGATCTTTCCTTTTATTCTCATCGTAAACCTACTACCAGCTAGGGATCGAGGCCAGAAACTACATCCATCCCAATCTGCATCTTCTTGCTATTGCAATCTCACATCCACCACTATAGAGTACCAAAACTGCGATATCATACAAATCTGTTTTTAGAATTTCTCAATTTGAACTTCATTTCCCGAAAGAGCTTCAAAAATAATGTCCAGAAGTCGAAAACCAATTGAATATAGTATTGGCTGAGATATGACCATCTGAATGAATATATTTCAATGGGAAGTCTGGTTCACAACATTACGAACCAGAGCAAAATAACAGTGATTTCCCATTGAGATCTATTTATTTGGATGGTCATATCTCAGCCAATACTTAACATATTCAATTGGTTTTCAACATTTGGACATTATTTTTGATGCTCTTCCAGAAAATGAAGATCAAATCTGGGAAACTATAAAAAATTCTTTTTAATGACATTACACTGGACCACTCTATTGAATGTATCTCTAAGATAGCAAAGCCTATAAACCCTCTTAACATCTCCCATATACATCCCTTCTTGCTCATCCACTACTCTATTATTACTAATCTCTCTACCTTTCTTGCACTCGGAAGTCTCAGCCACTCTCTTGGTAATTTTCTTCACTCTACCACATCTCACATGAACCCACTTTCGACATGCCGTGCATCAGAAAGAGTTCAACACTCTCTTGCAATACACATCGAACGTTTTCAGCCACCTATTTTGTATATTTGTTTATACATGTTCTTACTTATTCTTTCATGCTGTTATGAGTTTATGTTCATGATTTTGTTATTGATTTTTTTTAAATATTGTTCCTTATTATGTTTCATAGGGCCTCATGGAAGACCACTATTTTGGTGATGAGTCACCCTGTCTAAATATCAGAAATAAATAAATAAATAAATAAAGCAATGGACAAATCAATCTCTGGGTTTCCAACATGGTCGACATGTATTATTTCATATACATATATATACATTAAACATGTATCAACACAGTTGGCAAAGCATATACAATAACTTGTACATAGGAAGAAAAATATTCACTGCTTCAAATGGAACAAAGCTATAGTTGCATATACAAAAGCATGTAATAAGCACCTTTTACGGAATAAAATGTGACTACTTGCACGATGACAGAATGACTTGAAATGACATGGCACTAACAGTTCAACAACTAAATTATTCATACCCTTAAAATGTTATGTAATATTTTAAAGTATCGGGTATGTGTAAAAATGCTTTGTTCCAATTCACGTTTCTTGAAAATGTGACATAACACTTGCATCTATTCAACAAAGGCTCTAATTCAACCAGTCCACCTTTCATTCTTGAGTTCCCCCCCCCCCCCCACACACACACACAAAAAAAAAACATCAAATTTACAAAGAGTATGAATAGTTCAGTTGTTAACTGTAAACAATTATTTGAATATTGAATGGAAACAAATCTGACCTAACAATACAATAGCATCTTGAGAATAATGATGTATGCTTGCATTAACGTTATAAACAATTTATGTTTTCTAATCCAGGAAGAATGAACGACTGGAGTTGTAGACAATGTACATACATGTGTACGTCTTAAAGGCTTACCTACCAGCTCTAGAAAAAAACACTGAAAATTGATTATCACAGATGAAATACCTAAATGGAAATCAAAAGAAACTAGAATGATGCAATTTCCATCACATTAAATGACTTGAGATATAATTGAGTTTACATCATGGATTCATATATTCTATAACATCCATTAAAAGAATATCTCTGGTTAACGCCTAAAGCCCTAAAATAGCTCCTGTACATTTAAAAAAAAGATTTTCTACTGCAAATAAAACTCGTACTCCTGAAGAGTCGGGTCGAGTGGGTTCAACGAGCTTTACAATAGATCATTTCCAGTTTGCTCAAGAAGTTCACAACCAATGAATGAAAAGTCAGTGAGATGATTTGATGCACAAAAATTTACATTATCAAGTATTTATGAATCAATGATTATTGCCACATATTTGGCTGGAAAGTACATAAGCTGCAAATGATTCTAATTACATCGAAGATTGAAGACAAATGAAGAGTGAAATAGTTAAGATTTTTGTGTGATAGTGCATCATAAATCGATTCATATGACATTATGGAGTCTTGATATTAGAAAAAAATACTTAAGTATTCAATATTTCCTATTCATTATTCACAATACCCTCACGTTAGAAATTCAGAATCATGATGTAAATTCCAGCAAAATTCAATTCAATTCAATTCAATTCAAAATGGTTTATTTCAAATAAAACTTTCATCGCGGCGTTTAGCCGAATTACAAAAGTTTACAAACAAAATTAATAACACAATGTAATATATAACATAGCATAACATGATATATTGAATTTGTAAAATAAATCAGTATAAATACGAGAAATATAGCTTATTGCAACATATGGGAACATAATTTAGAAAGAAATCTGAATTAAATAGCATTAAATAGCACTGAAATTATGTGAAAGAAGGAATAAAGTAAGCAATAAGCGGTAAACGGAACAAGTGCAGGTGGTGGAAAAAACGAGAGTACAACTGAAAGGTAAGGAGTAACGTTTGCAAATACACTGTAACTAAGAGTGGGGGAGATTTACAGAGGGAGAGTGTTAAAAGGCTGAGAGGGGGAAGATATAGGAAGTAGGAGTAGAAAGCGACAATGGAAAATTCATATAAGAGGATACGGAAAAGAAAGGAAAAGAAGAAGAAGACGATGATGATGAAGAAGAAGAAGAAAAAAGGAGAAGAAATGGAAGGAGGGGAATATACAACCATGCCTAAAGTAGACAAGAGATGGTGGTGAAGAGGGGTGATAAACTATTGTCACATGACAGATTCAGTTAAATTCAATTAATTTCAATTCAATATGGTAAAACTAGACTAAAATGGAGTAAAAAAAATACTTTAAAAATCATGAAACAAATACAATACTTAATTGGTAAGAGTGTAAACACAGGCAGGGGCAAGGCAATCAAATCAAAAAAATGAACGAAGAAGAAGAAGGAGAAGGGAAAGAAGAAAGAAAGAAAAAAGGAAAAGAAGAAAATAAGTCTAGAAATAAAGAAAAGAAGAAATAAAAGGAGAAAAAAGGGGAAAAAGAAGAGGAAAAAGAGGCGTGTCAAAGAACAACAAAGCAAAACAAAACAAAAGGGTGATGAAATTGCTGAGCCTGAAGGGTACAAGAAAAGGAGGAACGTTCATCGTTTACTTTGGTTAAGTGCACGGATGAGGTACGGAATTGGACTATTTTGCATTCGTTTAGTTTTACATCTAAGCTCAGGAATTTGGGGTTTACGTCTTAGTGTTCTAGTATTATTTTCCGGAGGGAAATACTGTTTGAATTGATCAGTGTAGAGTAGGGTCTTTTTGAAGAACGACAAGCACAAACTCTTTCTTCTATCAGAGAGAGATTCGATTTTCAATTCATCTAGGACAGTGTCATAAGTTGAGTAACGGGCACCGATAATCACTCTCAAAACTCTCTTTTGGACTCTTTCTAACCTGGTGATTTGGTTTTTGGTGAGGCCTCCATTCCATACGGGGGCTGCATATTCAATGACAGGTCTTATGTAGCACATGTATATGGTCAGCAAGTCATCATAGGGTAGACCATGACGTTTCAATAGTCTAAGCATATGAATTTTACTGTTTGCTCTCTTTATGATATTATTTATGTTTTGATCCCATTTTAAGTCATTCTGAATAATGACTCCTAATATTTTGGTGGCTTTCACAGTAGCCAGTTCATGATTTCCAGTAGAAACTGCAGGATCGATTTGGGGAACCCGTAGGAAACAAACATTCATTTGAGCACATTTTGGGGGGTTCAACTTCATATGATTATGATCACACCAGGTTAGAAGATAGTCTATAGACTTTTGTAATTCAGATGGTTGGTTACAGTTCCTACATTCAACAATTGAAAGGTCATCCACATATTTGAAGGTAGTTGAGTTCTGGAAAGATGGATTAACGTCATTTACCATTGCTAGAAATATTATTGGACCTAATTTAGTTCCCTGAGGAACACCTGCATGTAATGAAACCCAATCAGAACATGTTGAATGGTATCGTACACACTGCTGACGGGAACATAAGAAATCTGCAATCCATGGAATAATGGCACCCCTGGTGCCAAGGTCGATAAGCTTTCTAATGGCTATCGTGTGGTCAACCCTATCAAAGGCTTTGGTAAAATCAGTAACAATTACCGAAGATGTAGCTTTTGGTTTATCCGCATTTTGGAATAAGAGATGTAGCATATTTATCAAGTAATGGTTTGTTGAGAGGAACTTTCTATTACCAAATTGATTAGGGTCTATTTTGGATCTTATATCTTGTAGAATCCACTTTGCCATGAAACCTTCAGCAATTCAGCAAAATTGTTCACAAATCTTATCTGAAATCCAAGAGTCATTTCTATATTTACGTCAAGTGTCAAACGAAATCATCTAGTAATCATTGAATAAAATGGTGACACAAAATGTTGTCATCTGTTTGGAGCCAGAAGGGCACTGACCCATATAGAGTGGTGAAGTGTGACGTCATCAAAAAAAAAATCTATTTTTGGAATTTCTCAATTATTTCTTCATTTTCCGATAGAGCATCAAAAATAATGTCCAAATGTCGAAAACCAATTGAATAGGTTGAGTATTGCCTGAGATATATATGACCATCTGAATAAATAAATTTCCTATGGGAAGTCAGTTTTATATTGTTCTGGTTCATAACATTACATATCTCAGCCAATACTTACATATTCAATTGGTTTTCGATATTTGGACATTATTTTTAATGCTCTTTCGGAAAATGAAGAAAAAAAATTGAGAAATTCAAAAAATAGATTTTTATGATGTTACAGCTTCGGTACTCTATACTTTAAAGGGATCGTTTAACAATGGTAAATCTGAGATACACGGCCCTACGTGTTACCAGTGTCTGTGGTATGGTGTAATATTGAAGCCCTAAAAAAATTGCGCTTCAAAATGATCAAGAAGTGCCTCAAAAAAGTAAAAATCTTTGAGTGACCGGTTTTACCATACTCGTTTTCCCCAATAGACTGTAGTGTAATGAAAACCGTCAGGCGAACGGTTTTCAAAATTTGTAATTCCAATCATAAATATCTTGATAATCAGACAGGCGATTGGCTTGTAAAAGTCATGGGGTTCCTGACTGACCTAAAGGTTTATAATTATCATTGCATCATGAATTTTATTTCAGAATCTGAGACAAAGTTACCGGATCCCTTTAACAGAGTTAATGCCCTTCTGGCTCTCAACACACAACACATCATCTTTCAATCATAAACAAGTTGTTGCTTTATTATTTTGTATATTAGTATTACAAATAATACTTCAGTATATATTTTTTTAATTAATAGACTTTTGAAACATATTAATCAAATTTGCTTCTCCTACTTTTATGACATGACCACAACTATGGATGGAAGGCAAGCACGTAAAAAGGGTAAAAATAGCTCTGAAGATGTACATGATTTTGATAATTTTACAGAAAGTATAACAAAGGTATCAACACTTTATACAGATATCAGGTCTATTTACAATTTTACAAGCATGAAAAAGAAAGTGCCAACAGTCCCATTATTCCATAATTTTTTAACACCGGTACCTATTTTTTTATAAGTGTAACTTTGACTGCATTTCTTTGTTTGATCATGGATACCTAGGTTGAAAGCTTGAGGTATTTTAGTAAGAGGAAAACATTCAACTGTATCTTTGCATAAGAAATACAACAGGACAAACTACATGGTTGTTTGACACATGCTCCTACGAAAAAAATTACTCTGCATCAATTCCCTACACTCGTCAAATTTGGAACTTCAGACATGGACTCAACACTATATCTAAGCCTAGCCCTAACCCTGACCCTAACCCTATAAATAACCAAAAATATTTTTGCAACCCTAACACTAACCCTATACCTTTGACAGATGAAGTTCATAGGAAGTGTCACAGGAGCCAATCCTGGGTCACTGATGAGAACAATCCTTGTAGAAAGTCCACAGTATTTTGTTCCATACGTTAACAAACACATTGCAACAAATTTAGTATATCTTGTGATTTGAATTGAAAGCCTAAACGTAGCTAGAACCTGACATGATATCCATGAAATTAAAACTTAAATGCAACCACTAAATGTCTTGGTCATAAACTATCTTGGTCGAGCCCCATGTCCGTAATCTCTTGATATAGGCCTATCATGACCCACCCTTGGGTCTTTGAGTAACCGTTCCTTTGGTCTATGCTGGTAATCAGTTGTATATGGATGACTATCCTCTCTTGACCAGTCATCATACCCCCTACCCCTGCCCCTTCCCCCCGTGGGCCCCCACTGCTGACTTGGCCAGGGTTCCTTTCCTCCCCTCCTGTCCTGCTCCCATTGTTCTCTTGCCCATGCCTCCTGAGGTTTATCCTCTCCCCAAGGCCTCCTCTCTTCAATGTCCTCAAAATGGCCCCCGCTTTCCCGCAGGTCTACATCTCTCCTGTAGTCCACTTCTCTATGGGGTTGCCTTCGCTGACCAATTGGGCCTGGATCTTGCCCATGCCCGACCCCGCCCTTATCATCATCCCCGTACTTCCATCCCTCCTCCCCGGGAGGCGGTGGCTCCAGTTTACGTTTCTTGGTGACCGGTACAGACGAAGTAGCAGCTGGTGGTGGATGATGCGGGATGAGTGGTTGCCGGGGAGCAGGTGGATGTTGTTGTTGGTGTGGTTGGTGTGGGATAAGTGGTTGGTGAGGGATGAGTGGACGGTGGGGGGCTGGTGGATGTTGAGAGATGGGTGGGGCTTGGAATGGTGCTGGGGGCTGCCCTTGGGGTGGGGAAGGGTGAGGGTGAGAGTGGCCTATAGGGGCGTGGTGAGGGGCAATGGAATGTGGATGATGATGAGCTGGCTGTGAATGTGGCTTGTTCTGATTTAACAATGGATCAGGATGCCTTGGCAAGTCTTTTTGTAGATAAGCGGTATGCTGCTCACTCTGCATCATATGATGAGGATGTTGTTGCGGAGGATGATGTTGCTGAGGATGTTGTTGCTGATGGCTAATGTCTTGGGTCCATGCATGAGATGTTGAAGAAGCTGTGCTATCTGTTGTGCTACCTGTTGCCACTCCATGCATAACTTGCAGCTCCGGTTGGTTCATATTCGGGCTTTGTTTGTGCGCAGCTGCTTCTGCATTAGCAGTCCACAACACTGCTCCCACTGCAAAGGGAGGCAGATTGGGCGGTGGGCACAATGGTTGTATCTCTTGTTTACTCTTAGACCTTTCCTGAAGTAAATCTGCTCCAGGTCCTCCTGGAGTGCTTGTAACATCATCCTTGGGAGTCATTGTACTAGAATCTGCTTGGGCTAATCGGACATCCGGTGAGGTACCTGCTTCATCAGATGTCTGTTCATTGGTCTTGCCTAATTTGCCTGTAGCTTTGTTGATCTCCGACTGCAGCGACTCTATCTGTCGGTCCAGAAGGGCCTTCTTGGCTTCCTCCACCTGCTTGGTGAGTTGGATCAGTAGCTGCTGTTGTTCCGTGAGACCCGACTGTTCACTGAATGCACTCAGAATGTCCTGGGATGCATCGGCTGCCACACTGGCAATGTCTGCTGCCTTCACCCCGCTCTCTACACCACCACCATCCCCTTTCAGGGGATTCCCCTTTTTCTCTTCTGGAATAACCACTGGAGGAACTTGAGGGAAAGCAGCTTTAGGGATCACAGCAGAAGAAGGCATGCTACGCCCTTGAAGCCAGTCATCCATCTGATCCGACGGATCATACGGCGCCTCCTGCTCCTCCCTCGTCGGTGAATACGGTTCCTCCAACTCTACTTCAAGTTCCTTCGGGTCCACGTTGGCGTACTGCGCCACGATAGGATCAACCAGCTGCTCCTCGGTCACATACATCTCCTTCGTCTTGAGATCTTTAGGGGTGATGAGATCTGAAATTTCCCGCATCGTGGGGACACTGGACCGGAATGACGACATGGTGTTCTCAGGAGGTGTGATGTCTAGAGCAGACTGATGATGGTGTTTCCTCTTAGAGGCGTGGTGCGCTGGAGGCTCCCGGGGAGGTTGGCCGATGGGTTTTGGGGCCAACTCTCCATCAAGGCTAATTGAGCGTTGCTTCTCCTTGTGTCGGACTACTATGCCCAGCAACATGTGTGGTCGATTTTTTGGCAGACCTGTGGGTCAAGAGGAGAGAGAATATAATTTTCATTCACAAGTTCACACTTGATAGATAAAATCCTCTCATTTGCTACCAAAATCATAATAAGGAAGTTGATTGCTAACAATCTTTAAAGAAAATGCTTTTGCTTAAAAATACAGTGTTGACAATTTTCACATGGTAGTTTTAGATTGCCCTTTGAAAACTACATAAAATTATGACATATAATGGAATTATAAAGCAATAAGTCAAAAATTTCACACTGTTTCTATCGATTTCAATGTCCATACCAGTTTAATTGATTGGTGCCATTGGGACAACACTATAAACAACGATGCCTTTCTGCACTGGAGTCAAGCTGGAAACCATTAATATGCTAGAGGAATGATTCCTATATTTTGAACTTCAAACTATTGTTATGAAACTTAGATTTCTGCTTTTTTTCTGATAACTAGTGAATAAACTGCATTCCTAAATTTGCCTAGAGGAAATTAAAGTATTTTGCTATGGAAGGTTGGTAGGTAAGGTGGAATCATCTCTTGTACATGGGAAACTCTGAAAGCTATAACACATGCAACCTCAGGCCCTACAGCTCTACATCCTATCCAAGGGATAACAACGTACCAGGTCCGTTGAACGGCAGGATGTGGTGGGGAACCTTGTCGCTGGATGGCAGGGCTATCAGGTAAAAGTCCTTGACGTGAGGCCGGTTCTTCCCGACCACGCCAATGCGCTGCCGCGTGTAGAAGTAGTCGAAGAGCGAGAAGAAGGCCGCTTCCTCGTCGTCCTGCCAGACATGGAAGCGCATGATGGTCATCTCCGTCGACTGCGACTGCTTGAGCTTGCTGAAGTAGTCCCATACTATCTTGTAGGGGATACGACCACACACCTCTAGTGTGTCTTGCAGGTCCTGTGGACAGACAATGGAAGCACAGATAGATAGATACTCTATTATTGCAAACCTCATCTTATACAACTAACAAAATAACGTTGGGATAACCAACCATTAAAAATTAGGAAATCACAAGTATATTCAAATAAAAACTTAGTACATATTTTCATTTAACTTTATGTTGTAGATTTAAGCACATCTGGAGCTCTTGCAGCGAAGTAGAATATATATTTGCATGGTGCCTGCACTTTGTAACTGGTTATCATTATCATTACATTCCCTTGGAAAACAGGCTGGGATTACTCACCATGGGTATACTCTCGGCGGGGCCGGACACATGGTGCGCCACGGCAACAAACTTTGACACTTCCTGCATGGAGATGAACCCTCTCCAGGCCGGTGATGATGTCATTGATGCCGACGACATCGACCTCTTGACCTGCGAGGGTCGCGATGCTTTCTTCTCCTTGACGGGTTTGGGAGCGGTGTGCACTTCTGCAGGTGGTGTAGGACTACCTGGGGGTGTTCTGCATAAAGAGCCAGTGCATATCGAGGGGTCAGTGACACAAAGACGGAACTCCCTATTTTGCCAAAATGAGTATTTGATATCAAATGTTCAGACAAATGTGGGCTCTCCAGGAAACAAAGATTTAACTAAACCCAGTCAATGGCTAGTGAAACATAGACTTAACTCCTTTAAGGCCCAAGTGCTCAGTGACACATAAACTACTTTTTACCAAAATGGAGTTACGTCTTTGTGTCACTGACCCCTCGATATGAAATCAATCTTTAATCCTCAAACCCCTTTCATATTTTATTGGTTGGTTATTGGATGTTTTTTGATGAATTCATAAAAGTTTAAAGAAACCTGGCCTTGATCAGAGCTTGACAAGAACAGAGCCAACTAATTGCTTATTGGGTACTGGTACCTTAGGCGGACAAATTTTTTGTTGCTTCAAATTAAGCAACGGTAAGACACATTTTAGGAATTGGAGTCCCAGGAGATCTTGAGTAAAGAGATAAAAAAATATTTTTTAAAGCCTCACTATCACTGACATCTTTGATGAAAATTAAATCAAACAGATTATAATTACAAGTAGCACAATCCTCATACAAACTCTGCACTGAAGATGTCTAAAAAAGGGGTAACAGCTGGATTTTATTCAGTTTGCATGAAAAGGCCAGAAACAGAGATGGCAGGTTCTGACATCTGGCAAAATCCTAAAAAACAGGCATCCCTGTCATATCTATAAATGTCACATAGCTTGGAGGCCCGTTGAGGCAACAATAAAATGAACCTTGAGACACACAGGTTCTGTTACTTCCCGTCTTCAGCTGTTCTTGCAGGGATGATAGTGAGCACCCCTCAACCCCCCCCCCCCCCTCTTGAGTAAAAAAAAAAAAAAAAAAAAGGATTTGGGGGGAAAACAATGGCATCTAACAACATTACTCTCCTTCAGAATAAGAAAATTGAGAAAAAATAGGGAAATAGGGGTAAAATCAGGAAAAATAAATTAATACAAAAATCAGGGAAACAAAAAAAAAAAAATTTGGAAACATGTCTGTCCACTACTTGATGTTATCAGTCCACATCCCAGTTGGTCTACCCCTCTTTATTCTTCCAAGATGGTCGACACAAGACAAAAAAAAAAATGCCTATAACTTACTTGGCCTCATCAACCGGCTCTCTTATGATCACTGCAGCATCCTCATCATCATCGTCATCATCGTCGTCATCGTCACCACCACCAACAGTCTCCATCAGGTCATCGTAGAGGTCTTCGGTGACGGATTTCTCTTTAGGTTTCTTTTCCTCAATCTCCTCCCCAAAGAATTTGACCGGTTTCTCCCTGACGGCTCCTCCTCCTTTCTTCTTTTCTTCTTTCACCACCACTTTCTTGATGATCTTGGGGGTTTTCCTCACAATGGCCTTCTTCTTGGAGACCTTGTCCTCCTTAGGAGCCGGTATTTTACCTACAATAAATGGAAATGTTTTTATACAATTGAACAGAGCTGTCAACCTTGTGCGACCAAAAAAAGGAACCATGATGGCAAAACAAAAAAGGAATTTCAAGGAAAAAAAAGGAATTCATTAAAACAAAATTTACAACCACATGCGACACACTTCCAATGCAGAAATGTCAACTCCTCATGCTGTTTTTTCCACATTAGGAACTATAGTTTTTTTACAATTAGGTTTTTTTGTTGTTGTTATTTTGGAATTATTGGCATTTTTAAGTATGTTTTAACCTTAGTTTTCTAATGAATTTGTGATCAAATCAACATTCTAAGGCAGTTGTTTGACGTGCGGTATGTAAAAAAATAAAAAATAAAATAAAATTTAAACACATATTTTATGGAGAAAGAACGTAATACCGTAAAATACCGTAAAAACAGAATAATCCCGGGAAAAACGTTATGGTTGGCAGCTCTGAATTGTACCATGTGCTACAAGCAGAGTACACGTCTATCACGGACTGAGCTTTAATTTCTCACCATACAAATGTGAGGTTTTAACAATGCAACAGACATTCGTGCAACTTCACTCAGACGCAGTATGACCTTGGTTCATTCTGTAATGCTGAAAGACCTTGTGCAACCTAAATAGGACACATGACTCTACTACTCAACACGACCCCAGCATATTAGAAGAACCATGTAACAGAAAGCATTCAGACTATGCCAGAGCTTGTTATGAATTAGATTTAAAGTCAGTCTGCACTCGTTTGGCCAGGCGGGATTAGACCTCCTGCAAGGTCACTGACAGGTGGTTGTCTCATCAAATCAGATCTAAATTATCATAAGAAAAAGGAGATCATGGGGGACCAACAGGCACCGATTAGGCATTGTTTGCTATATATAGAGGGCGCAAGTAGCTATAAGTAGTACAGTGGGGCTTTAACATCACCAAAGTGGGCACACGGCATTACAACTTACCGGTACAGATCTTGCAGTTCAGATCAAAGAGATGTGCCTTGTGTTGGTCGGTGGTGTCCACGAGCATGATCTTGGGAGTGGTCGGGGAGGTGGGCGTGGTCGGGGAGGAGCCCCCAGGATGACTGGTAGGAGAGGTAAAGGAGAGTCTGGAAGGGCTCTTGAGATCCGTGCCCGGCGATGAGCTGCTGGACTGCTTAGAAGCTCCCTCCTCGTCTTTGGAATGGGGCTACAAAGAAAACACAATCTTCATCAATCGGACGTCATCTTCAAACTTACTTAAGATCTTCAGTAAAATTTCATATCTGCGAGAAATTTGTCATTAGATGCTATGTTTATTGCCTACTGGTATTTTGAATTCATGAACACTTCATATAGATATAAGTAAGCCATTAAGATGCTTAAATAATACCTTTTAATACATAGTTCTTGGTGGATACTACTATATCTGCCCAGAATCAAGAAAGCTTTATGCGAGGAAATATAAAAACTCTTTTCTCAATTGTTTTGAAAAGTGCTCCAGGACTGAATTCCAAAGTTACTTTATACTAAACATGGTCTATCCTACCAACTAAATGAAACTGGTATATGAGACCCCCTTCACAAGTTACACATGTGGTATTCAACAAACTGTGCATGTGCTTGAGGAAGCAATGCAACAATCTACATTAGCATCTAGATGCTTCTATGCATCACCATGGAATGAATGAATGGATGTAGCTTACTACCAATTCTCCTAGGTTGTCCTCCTCTCCCAGTTCTACCTCTCCTTTATGTGTCTTCTTGACGATGGTCATGTGCATCCCCTTCTTATCTTCCTCTGTCTGGACTATCATGTCCAGCTCCTAAGAAGGAAGAACACAGATCAATATTGGATTGGGAACAAATGATTATCGTAATTTAAAGTTGCTCAAGCCTGGGTATATAGACGGCAGGACACGGACGTACGCACAGGAGTGTAATACACATTGGCTCAGTGTTATGTAGTGATCGGGAGTGATCGCCAAGTTCGCTACTTCACGAACGACGCTACATCCACGCCAAAATAAAATATTTACAGTTCATGAATAATGATGAAAACAAATTTTACTTTACTTTTAGATCATTTTGATACCTAAAAGAACAAGAATCAACTAAGAAAGTATCTAAAACTACATCATTGATTCTGGAATGAACCCCCTGTCAGATAAAGTAACGATTTGCAAAGAAATTAAGATTGAGCATTGAGTCTACATGAATAGGTTGCATGATAAATGTTCTTGCAATAAATGCTCCACGATTATTATCCTACACTCACCGAATTCATATCTTCATCTCTAGACTAAGACTAAACCTAATTCTAAACATAAACCTAACCATAATCCCAATTGCAAACTCAACCTTAACCCCATATCTTTGACAAAATAATGCTTGAAGCCAATGTCGGTGCACCGTATTATATATAAAGATTGATTATGTATTTTGTATTGTACAAATTGTATCATATTTACTTTGTACTGCATTTATTTAAATGTTTTATGATGTGAATTCCACTCAACTCAACTGTTAAGTTGCCATGTGGTTTTTGATAAATACCTTTTCAAATCAAATCAATTCAAATATTTCTTACATGTTTAGCCTCCTGTTCTCTCCATTTCATGAGCTCTTGTGATGCCAGCTGATCGGATGACATGCGCACCAGGTTCCTGGGAGAGATCTCTCCCTTTAAGATGTGACGAAACAAACCCTGACACACAAATACATAGAGAGTAAGAACAATGTTAGAAACATTAAACATGTACAGTGATACCTTAGGATGAACACACAAATGAGGGTTTAACTCATTGACTCATTCTCATAGGCTTTTGGATCAGTAGATCAGAATAGAAAACCATGATGGATGAGGAATGCTCAGACAAAAACAGGTTCGGAACTCCATTTTGAGAAAAAGTGGTTAATGTGTCACTGAGCACTCGGGCCTTAAGGAGTTAAGTCTATGTTTCACCTGCCATTGGAGTGAAGTCTTTGTGTTTCCTGGAAAGCCCACAATTTTCTGAACATTTTGATATCAAATACTCATTTTGGCAAAATATGGAGTTACGTCTTGAGGGGTCCTCAATTTCTTGTTCAACTTCAAACCAGTACTGACCTTGTTCTTCATGTCCTTGATGTTGAAGATGAGAGTCCTGTACTTGGCTTTGTACTTGGCACCTGTGTCATTGAAGAGCTTATAGAGCTCAAACTCCACCTGCTTGGATACCCTCTTCACATCGTCTGCTGTTACATTCTTCACATCGGGAGCTTTCTTTACCCTGATAACAAAAAACAAAACAAAACAACAAAATTCTTAGTAATATACTCAGCGTCACAAAGGACAAAGCATTCACACATCTATCAGCAGTCAATATTTCACAACTTGAAGTCGATACAATTTTATCATCCTCATAGGGAAAGGTAAAAATCCTTTACCCTGTTTACAAAACAAAAACAAAAAAACAAAAAAAAATCAAATTTTCATTCATTGTAATATACTCAGCGGCACAAAGGACAAAGCATGCACACATTTATCAACAGTCAATATTTCACAACTTGAAGTCGATACAATTTTATCATCCTCATAGGGAAAAGGTGAAAATGAAATGATTTTGCCTCAGAGGCATCCCAGTCTGGCATCTTTTACAAAGAAAAGATACACAAATGGAAGACAAACGCTCTGCAGACCAAGAGAGAAGCTTAAGTCATTGCCTAACCCTCTTTTTCTCTGAAAGAACTTTCAAAGGGTTTCATTCAAAGTTATCGCTGACATAGTCTTAAATGGGTAATGTACAACAGCCAGACCTTGAAGAACCTTAAAGGGATCCGGTAACTTTGTCTCAGATTCTGAGATAAAATTCTGGATTTAGGTCATGATGCAATGATAATTATAAACCTTTAGGTCAGTCAGGAACCCCATGACTTTTACAAGCCGATCGCCTGTCTGATTATCAAGATATTTATGATTGGAATTACAAATTTTGAAAACCGTTCGCCTGACGATTTTCATAACACTACAGTCTATTGGGGAAAACGAGTATGGTAAAACCGGTCACTCAAAGATTTTGACTTTTTTGAGGCACTTCTTGATCATTTTGAAGCGCAATTTTTCTAGGGCTTCAATATTACACCATATCACAGACACTGATAGCACATAGGGCCATGTATCTCAGATTTAACATTGTTAAACGATACCTTTAAAACACACTAAAAAGTCACCTCCTTGATACATGATAAAGATACATGATTTCAATATAGGGCACTTCTAGATATCTATTACTTTATCATTTCATTAGAAAGGCCTGGTTTTCTCAGACATACACAAAAATTAAGGCATTGATATGTTATTTGATGTGCAAAACAAGTGATTTAAGAAAAAAATCTAAAATTTTGGTGAATATAATTTTAGTAATGAAAAACTTACCTTGTAAGGAGAACATCCAGAAGAGTCCTCTTAACGTTAACCCTAACACTCTCGGACGCCTGCCCTGCAAGCTTACTGTTCTCCGCCTGTTGCCTCTGACGGTCTTCCTTCTCTCTCTTCTCCCTCTCCCTCCTCTCTCGATCTTCTTTCCTCCTCTTCTCATCCTCTCTCTTCTTCTTCTCCTCCTCCTCCCTCTTCTCCTCCTCTCGTTTGCGTCGGCTCTCATCCATCCTCTTCCTCTCCAGGTCCCTCTCTATGGCCTCCTCCTCCCGTCTCTTCATCTCAAGGAGCAATCGAACCTGAAGAGAGAATAGATCGAATGATATTACAGCTTTAGTTTTTGAACTTCTTATGGCTACTTGCGCCCTCTATAGAGCAAACAATGCCTAATCGGTGACCGTTGGTCTCCCACAGTCCTCTTTTTCTTATGTTTATTGAGAGCTGATTTGATAAGATAACCATCTGTCAGTGACCATGCAGGGAGATCTAATCCCTCCGGGCCAAAGTGCAGATGGGCTTTGAGAGTTATCCTCTATCTCTGGAAATGTACCTTCATGTGGGGAGACAATTTTTGTCAATGAGACATTCCGAATACCTTATCTGGCAGTAATGTATATTAATTACGCTCAGATTTGTGCACTCTTACATGTGTAAATGTATACTGGATACATACAAGCACCTCAAATAGGATACATCTCTAGCAGTTAACCTTGTCAGATGGACAAGATGAAGAAGAGCTTGATTACTTGCAGGAAAATAACACTGTCCTGGGGACAAATGGTCAAAAAGAAAATAGAATCCATGTTGTTGCTGTTCTTGTTGTTGTGGTAGTAGTAGTAGTAGTAGTTGTTATAGTTGTAGTTGTTGCTGCGGTAGTAGTAGTTGTCATTGTTGTAGTTGTTGCTGCGGTAATAGTAGTTGTCATTGTTATTGTTGTTGTTTGTTTGTTTGGTGTGTCTCAGACTCCCCCAGTACTTTTCATTCTCAACTTACAAAGTCAGGCAGTGCATCTTCTTACCTTTTCTCTCCTCTCTCGCTGTCTTTTCTCAAGGTTGTCTGCCCCAGCATTTCCACCGTCCTTGTTGGGGCTGGTGATCTGCTTGGTGCTTATCTTACGCTCCGTGTCGGAGGACGAGACATTCCTGATAGGGTCAACGACCTCGTGTGAGAGCCTCCTTGATTCAGGTTTGTGCTTCGACGATCCTTTACCTGTAAAATGACATACAGGTACATGGTAATTTTGAAACCTGTCTGCACTAGTTTGGCCAGGGGGGATTAGACCTCCCTGCAAGGTTACTGACAGGTGGTTATCTCATCAAATCAGCTCTCAATTAATATAAGAAAAAGAGGATCGTGGGGGACCAACAGGCACCGATTAGGCATTGTTTGCTATAACGAGGGCGCAAGTAGCTATAAGTGCAAAGGTCATTGTGGGGAATTGGGTAAATGCCATAGGATTCTGTGTACGAATTGGATGTATGGGCAACTTTAACAATGGAATTCAAACAAGTTCCAAGTGTAATTACCTGTTAACAAATTGTTAATGATAATTATAATTCCTGTAATAATAACAGTTTTTTATAAAGTGTTTTAGCAGTTACAATGTAACCAGCCAAAGCGCTTACAGTATCATTACCCCATTCACTGGCTTCTATTATTATTTTGAACAAAAAACAAAAACAAAAAAACAAATTCAATTTTTATGCACTCTACTAAAATTTAAACAATTATAATAGCTGTCTTACTATTTATCAAATTTTTCAACTGAATACAATGAATTTATTGTGTATCCTATATCCTATATTGTGTATCCATGTTTGATGTTCAGCCTTATTTCTTCAATAAGTTTTACATTCATAGATTCATTTACTATCTTTTCTTTTCTTCTTTTTCATGAATCATTTACAATCATATTAAAGCTTTTACCTGAGTGGAATGAAGATGTTGTGTATCCATGTTTGATGTTTGGCCTGAGTACTTCATACGTTGGATGTCTACCCAGCCAGTAGGGCAGTTCTTCATACGTCGGTGCTGTAAGCCCTGTGCGTAGCCGCCCTGTGTGACGCTCTATCACAGATATGCGCTCATCCTCTCTCAGCTTCAGTGACTTCAATGGATGGAGAAATGAATTCATGAAATGTATGTTTTGAACATTCTAAAATCAAGAGTAAGCTTGTGATAAATAGTTCTACTAATGACCATCAGAAGCAAGAGAAATTAGTTGTCTTTTTTTTTTTTTACTGTTACCAGTTCATACAAATCACAGCCACATCACAATTTTGATCAAGTGTTAGGCTCAAAGCAAAATATGCACTGAACAATTAGAAATGTTACTAAAATGAACACTCCCCCCCCCCCTCCCAAATAGAAGTTAACGTTCCAAAACAATGTTTGACCTTGTCATATTACACATCAATTCAATGTTTCCTGGTATTCAATATGCAGATCTTTCATCAAAATTTGTTTTGCTCGCTATCGTAAGTCAACAATTTTCTAGTCAAATATACTAATGAACATACAAAAAAATAACAAAAACATATAAAGCCTTAAAGCTCATCTGTACTAGTGCAGAGGAGGAATTGGACCACCCAGCAAGGTCACTGGACAGGTGGTTATCTCATCAAATCAGCTCTCAATTAACATGAGAAAAAGAGGATCATGGGGGACCAATGGTCACCGATTTAATTCCTTACCTGCGTGGAGCTGCTAGTAGAGCCACCTGCAGAGTCTCTCCTCGCTTTGAGCCCTGTTGCCCTCTCTTTCTCTGCAGTGAGTAGGCGCATACTCTCTTTAGCGTGCTTCACTATGCAGCCCGGACTGCAGTAGACCGAGCCCGACCGCGCCCAGTTCTCACAACGCGGCCCGATGCAGTGCTGCTTGGGGGGAGGGGGTCGGAAGAACTTGAGTCGCTTCTTCTTGCTGGCAACCTCCTCTTTGGGCTCTTTCTTTGACTAGAAGAGATAAAATAATACCATATATTCTTTTGAATTTCTCAGAACAGGATTATTATGAAAATTCAACAGAATATTCACAAAAAAATTGTCTTTTGAATTCCCCCATTTTACAAATTTTTAGTTGTATATTCTATAACCTACATATGATTTTCCTTTTATCGCTACCTTTTCCTTTAGACTGCACAGAATCTTAAAGTTTTTGTCCTTTTTCAAAATGTGAAAATACCCAGTCATCTGGTTTAGAGCCTAACAAAGTCTCTCCTTTTAGAGCTCAAATACTTAGGAAGATAGGTGGAGGGTAAATTGATAGCTGATGCACAAAATTGTAAAACATATGTCCAGAACACAGACTGCTTTGAAAAATTTGATGAAAGGTCTTTTGAAATGAAGAGTCAAGTAGAAAATAAAAACAAGGCAAATGCAATACCTCAGAGTCTTTCCTCGTCCCTGCATCGCTCTTCCTTTTCCTCTTCTTGTCATCGGACACCTTCCCTCTCCTCCCCTTCTTCTCCTCTTCCTCCTCATCATCATCCATCTCCTCGTCCTCTTCTTCTTCTTCTCTCCTCCTATCGCTGCTCTTCCTTCTTCTTTCTTTCTCCTTTGAGCGTGCATCCCTCGGGTCCTCTGAGTCTTGCTTGGTCTTCTTACTCTTGTCATCCTTTGCCTTGGACTTGTCTGCTGCCCCATTCTTTTCTTCCTCTAAAAAAGCAAGAGATTCAAAATGTTGTCGATTGAACACTTGACATGAGTGATAAGAAAGCATTGTTTTGCTTACAAAAGACTACAGGGAACCTACAGCTGTAGGTCCTATCAGAAGGAATAGGTAATCAGGTATTGCAGGCTAACCAAGGGGATAATGGAGCATTGAAGAGATCTAAAATGTAGGCAGGGTTCATCACTTACAGGGATCCCGTATCAAGATCAGCCAAAGATTCTAACTTCTGAACACCTTAAATTAAATAGGAAAATGTCTTCTAAGTAGTTGAGCATTAAAATTTTGAAGAACAAAAGTAAAAGCTGACAATACTCTGAATGAAATCAAAAGGGACTTGGACCAAAATTAATAGAACCTTTCAAATTGAACTGTTCATAACAGAATACATGTGTATATCAACTACTTTAAAGTTGCTCAAGCGTGGGTACATAGAGGGCAGCACACAGACGTAAGCACTGGAGTGTAATACCAGTTGGCTCAGTGTTATGAAGTGATTGCCAAGTTGCCTACTTGACGAACGTCTGTATACCCATGCATGAATGAACATCTTTGACAAGCTTGATTTTTAAATGATCAAAATAGTACATTAACAATCACAAGTACTCACCAGTACACTTCTGGCACATCCAGCTGAGGTTCTCGCTCTCCATGCGCTTGCCTTCTTTCTTAGTGATGTTGACACACTTGCCATGGAACCAATCCTCACATTTATCACAGCAGATCATGAACCTGGGAGAATCAGGGAATCAGAGAAGTCTCATTTTTAGAGGAATCCAATCAAGGACAAAGAGGTCAGGGGGGGGGGGGGGTGTTTCACAAAGATCCTGAGTAGAACTTAATTCTATGTTGGACTTTAAAATTATGGAAAGCCATTTGTAGCCTTAAAATAAAATATATTCCAAAGCGAAAAATCAAGTATTCTAGACTTTTTATAAATTCCACATCAAGAACATGAAATTTTCCTTGATAATACAAAATATGAACGATTTGAATCAACATTTTATGCCTTTTAAAATAGCTTTTACAAAATATTTCCATAGATGCTAACAGCTTTCCATAATTGTTAAGTCCAACTTAAGATCTTTGTGAAACACCCCCCTGGTCCGCCTAAAGCGATACTGAGCTGATGAACTTTCTGCCCTAGTTTCTTGTACAGCGCTGTCTCATGGTCAACTTGCCAACAATGCGTAACTTAATACTTTATTCCCACTTTGCAGACAGAGGACTTGATGCGAGTACCAACAGCGAGCTAGGGAAGCAGCAAGTTACAGGTCCATGCTGCTACAGCTGACCTGAGATGGCGCTATAGTATGGCTTTAGTTAAATCTTTTACACATAAATGCAGCCACAATCCTAAGACAAATTGCACATTTTAAACAAATACAGTGATTCCAATAGCTAAGGTAGCAGGGATATTGTTGGCTAAACCAAAGTGCTACATGAAGTAAGTGATCAAACAGAAATGACGGAATTTCTGCTTGATGCACATGATGCATACATGTACCAGCATATTTACTTGTAGGGAAAGATATTCATGTATAACTAAGAAAATGAAGACTCCCCTCTGGTTGAGTTTAATATACAGCACACATCCGTTATGTGTCAATTAAAGTTTATTGGAATTTTAAGTCAAGCCGTAACAAATCATTTCACGCAGCTGTTTCAGCAAATAATCCTCTTTCATAAGCCAATAACTTCTATGCATGACTTATGCCAGACAAGCTTCAGATACATGTATGTAATAGACCGGGTTTACTAACACAATCAAATTGTATGCATACTTTTTAAACAAAGATTGTTCTTGACACACTAAAAGCTTCTAGGCTTGCCCAACATAGCAACAAGTAATATATGCAGACTGGATTTCCAGTATTGTAGTTCATTTATCAATGACAGGGTTAGTGGAATACATGTACCTCGTCACTAGGTCCCAAGGAAAGAAACATCCATAAATTTGAATATGTTAGTTAACTGGTCTAATGAGGTTGTTATAAAAGCCTTTATTCAGAATATGTCCACATGCATTGTGTGCATTCTACAATGAGCCTGCTGTTTTGGGGAACATGGCAAAATGTCATTGAACCAAAAGGTCATGACCTACTTCAAAGGCACAGCATGCTTTCACATCCAGAGTTAACTAGCAACTTTTAATTTTGAAAGTCATCATGGGTACACCATTCCAACATTTACAGCTAGATCATGGAATTGGAAATTGCTCATTTAACAGTGTGCATGCTCATACTTGTGCACAAAGTCGATGTAGGAGAAAATAGGACTCTGAAACAGTAAGAATCAGTCAAATACAAACAGGCAAATCCATGATTTCCGTCAGGAACAGTTCTCCTTTTCTTTTCTGTTGAGAACTATCCCAAATGTTTTTTCTTCTTGGTGAAGTAACAGACAACATTTATGCAAGGGGTGTGTGTAAACATATGTCCAATAACATAATTATAGCACAAATACAATAGTAAAATTTCTTTGGAGAAAAAGGAAAGTAATGAGATTCATTAGAATAAAATAAAATGGAGAACTATACTTGTGAGTCTAAAGGTGACTTACTTTCCGTCATGGGGCTTTCTGCATATACACCATAGTTTCTCTGGATCATCGTCACTAGTCCAATCACTGCCTGAATCATGCTCGCCCTCATCGACCACATGCTCCTCCTCTTCAGATGAAAATGGAATATCACTCAGTTCATCATCACCTGAAAAACAAGATGAAGAAATTGATTTTTAAGGAGTGGATTGATGCAGACCTGCCAACCTCTAGAGTTCAAAAACTGTATCCTTTAATCCCAAAAGTTGTATTTTACTGACAAAAATTGTCATTTTTGTATGGATCATTGGTTGAATATGCATGATTTTTTTCATGACTGGTGTGTTGATGAACCAATGAACATCCCCAAATTGTCGATGCGAGATGGTTGTAGGATGCTTTACAGGACAGAATGGGCATTTTGCCATCGTAAATGGAACAAACACACACAAAATACAAAAAAAAAAAAAAAAAAAAAAAAAAAAAATGGTGGGCAGCTATGTTGATGTTTCCAAATAACAGTTGCCATTTAAATGGCACATTTAACTCTTTATAATAAAATGGAATGTTGCTTAGTTCATCCTTACCTGAAAAACAAGAGTATGGATAGATTAATTTTTAAGGAGTGGATGTTTCAAAATAACAGTTGCCATTTAAATGCACAAAAAAAAAAACAGGCGGCCTCAAAAAAAGGAAGTGGGCGGGGACGCTAGACATGATTTTTTTTCTTCCTTCTACAAAATATCCACAGCTTAATTATAGCTTTGCTAAAAGTTAGCGGCAATATTGCATTTAATCTTCGGAATCAAACAATTTTCCATTCACTTCAATGCAAATGTTCTTCAAATAAAATACCCAGTTTCTTCTACTTTCTTACAAAATGAACAAGTACATTTTCAAAGAAAAACACTTGATATTAATTAACTGTAGCACACACAGAACTACACAGGCAAAATATATTATGAACACGTCACCAATATGCGTGTTTATTTACTGTAAATTAACTGCCATTAACTGAAACTGAAACAATGACGATCAGTCTCCTGGTTTAAAACTTGTTAAATTCTGAAAATGAATATCAATGTAATGTCAACTCCAGTTCATGAATTAAATCATTGAAAGACTTGAGTATGCAATTATGAAACTGAAAGCATTATTCTATTACATCTTGGAATTAGACCCCTTCATTTTTGCTGTAGACACAAGCAAAGTTGCAGCCTGAAACTAGTTACTTAAACAAAACTCTATCCACATCAAATAAATACATGTATAGACAAGAAAAAGTAATTAAAAACGAATATGGAAATGAGAATTCTTACCAAGTTTTGTTTTCTTGACTTCTCTAGAACTTTTAGAAGACTTCTTCTTTCTGGACTCGTCCTTCTCCTTGTCCTTCTTCTCGTCCTTCTCCTTGTCCTTCTCCTTGTCTTTCTCCTTATGTTTCTTTTTCTTCTTATCCTTATCTTTGTCATCCACAGACTTTGATCTACTCTCACTTCGATGCCTTTCCTTCTCTTTACTGCTACTTTTCTCTTTTGACCTGGAGCGACCGTCCTCTTTGTCCTTATTTCTCAATGATTCCTTGTCCTTGTGATCACGTTTCGATTTAGACTTCTTATCTTGCTTGGTCTCTTTGATCTCTTTCTCTTTTGACACTTTTGATTCTCGTCGTGAAGACCGCCTGGGTTTTTCTTCATCTTTCTTTTCTTCTGTATTATCAACAGAACTTTCTTCGGCGCTCTTCGCTTTCCTGGTATCTCTTCGAGTGCTGCGTTTTGTAGGGGAATCCACCGGGGCTGGTGCAGGTACACTACTTGTCGTTGGTAGAGCCTGACTCGCAGCATAGCTATGGTCCATCCAGTACACACTGGTGTTGGGTTCAGCATGAGCTTCTTCATCATCGGACAATTCACCCGTTTCCTTCTCCTCCTTCACCTCTCCCAACTCCAATTCATCCTTTTTATCTAATGACTTTTCCTTCACTTCACCAATGTCTGCATTCTTTGACTCTGCATCAGATGTTCTTTGACTACATGTAGATGCATCAGGTTTCTCTTTCTCCTTGTCACCCGCTGTGGTTTCCTTCACAATGTCTTCCTTCACTTTTTTCTTTGACGCATCCCTGCCGAGGCTTTCAAATAGATTAAGACTTGTTTTCTTTTCTTCCCCTGTGCCACCCTCCTGCTGTTTCTCATCTTCTTTCTTTCCTGTTGATCCTTCCTTCTTTACTGCTGGATCTTCCTCCTTCAAATCTTCCTCTTTCTGAGCTTCACTCTGCTTAATCTCCTGATCAATGACCATCAGGTATTTTGCAATTTCACTACTTATATCCGCCCCTTTTTCCCCTTTCTCCTTCGGTGCATCTGGAGAGTCACTTCCACTTTCCACAACCGTCACGTTTTTAGAATCCTTTGCTTTCCTTTCTTCTTCTTTCTGCCGCTTCTTCTCCTGTCGCTCTCTCTTCTTCTGCTCTTTTTCTCTCATGGACTGTCTCAGGGTCAGATCATTTGCTGTTATGTGTGCAATCCTGGAAGACCTTCTCTTGAGGTTATCCTCCATCTTCTTCTCCGACGTTGAGTCCGTGGTCGATCCGTTCTCCGATTCCCCGTCACTGGTTGTCTGAGGAACGACCGCTGCTGCAGCAACCATGATCCCATCATCACCTATGGCTTCCATGAGTATCTCACTGCTCATGACCTGGTTCATCAGATGCTTGGTGCTAAAGCTTCCAGCTCCAATGTTGAGCACACTGTCGATGTTGAGTTGAATCTTCTCTTCTTCTTCTTCTTCTTGCTGGTGATCCTCTTGGTGATCCTCTGGTTCTTCAATGGCCATGCTTTCGATGCTATCTTGAGGAGGGACTTGGAGAAGTGGGTTGGGCCCCGACTTGATCTGCTCGGACTTCAAGGCAGCATCGATCTTGAGGATCTGGTCCTGGGTCAATATCGTTGAGGCACCGCCTAGATCCAAGGGAAAGATGCTTCCCGTCTCCTTTCCCTAAAAGTAAAAACAAAGGGTGTAAAAAGATTACTTTGAGAAAAACAAATTAAATTATTCACAAATGCATGAAAAAGAAAATGTTCTTTAAGAAAGCAAACAATTTGTAAAATTAAACTCATCCAAGCTCGTAAAGAAAAACTGAGACTTGTAAATATGTGAGTAACTCATAAGAAACAAGTGTAAAATAAATCAAAAATTATGAATTTCAAAGACAGCTTTAAAAAGTGATTTAAATACTCTGTATTCTTATTAGGCTCCATAGATCTATTTAATCAAATTGAATCCAATTATAACTCTGTAACTCCTTTAAGAATAACATAACTGCAACTGTGTACCTAAGGAAAAGGAGTTGTGATTAACTTGCGATCAATTCAAAGCAATCTCAACTCTTTATAAGACCGGGCCCAGGGGTGGTACTCTTCTATGTTGGTAAAACAATGTTAGTTTGCATATCCCTGGGTAATAATGATAGTGAACAAAGAACTATGTTAGTCACATGCTTTCACACAAGGGTGTAACTTTGGAAAGGAAGCCAAACTTTGACTGAGACCAACCCAAGCAGACGGCGCCACCTCACTGATTCCTTCGCTTGCATACAATGGGGCAAGATCGGGATACATCGGGAGATCGGGAGAGATATTTGGGAGGGAAATTACCTCCCCATCGACATCGCCACCAGTCGCTGTCAGGTTCCACGACATCAGCCCGCCACCGACCTTCTCCACGACAACATTCGGCGTGGTGCTGACAACACACACAGAGTGCCCACTACTACTTCCAGGGGACTTCTCCTTCACAGTTTGGTCCACAGACGACAGGGTTGTTCCATCTGAAATGCCATCTGATCCTGCATCGGCTTCTAAAGGTGCCTCTGAAGGTTCCTCTGAAGGTTTCTCTGAAGGTTTCTCTAAAGGTTTCTCTAAAGGTTTCTTAAAAGGTTCCTCTGAAGGTTTGTCTGAAGGTTCCTTTGAAGGTTTATCTGAAGGTTCCTCTGAAGGTTCCTCTGAAGGTTCCTCTGAAGGTTCCTCTGAAGGTGCCTCTAAAGGTTTGTCTGAAGGTTCCTCTGAAGGTATCTCTGAAGGTTTCTCTGAAGATTTCTCTGAAGGTTCCTCTGAAGGTGCCTCTAAAGGTTTCTCTGAAGCATTGTCCACAGTTACAGAAGTTGTCCCATCTGAAATACCATCTGAGGGTTTTCCTTCAGTACCAGAAGCTGTAGAATGGCTTGGAGTTTCTTCTGCTGCAGGGCTTGGATCTTGGCCGGTCGTGTCGTCCTCAGTGGGTGTTGCTACAGCGGGTTTAGATTCACCTTGAGGAACTTCACTTGAGGTCTGTGTATCCTCACCATCCATCCTGGAGGCTAGCTTGTACAGTTCCACAAATCTATCAAGAAAGAAATGATTAAAAAACATTTTTATCATCAAAATACAATAAAGCACTGCATGTACAGTGTACTCAGGATGGTCCACACAAAAAAATGCAAATGTAAACTGCAGCATGGGGCCAATGTGGACTATTCTCAAAATTTGCATGATGCATTTTACATTGACTTTGTACAGAGAGATTCACGTTATGAGTGATAATCCTCGGGAAGACGGACAACCCATTTAAGTAGACGGTGCCAGTGCACGGATTGGGAACCCAAAAGTCGCAGAGTGCAGAAGAAGAAAAAACAATGCAGACGATCCTTATTTTTAGGACGAATTTTGTCAGCGTTTACGAGGATATCCGAATTTTATTTGGACAATCTTCATTCTCAAACCAGCGCCCCTACTGGACACTGTCGGGACTGTGTCAGTGTGCAAATTTTGCCGGTGACATGCAGGAGAATAAGTACGGGTAAATTTCGCAAGAAAGCCGAGACTATTCTGTATTCATTGATTGATGCTAGTTACTAAATGAGTCTAGTTCAGCCCTAGTTGCAGGCAATTAAACATTGAGTCATACACAGTCAAATTACAATGCAACTCCAAGCCAACAATTACATGTAACATTACATGCAAGTTGCAACATGCAACATGCATTCTCCCTACCTGCTGGCCATGGCTGGAGCGCGGCGGGCCTGGACTGGGCTCCGCCGCGCCGCACCGCATGCCGCACATGCACATCTCATAGACACAACACACATAACAAACACCACCATGAGATTCGAGGATCGAGGACCGAACTTTCATTCACACACCTCGTTTTCACGCATGCATACTAAAAACAAGTTTCTTTTCATTACCTCTCGATGCAAAAACTTCAAAGCAAATTAATCTCCGCGTCTTTACGAGCTCCAAATCCGGAATTAAAAAGAATTTTAACATCCTCTCCGCGTCAACATAGCCTGGTCAACTCCCCAACCCTGCATGTTTTTACTTGGAATGCGACGACCAAATGTGTTGTGTAGGTACGTACGTGCAAAGATCAATTAAGCTTTGCTTGTGCATAATTTTTGTGCTAAATTTTTCAGTGCTAATATATAACCTGTCGGCTAGTTCGACAAACGGCAGACATAATATACAAGCAAAAGACTCTTTCCTTTAAAAAAAAAAAAAAAAAAAGGGGGGGGGGGAGGAAACTCACAAATGTTCTTATCTTTAGTCCCCAAAATAACATTTGATATGTGTATTTTAAAAAAAAAGAAAAAAAAAAAGATGCATTCTAGCTATATTTAATTGCCCTTCCATTTAAATCGAATGGCAAAATGGAAAAGTAAAAAAAAAAAAAAAAATGAAAGGAAAAAAGGCAAATTGATCGGCTATACAATTCCCTCCCAGCCCCCCCTCCCCCATTTTCGTCTTGTTTTACCAGGTTTTAAAACACCTCCCTGGTTTTACCTCTCGATCATTAAGCTACAGTCCCATATACGTCCCGGACCGTCCCGGACCATCCCGGACCCCATCCGGGGTGATCCGGGATTCGGTCCGTGTTGACACCGTGTTGGCACCGGGGTGATCCTGGATGGTCCTGGATGGTCCTGGATGGTCCTGGATGGTCCTGGGCGGTCCGGGAGTCGACCCCGGATGTTTTTGACTGTCAAAAACTGCCGGGGTGGTCCGGGACGGTCCGGGACAAAAGTTTGATCCGGGGTGATCCGTGTAGCCACCGTGTTGGGTCCGGGGTCATCCGTAGTGGCGCCGGGGTGGTCCGTGTTGATCCGTGGCAGTCCGGGAGTGAGTTATTGACCGCCCAGGACCATCCAGGACCATCCAGGACCATCCAGGACCACCCCGGTGCCAACACGGTGTCAACACGGACCGAATCCCGGATCACCCCGGATGGGTTCCGGGATGGTCCGGGACGGTCCGGGACGTATATGGGACTGTAGCTTTTAAAGCATGACACTTTTTTGAACAAAACATCCCGGACCATCCCGGATCACCCCAGACCATGGTCCGGGATGGTCCGGAGTGGTCCGTGCTCGTCCGTGCTGGTCCGGCTTTATATGGGACTGGGGCTTTACTTTTCTTTTTTACCTTTTGGGGGGTGCAAATTTTTCCTAATTATCTCCCATCTTTCTCTTTCTTCCGGTTCCATCCTATACTCTCATGACTATATTGAGACAGGTTGCAACTAAGAGCTTTCCCTTTCTCTTTCTCTTTCTCTCTCTCTCTCTCTCTCTCTCCTCCTCCTCCTTATGATTTATGATGGAGACCTCTTCCATTCTTTTGATCAATACTACTCCATCATTTTTCCCGATTGTCCTTTTCTTCCATCCTTCTTTCACTGGTTATCCTTTATATTATTTCTCCCCTTCTTTAGCCCTCTTTCTAGGTCACTTAATTATATCTGTGATTTTATTGTAATCCTTCTTATAGTCCAAGGCATCATCCTTAACCCCTGATATCCTACAAATACCTAATTCCTAACTTTATAACCCTGCACCTAACACAATACTAAACTATCTAACCCCAAACCTATCATAAAACCAATTTGCAACCTGAACTGTAACTTTTATGCATTCATCTCAAATTTCTAAACCAAACCTTTTTTTATCCTTTTCAAAAATACATTTCACCTCCCTCTCTCTCTCTCTTTCTCTCTCTCTCTCTCTCAGGCAGTCTCTCTTCCCAATTCCCATCTCTCCTTTTTCCTCTCCCTTTCTCTCAATCTTCCATTATTCATAACTCAGTATTAGTTCTTTGTTCTCATCCACAAGGTCTCTCTTTCGCTCTCTTCTAAGGTACTTGGAAATAAATAAAACTAAACTCATTTATAATTTCAATCTTCAGTGTTTTTTTAATTCACATTTCCTAATTTATTACAAAATTATAAGAATACAACATCTGTGTTGATAAAGAGCCAATGTAATATTGATTCGAAAAAGAGAAGCCACATCATGTTTTTGTTGAAGAAACACACATTAAATCCAAATAGCTTTTCAATTTCGCAATACTATTGTGTGTCTTTCGCATTCTTGAATTGAATATTATTGTACCAGCTTAAATTCATATTTTAAATTAAATTTTTGTATTTCATTTAAGTAGTTATTTCTGGTCAAAACTAAATATCATCCAGTCAATAGCTGCAGTATATTTCTATATGAAATGAAAATGATAATTTACCAATAATGAGAAATATTGCACATGCCCTACCATATTGGGAAGAAAAACTTGCAACCTGATTCTTTTCTATTTTTCATGAAGTAAATTGGACAATAGGATAAAAGAATAGAAATGAAATACAGTTTAAATTTTTAAAAAATCAATAACAATTTAAGTACAAAAGTTAGCTGCATATCCAGATGTTATCTTCTTTACCAAACAGTGTCGTTTATACGTTTTCAAAATTTCTTTCAAGTGACCACTTCACCAGCATACCATATGGAAGTATTTATGTGACTCCTTGAAAATGTGTAAAGTTTCTATCTTAAACACAATTTAGTAGTGGTACATATTGCAAAACTGAAACTGCAATGAAATTTCTTGACTATGTTCTAAATCAGACAATAAATTATCTTGACTCTAACACTGTTTCAGTGGTACCACAAAATGAAAATAAATCAATTCCAATGAATTTAGGGTAAATTTCTAAGTGCAGCCAAGGGAATATAAATATATGTTTTTACCTTTATTTGTTCAATCTTCCACTAAAAAAGGAACACCTTATTTTGCTAAATAGATTATTTTCACTCCTCACTCATAAAATTGTTGATGAATACCTTTTAGGTATCACCAATAGTACATGCAATTTTTTAAAAATCAAACGACACAAGTGATCCTACAACATAAAACATTTTGAAGCAGTCAAGGGATTAAACAGGGAGTGTTAATTTAAGGCAATGTATGCTAGAGAGCACCGACAATACAAACTGTAGATGCAGCAAGTGTACAATTGGTGTCAAATATGCAAAAAGGGGAAAATATTAATTTGTTACTTTTAAATTGACTCCCAAATATCCAACTTCCTCCTATATTCCTATTTTTGGTATGATCTTGGACATTGAAAAAATCACATGACTCATGCAATCATTCTGTCCTCCAATAAAAATGTGTGTCATTTGATAAACAATTAACAGTGACACTGTGAGAAAACAGCCATAACAGAACCTTGTATGGTGTAGAACATTACAGTACTTCCTTGTTAATGAATTTCACAGGTAAAAATGAGCAAAAAATGTGGTACCCGGTATATATTGTTGTGAATATAGAGTACATTGACCTACTGGTCCAATAACAAATAATCTGTTGACAGTCAAGTGAGAAGCTAGGGCATTAATTCATAGTTTAACATTGAATTATATATGGTCCTTCTGACTATCATCATTCTATTTAGTCAAGCTTAAAGGTAAAGACCAGTTATGGTATGGTTATGCGATTGCATTGTGAAAGAAACGTTGTGGAATTGATCAGAAAAGGTTGATCATCTAGCATCTAGCATCTGCAAGGTTCTGGAATCATCAAAATGATAAGAAATTTGGCCCATTCTTCGTAAAGTTACAAGCACTATACACAGGAAGATGTATATGGGACTACCCTATATCTCTCACAGACCATGAAAGAAACAAATTTACCAAATATATGAATTAGTAGGCGGTTTCCTGGCAAATTTTGTATCATCATGTATTAGTCAAAACATATTCTTTCACATGATTGGTAACGAGAGCTTCCATTTCATTTTTTGAAATTGGGACGTTTCCAATACTGGTCTTTACCTTTAAAAAAGAACAAAATGAGAGGAATGGCAAGGTCTAACTGTACTGTCAACGCCAAGTCTGTGTTATTTTACCAGCTGATTGGGCGCGTGACACGGAAACGATCCACATGCTGGACTACATTCTGTTCTGTTCCCAACAGCCATTCTTCATGTGTGCATGGCACCAAGCATCCAACTCTCGGCCCAGGTTGAGACTGCAAATGTCTGATTGGCCCCTTTAAAAGTTGCATTGAGTGCTTGTGGTAGAATTGCATTTATAAATAACAAATCACAATGTTATTCAGGGGGTCAAGTGCAGGAAATAAGCACAACTTGGGTATTGTAGGGCTTTGGTGCCAAAAAACATTGAAACAACTTATGTTATCTTCTTAAATATCACAAACACTAGAAAGTAATACTTGTCTGTGTGGGACTACACAAACACATGACTAGAAGTGATAACAACATGTTTTTTTAAATATATTTGAAATATGTACCGTAATCAATTAAGAGTAATTCTTCTCTTATTACATTGCCACAGTGATCTTTTTTATACCTGGTTCTTGCCAGTGCACAAACCCTAGGTGCAAATTCCAAGCATAAGGGATTTCAGAAAAAATTTATACCAAGGGGAACAAGGGTAAGGGTTATACACTATGTCCATGTATAAATAAAATGTGCATAATGCTATGATCGACCCCCCCCCCCCTTGGGACTAGTAGGCGGCAAGACATAAAGAATTTCAAAACATTTTGTATAAATGGTGAACTAAATCCTGGCGATAAACCCGTTCTTACATAATATGATTTTGTAAAGATGAGATACATTTTTGAAGTTTACTATTCATGATTTAAATTTCAACGTAAGAAAAGTTGGACAGTTTATAAACTGCTCCTTTTTTTTTTAACCACTACTCAACAGCCCCTTTAAGGACAATTGCTTCATTTGCTTGACAACTGCGTGGGCTGACTGTACCCGGACTCATTGACAAACACACAAGACAAACTCCTTGTCCCAGGAAAGAGCTAATTACCACTGCTTGACAAAGACACGTTCTTACTGGCCTGGCTGTAACCCAATAAGGTTTTCGCAACCCCACCCCCAAACCAACCCACCACCCACCTTTCTAAGTAATACATCTCATGGGAAATTGTGTGGACTTAACATGTTTTAAGTACACTAGACTGTCACAATACGGCTCCTCCTTCTCCCCCTTCCCCCTTTCAATTGGGATTTTATCATTCATATGGTACAGTCAAACCTGCTTTAGTGACCACCTGTCTACAAAGACCACATTTTTTTATTTCCCTTGAAAATGGTTTCTTGTTGAAATATGTACTAAAGGAACCTGTTTACAAAGACCAATTTTTGTGTTTCCCTTGGGCAGTCGCGATAAACAGGTTTGACTGTGGTAACTAATCACTGAGAGTGTGGAGATGGTGCACACTTCAGTGCTGTTTAAAATCCAATGGACCTGTATTAATAAAATGCTTTGTCCATGAATATGGAAAAGAGTTGTCAGGTATATAGGAAATGTGTATAAAATCATGTTCGCATTCTTTATTGGGCTCATAATTGTGAAAACATAACTATTTCAGGTACAGTACATTTTAACATTACATGGTGTGAACTTTGTTTCATTGCTCAAACATGATTAACCCCTGTACAGGCTTCCATGATTCTTCCTTTCGCAATACAAAAATCTTATAGCTATATGATACTTGTAGTCCACGTATCTTGTAAAGAAATGTAAAAAGAAACGTTGTATGGAGAAAAGCATTGAGCATCGTTTCAAATAAAATATAGATCAGGGTTATGATTTCTTTTGAACAACATATCGTACGTACACGTACGTTACATAAGTGGACAGGCTTATCGTTCGAGCGAGTGAACCGATGATTGGCCAGCTGTCATGTCAACTGATTTTTAAAAATTAGTTTCTTCGTATGATGTTGTTATCTATCTTGTCTTTGGTCTAGTCTGAACAGGCCATGTGTGAGTGGCTGAAAGCTATATTCAAAGAATTAAGACAAAGTCGTTTCTCCAAATACACAAACAATCCAAAATAAAAAGATTTATGAGGCTGCTGTTATCTTATAAGTACCGGTACACCAACATTTGTACGTTTCAGTTACAGGAAAACCTAATTAAAAAATAATTTGCAGCAACATATATGTCAAAAAGTAAAAAACAGAGAGCTCAATATCTCTCTGAGCTTTTACCTGTAAGTATGAATTTCTTTAGTATTGACAGGATATGAAAAGAAATATTTCAGTTTTATAATTTTGTATAACTACATGCGAATATATCAACTATGGAGAGTCATAAAAAACCTGAAGAGCCATTGCACATGTACATGTATGTATAACAAATTGCTGCCATGCTGCAAAATGGTATTTAAAAAATTAAGACACATTAAACATTTTTGGTTTAAATTCAAACACTGGAATGCAAAATAACCATAGATTGAAAACAAAATTCATAAAAACTGAAGACTGAGCATACCGCTCACTTACATGCTGCATTGCATGTCAAAATTATAAAAAAAAACAAGTCCTTTCATAAAAAAAAAATAGGTAATACTCAAGAAACCTTGAGACTGCTAATAAGCTTTGAGGCTAGTTCAACATCGCTTCGATGTCGACTGAGTCCATCATCAATGCGAAGGCGGTCTAAGTGAATATCATCCAGAGACTTTGACCGGTGAAGTTGAATGTCAGGAACAGTCAACGATGCCTTATCCGCTGCCTCACTGCTGGGACGGCGAAGCTTCCGTCCGTTCCCGTTGCAATCTGTCTGCGGGTCTTCTAAAAAAACATCATCGTCTAAACTAGTTGACAGGTTGGTATTCAACTTCCGTGAACGCAATGTCCTTGATCTGTGCGCATGAGGGACAGCGTACGGCTTCCTCTGACAGCGCCGTGTTGGCCTGTGAGTCCTTACGACACGATGTTCATTGACAAGGAAGGATGGATACGGTTTGGATGCACTGCTACTCTTCTCTGCTTCCATCACACCATTCTGTACGCTGCTGCTACTGCTTGATGTTATGACTGGACGGCCATGACTAGCTAAGACGGAACCTACACATGTGACAAACTGAGTGTTCATTTTGACGATTTGGAAGCTCGGTTGCATTGACGATGTAGCATTGTTCATATTGTTTTCATTCTGTGACACTCGCTCTTTCAAATACTCTTTCCGGCTCTCTGTCACTATACTCAGCATGCCCAGTTCATTGAGTGCAGAATCTAAATCCATACTTCACTAAATCCACAGCTAAGCCTTTCCCTGATTAACTGTAATGGGAAGAGAGATAGAGAAACACAATTCTAATGATTAATGAAAAAAAATTGTCTTTTATGGAAAGGAACAATATAGACTCTATTCTTAAAATATCTACAGTACACATTTTTACTTGCACAATGAACACTTTTTACTACTCAATTCTAAAACCGTTTGGGACCTCTTTCTTTGGAGGCTCACACAATGCAGCATGGCACACTCCTTCACAGCACTACACACAGCAGTACGAAAATACCCTACCCAGAGGACTGTACTTGCACTTGAAGAAGAAGAAGAAATTTAAAAACTCACATCTCCTTTGTGTTTATGCATGTTCACAATTTCACGTGAAATTGTAAAATTGGAGTTAACATCACATGAAAAAGAAGGTTACACTTGCAACACCTATATAATTAGACCTAATTCATGACAAATAAAATTCCTAAATAGTAAACTAAAGGCTTTACTAAAGGGTTGTGAACTAATTTACACTGTTAACTTAAATCATAATTGATGACGACCCGATGATTGAATTGATAGATTACTCAGATTCAGAAGAAGACAACAAAAATTGTTTGAAATCAAACTAAAGTCTAATTAACTCCAAGTCCAAAGACTGTAACTGTTAGGCCTAGACCATTAGTTTAGTGTAAAAATGCAGTAAAGTAGGCCTATGCACATTTGATTCTTATTCTTAGTATTCTTACGACTTACCTTATTTGTAGTGTCTCGTGAGTCTTGGCTTTTATTTAATTCTGAATCTCTGCTCTTTAATTTCAGCTGCATTTGACCCCAACTTCAGTCACACAAAGAACGTTGCAACCTCTGTACTTTGGATTGGATTTGATAGAGTAGAATACATCCGAGTGCAGATCAGAACACAGTTAGACTTCTACCGTACACATGTGTGTATGCGCGTGCATATAGACCTTCTTCTTCTTGTAGTTGATCCCTCCACTATTTTCCCACGAAACATACAATGAAAACATAAACAGAGCTAGAGAGATCTACAATACACGCCCGTCGCTTTGGCGCGCTATGAACAGTCTCATTATATGAAAGGGTTTTATTTTCTAATCATCAGTATATTCAGTTACTACAAAAGTTACATAATCATTAATTCAAACAATATTTGAATATCAGTTATTAACTGATATTATTAATTGGTAGTAATCTACACATATAACCTGTTTTATTATAGTTATATTTTTGTACGACATGAGTATAACATTCCTTTTAATTAATGGAACAGTCCACTACAACAAGTATGATGCACACGTGAAACATGGACGACGACGAACGAGAATGCCATTCTCCGATTTTAAACCATTGAATTGTTGTTAACAGCTAACATTTTAAACAAGCCAGCACAGGTGAGATTCTGTCCGTGAGTAACATTGTCGTAATAAAGGGAGGATGTTTTAAAATGTGATCATAATCATTAGACTCTAGCATTAAATCTTTGATAACTCAATTATTTTTTTGAGGTTTGAACTTTGAGTTTGAGCTTGAGTTGAATGAATGTAGATAGTGTACTGTAACTGTTAGATAGATCACGCAGTTCAGCTCGGCGAAAGCCACGGCCCACGAGCGCGAGCATGCACGCAGTGCACAGCTCCACATGCACACAGCGCCACTTACACACAGCCACTTGCACACAGCTCCAGCCACTTGCACAAACACATTATACATAGATCTAGATCTACTTAGATCTAACTAGTTACTACATAGTCAGTTATCAGTTATTCAGCTGCTGAATGAGAATGAGGATCGTCTTTGTAAATGCGCAGAGACACGTCCTAAAAAAATGAGGATTGTCCGCAAAATTTCACGAACGATTCTTATTCCTGATCCGCGCGTTGGCGATCGATGCAAAATACGGAGGAAAACAACACAAAAACACAAACAAACAAAACAACACAAAACTCAACAACAAAAAATCGCCTGGCCGCTATAGGCGGCTCGTGGACGATGCTCCGCATTTCGGTAGGGGCGCTGGTCCGAGAATAAGGATCGTCTTCATAAACAAAGATCGTCTTGTAAACGAGGACCAATGCGTCCTCAAAAACAAGGATCGTCTGCAAAAAAAGCAGATGTTCCCTATTTTTGATCGGCACAGTGGCGATGCAAAAACGGATTCCAGGATGATTTTCTTGATGCATTTTACATTGACTTTGTACAGAGACCTTCACATTATGAGTATTAAATCCTTGGGAAGACGGACAACCCATAAAAGTAGACGGTCAAAACTAGGGTTATTTTCACCTGGGGAATCCAAATTTGGCATTGCCAGCGGGCGGTTCGGTAACCCGAAACCCGCAGGGCGCTGATGAAAAAAAACGTCCGCGAAAATGCAGACGATCCTTGTTTATGAGGATGCATTTTGTACGGGTTTATGAGGATATACTCGTTTATGAGGACGATCCTCATTCTCGGACCAGCGCCCCTACTGATGTAAGTAGATGCCAGGAAAACATCATTTGCAGGGGTTCAAAATAGCTAATAGCACACCAAAAAATATCGCCTCGCCGCTATGCCGCTCATGGACGATGCTCTGTATTGGGTCAAATCCCCCCTTTGGCAAAAAGCTAATGATACGCCCCTGGATAAAGACGTATAGTAAAGAAAGAATGTGAAGGTTACTCCGAAAAATGAGGAAGAAATAATGTGCAGAACGGGAAGAAATCGAGAGAATGTCATCATGGGATGAAAGTCAGTAGAAGCTATGTAACTTGTAAATTTGTAAGAGGGAAAATGCTGACTTAAATGAATAATAATGATGAAATAGCAAAGAATTAGGGAGTATCATGGAAACTTGTATTAAAAAAGAGCCCCCGTCAGTACTAAAAGAGTCTCACGGGGGCTCTTTTTTTTGCAAAGAGCCTCCATGGACAAAAAATTAATTTGAGCCCTGTTGCTAACGATACCTCCGCAAAACATGTTTCTCTTATTTATTCCAAAAAAAATGAACAAAGGAATTTGAGTGTAAGATCATGATAAAACTTAACTTTTGAAGTGTTTCTTCTGTCAAATCACTGCTCTAGCGCTCTACCTTGTTTCTTTCAGTACTGCTACGATGGCAGATGAAGAACCGACTCCTCCAACCGATTTAACAAGAGATGATGGACCTCCAGAGAGTGGTGCTGGTCCCAAGGAGATATTAATTCCTGAAGAGGAGGGCTGTTCAGAGAGTAGCTCTAGTTCTACAGAGGCCACTGAAGATGACGGACTTACAGAGAGCAACTTTGGTCATATGGAAGCAGTAGTTCTTGAAGATGAAAAGGAAGAAGAGCCCTCTGTGGTTGAAGATAGTGAGAAGCCACAAGATGTAGACCCTTCACTGGATGTTGAAGGCGCTGCAGGGGTTACAGAAAAGATGGAGGATGACGAGGACGTGGAAGACTCGCTGTCAAGCGATGACATGGATATGTTGCTCATTGCAGATGATTCTGACTCTAGCGATGAAGATACAGATGCCTTGCTGGGGGGAAGTCTGGACAAAGAGGGTTCTTCAATTGGAGACAGTTTAGAAAAAGATGGTCCTTTGATGGTGGAAATTCCAGAGGAGGATGAGGATAGTTCCAAAGATGGTCAGACCAGTATGGAGGTCGGTGATGAGGGTGATTTGGAATATAACGTGAAGATCACGCGAGTAGGTGGAGGTGACTTTGAGGGTTTTGAGATCATTCATGAACCGGTTAGTAAGAGTCATGTAAAAAGTCCGGCAAGAGGGAGTCCAGCAGATGACAATACATCACCTGTGGAGGGAAAGACAAGCAAAAAAGGCATTGCATCTCAAGAGGAAGCTACACCATGTAGTAGCAGTTCTGCCAACAAAGAAACAAAGGATAGAATGGAAAGGGAGGGGTCTAAGACAAAAGCGGAGGAAACCCGGTTCAGCATTCCTCCATCTGAGAGTGCCCGGTCATCAAGTGCATCAAGTGACAGTCAGAGGACGATACCTTTGGACGTTGAGCCAAGTGACCGTAGCATGAGGCGGCCATGTTCGCCGACCTCCTCCCGGTCAAGCGAAAACAAGTCCAGCGTCAGGCTCCCATCATCCCCGTTTTCCAGCGATTACAAACCGTCAACCCCAGGGACGCTTTCTAGTCGTAGCAGCACCACAGGGAGCTTTGACGAGAGTGGAAGGTTCGCAGGGGATTCTACCAATAGCACTAAGCTGCGTGCCATGCGTAACTCGACTCGAGAGCGGAGAGAGAACAGGGAGGAACGCGAGAGGCGGGATAAACTGTCCAAGAGTGAGAGGAGTCGAGAGCTAAGCAGGAGCAAGGTAAATTTAGAGATCTTGATTGTTCGGGAGATTCATAAATTATCAACTGGAATAAAAGTTTCTTTGAGAAGGAATAGAACTTGAAGAGGGATCCGGCTTTCCGGCAAGCTAATTTGAATGAAGCTAGGAAAATAGGAAAACGGGCTGGAATGTTTGAAGACATCAAATTGATTATTAGCAAGTGGACATCATTAATTATGTGGGAACCTAAAATATATATATTGGACATTCAAAAAATTCTATAGCTTTTACCCACTAACTGTGATATTCTATTGTACATCCTGTAAGCAGGAGCTGTAAATAAGTCTGTAACATTAAAAAAAATATTTTTAAACGATATCATTATCGTTTGTAGAATAGAAAATGGAAACAAAATAAATGATATACTAATATATCAAAGATATTTTGAGATAAACCTTGATAAACTTTCAGACATGTGTTTGAATATGCAAGGAGGTACAAAATAACGATCTAGATGTTATTTTCAGCCTATAATATATAACCATGAACCTCATGTTCCAACCTTTTTTTCTGCAGTCGCATGTGGACAAGAGGAACCTTAGCAATCCGAAAGGTGCTCCCGTGGAGGGCAAACCCTCGCCCCCTAAACTCAGAAGCAAGATGACTAGAATAGGCTTTGATTTTGAACCTGGTTTCAAGCTGGAGGCAATGGACTACAAGAATAATTGGTAAGTCACCAGGTTGAAAAATGCAATTTATTTTTGAAGGCTTTTGAAAAGCTAAACGCTTATGTTCAATGACATATATAAATTATTTACCCCAAAAAATGTTTTCTGTGGTGGTATTTTAGAGAGTGATGAGCAAAATTGCCCTTGGCCTCTGGGTTTTTCACGGATAATAATGTGTATTTTTTTCTTGGTAATACGACTATGTGAATGAGTGGTACTTGTAGTGTACATACTCATTTCCCTAATGAGTAATAACAGCCTTTAAAAATAATTTGGCCGGAGGAGGTGCCAATGTATTTAAAGTAGTGCTGTAACATCACGGATATCTCCAATTCCGTTTAACCGCCAGTCAAAACCGGACGGTTTTCGGTTAAACGATTTATTTAAAAAAAATAAATAAAAAAAAAAAAATAAATAAATAAAAAAATAAAAAAAAAATCGTTTTTTTTTTTTTTTTTTTTTGGGCCGTGTGAAAAAGTGGGAAGGACTGCGAGGTGATTTAACTGAAGGCACTGATTTGTGCTTGTGAACTAGTCACAAATAATAGTAACAATTTCGTTTTAGAATAATGTGTAAGATCATTAATGTAAATTAAAAACAGTAGAGGACCTAGGATAGAACCTTGTGGTACACCATGTGTTAAACTTGGATGAATATATATTGAGATCTATTACAAAGATTACTTTTAAACCAAGATGACAGACAAATTGGAGTGTTGTTCTAGTTTCCAAGTGGTAAGTCATCACACCGATTACTGAGCTGGGAGACATTGCCAGGCATAGTGCCAGGTGGAGGGGCATAAATCGAAACCTTTTTTTTTTTTTTTTTTAAACGGGAAAACGAAACCGTCCAATTGAAAACGGAATCCGCCATGGGCGGTCGGATACCGGACGGTTAAACGTTTGACTACAGCACTAATTTAAAGCAAGATTTACAGCAATGGTAATTTACGTTTTGTGGTCAAGGTATGGAATGAATTATTTTCTCATGTGGAGTTTTATGTGTAAGAATAAGCAGTCAATTTCAAAGCCCAATTGAAACATTCTTTAAACAGAAAAAAAATCAAGCCATGCCAAATGCTTTATGATTCTCTAACATTTGCTGTGGTAAACCTTTTCCAGACTTTACGTCAAAGATGTATGACATTGGGTTATAGTTTGTTATAAGATCTAGATCATGTGTAGGGCCAAGATTAATGTCACACCAAGGGTTGAAGACCGAGTTTATGATTTTGAGTACTGGTAATGTTAAAAATTGACTTCTGAGAAATTGTTGGCAAAGCATATATTGAAAATAATATCGCTAGTGATATTCGTTTCTGATGTTTCTTCATATCTTATGACCAAAACACCTTTTGTGGTTTTCTTTTCCATCTCCATCTAGGTATCCAGCCAAGATCCTACAGGTCGATGAGAAGGGCAATCAGATACAGATCCATTTTGAAGGCTGGAACTCACGCTATGACGAATGGGTCCATTACAACACCCCTAAGCTCCGCCCACTCGTCCGGATGTCCAATCGCAAGGATGGATTTAAGGAGACTCCTGCTGGGGTAAGAGAATGCCTGACCATCGATCACAACTTTTTAAAATATATATTAGAGGGAGAGGGTATATTGGGTATGCTGTCTTGATTTTCATAATTTTCAAGTACATGGCCTGTGCACAAAACCTACCATTGATGGTAACTTTGTCATCAATGGTAACTACCATGGAAACCTTGATTTTTATTGGCTGTTGAGCCATTGATGGCAAAGTAACCATCAATGATAAGTTTTATGCAGCAGGGCCCTGGAGCGGAGATCGATACTAAAATGTTGTTGGGTCCCTGTTGATAAAGTGCTGCCAAAATTTGATGAAGGTACATGTATGTCCACAAACCATTGCGTCATTTTATTACACCAACGCACTCTCTCTTGGAAGAAAAAAATAGGTGATATACTTGGTCTTTGAGAAACATGGAACAAAAAAAGTTTGTTACCTTAGATCTTCGACAGTTTCACTCGCGTACAAACTTTGGCTAAATGGACAGTCGTGTAGTCGACTGACATGCAAAGTCCCTGTGTTAGTGCAATTGGGGACATAAAGGGATCGGGTAACTTTGTCTCAGATTCTAAAACAAAATCCTGGATTTTGCTCATGCTGCAATGATAATTATAAACCTTTAGGTCAGTCAAGAACCCCATGAAATTTTACAAGCCAATCGTCTGTCTGATTATCAAGATATTTATGATTGGAAATCGAAATTTAAAAAATTGTTTTCCTAGCATTTTTTATAACACCACATTCTATTGGAGAAAATGAGTATGGTAAAACCGGTCACGCAAAGATTTTTACTTTTTTGAGGAACTTCATGATCATTTTGAAGCGCAATTTTTTAGAGCTTCAACATTACACTATTTTACAAATACTGATAGCAGGTAGGACCATGCAACTCAGATTTAACATTGTTAAACGATGCCTTTAAATGACAGGCCATAGTAAATGCTTTCTTGTTCATCCCTACTTTTAGAATCATAAGATTGGTGATGAGGTGTTGGCCCGATGGTCCGATTGTCGCTACTATCCAGGCATCATCGTTGGCATCAATGTATCTGGGAGTTACAGAATTATATTCTACGATGGAATTGAGAAAAATGTCCAGGGTATAAACGTCAGGTATATGCCCGAGGCGCTCAAGAAACAGGTAAACTCCTTTTTCTCCTCTCCTTTTTATTACCTTTTACAAACTTTTCCTTATTCTCTTCTACTTTTCATTATTGAACTTCATAAGATTTCTTGCCTTCTTAAGCATGCCCAATTTTTGTTACACTAAAATTTTAGGAAATGTTCCATTTATTCATGAATTTATTGAAATCTGGTCCTTCAAGCACCATAAGATCACCCTATAACAGACAAAAAATGGCCAATCATTAGAGGTCTGAGTTGGATAAATCAAGTGTGAGAATTCAATACTCTCTTTCTTTTCCCCATCAGGATTTTTTCAGCAACCTTCAGCCTCAGATAGAGAGAGCACAGCGCAATGCTGCACAGAGAAAAGCAAACAGAATGAGGGCAGAAGCAAGGAAATCACGCCCTCCATCTTCAGGTAAGGTTCATAGGCCAAAGGTCATCAGGGTTCACTGACGTGAGGTCAGGTTTAAACCCCAACCATTTATTCCCCTCAGCTTATGGAGTGCCAAGTGTCAACCTCTTCATCTTGTAAAAAAATACCTTAAAACGGTAAATGATTGAAATAAAAAAAGCATCTGTCACTGGATGAGGCTGTAAAAAAGAAAATCAAGACGATTATCATAATGAAGACCCTTAAAGTAAAGTAACTTAATTCTATAGTTTCATTTCATGTCTTGATACATTTTTAGATCTTTTTTTAATGAATAGGATTATACTGAGATTGACTGTTTCACATGAATCTATGGACTAAATAAAGCCAGATTTGACTTAATTCTCTTAATAAAATCATTGAAGAAATTTCTCTTGATATTTAGGCATAACGCCTTCTTTGACTGAGCTAGGTTTTCCACTGTAACAATATGGAGAAAAGGATGTAATTATAGAAAGATAAAGATATCTCCGCAATTTGTTTGTATGGCTCTACAACAACAAATCTCTCCTTCTTGAGGTATTGTGCTTCTTTAAATATGCTAACTTTGATGTCTGACAATCAGAAATTGTCCATGTTTTAAAGCCCCATTACTACTTATAGCTACGTGCGCCCTCTATATAGCAAACAATGTCTAATTGGTGACCATTGGTCCCCTTTTTCTTATGTTAACTGAGAGCTGATTTGATGAGATAACCGCCTGTCAGTGACCATGCAGGGAGGTCTAATCCCCCTGGCCAAACTAGTGCAGATAGGCTTTAAGAAAGAAATCTATTTACTTGATTCTACTCTATTTTCTGTCTCACAGCCTCATCCAGTACCGGATCTAGCCCTCCAGAGGAGCGTAAGAGAAAGCTCTCAACTTCCTCGTCTACCACCCCCTCTACTAGTGCTGCAAATGTCAAAAGGTCAAGGTCTAGCTCAGAGCATGTTCAAGGGTCAAGTGAAGAGGTCACAAGCAATCTGGGCGAAGAAGGTCGGAGGTCGAGAAATGTGAGCGAAGAGGGTCGGAGGTCAAGAAATCTTAGCGAAGAGGGTCGGAGGTCAAGAAATCTGAGTGAAGAGGGTCGGAGGTCGAGAAGGAGTACGGAGGAGGTCAAATCACCAAAGGCTACAGATGTTGATCCGAAAAGGTCAAAGTTCGCAAAGCTGTCACCGGATGCACCTGCACCGGTACCGGCCAGGAAAGGAGGGCACTTTTTGATGGGAGGTTTCAAGAAGAAAGAGGAAAAGAGAGAGAGGGCCGGTGTCAGGGTAAGTAAATCTGTTACACTAACATTTCATTTAAAAAGTTAAGTAGTCTTTCTATCAGGAATAATCACAAGCTTGTTTGGATGCTGTGAAATTCCCATTTTACCCAAGGGAGGGAGGGGAAGGAATGGATTAACAAAACATGATTTATGCAGTGCTTGAGAGATAAGCCTGACTGACTACATATTCTTTTTTTTTTCTTCCAATGATTTGTTTTGGAAGCTCCCAGTTATGGCGGATAGAAAAATAACATGACAAATTTACTATGATGCTTTAGCAGATTACCATTTTGCTTAGCTGAGAATGTGATGCAAACTTAATTCATTGAACAAGTTGTGAACATCAGGTAAGGACATCATGAGTGAATTTTTATGTAATTCATAATATCTAGAAAAATCAAGTCTTCTTAGAATAAGGAAAAATAATGATTTATTTCACATTGTCAGAATGATTTTTCTTTCCTTTTCTTTTTTACCATATCAGCTTGCTTCAACTGAGCCCACCACTACCCCGAGGTCTAGGCATGTTGGTAGGCCCTCAGGTAGCCATCAGGGAAAAGAACTCCGATCAGCTAGCAGTTCTGCAACTCAAGGTAAAAGTCATATCTTAATGGCTCTTTTTCTGACATAACGTCATAATGTCATTTGTTGTTCTTTGATATCTGATAATGATGAAATTAACAATTAGAAGTCCCAAGAAAATGTACACTAGATGTATACAAAAATTATTGAAAAATATAAATGTACTGGATGATACTAATGATAATGATGATAATGATGATGGTGTTAATGATAATGATAATAATGAAAATAATAGTAGTGATCATAACAATAATGGTAATCATCATAATATTGTTTACTCAGGGAAAGGTCATCAGCTTCAATGCTGTTATTCTGTAGGGCCTTGCAATAATTATTACCCCAGCAATTGCCAGGTAACCATTTACACCAGGATAGAGAGTTGGAATGTTGATTAATGTCTTGCCAAAGGACCTTCATGTCAAGCCAGGATTTGAACCCTCATTCCTTGGATCAAGTGTAAAGTGAATGAACCACTGTACCACAATGATAGTCGAGTAAGAGACAGAGAAATATGTGGCATTGGGTCTATTTGGAAACTGTAAAATGTATTGCCCCATATATCTATACCTGTGTTGGTGAATTCAGTGTGTGCAATGATCAACAAGCTTTTGTCAATTTGTTCCCGTTGCTGGTTGCACCATTTATATCCCATGCAACTTAATTTGTTCTTTTTACTGATTTCTTGATTATATATTGTCCCAAAGCTTACTAATCGTCAGAAATTCTGTAACAGGTGTGGAGCTTTTGATTATAAACAAACGTGTCACCCCAGCTGAAGCTTCAAAGGCTTTCAAATAGCAGTTTTGTTATGTAAACTTTCCCATTAGGCCTGTTTTCATCAGCTCGAGTTTGCCAAATAACCGCTATTTTAACTTTCTCTATCGCAAATTAGTCAGTTAATTTGCGTCCTCAGCCCGCAGTTGCAATTAGCGGGATATTTGGTCGAGAAAATATCCAGAGAAATGTTGGTCTTGTTTTCAAAATATCACACTATTTGTGAAATAGCGGGCTATTTTGCGCCCTTCCAAGCTAGTTTTTGATGAGCGTATCGGTCTGGCGAAGACGCAATTTCGAGCTTCGGGATAATATCCAAAGTCTGAAAATAGCGGGTTATTTGGCAAACTCGAGCTGATGAAGACAGGCCTATTGTGAAGGTGATGATTGTCTATGATTAGTAACACCAAATCTGTTATTTATTTAATGATTTAAATGTGTGTTGCTTATTTACGTATAAAATTTACACTGGCAAACAATACTTTAAATTGCATGGAAAGTATGATTAATAAGACCTGGTGTGTTTCACAAAGATCCTAAGTCAAACTTAACTCTAAGTTGGACTTAAACATTATGGGGAGCAATTTGTAGCCTTAAAATACAATATATTAAAAATCAGAAATATTTTAGTCTTTTCTTAAATTTTAGATCAAGAACATTGATATAAAAAAATATATGAATGATTCAAATCACTATTTTATGCCTTTTAAAATAACTTTTATAAAATATTTTCAAAGATACCAACAGCTTTCCATAATTGTTAAGTCCAATTTAGAGATAAGTTCAACTTAAGATCTTTGTGAAACTGCCTACCAGATTACCTAAAAAACAAGCATATTAGTGTCTCATATGTATAATTGAAAAGCAAAAGTCAAAGTAATGATTTTTTTCGAATGAGAGTTTGTTCATGTAAATTAAATCCTTAGTTGGTAGAAAAAAACGAAATATGAATTGGTACTCTTTACCTGAAACTCTAGCTCCTACTGTGCAAGAAAGAACGAGTACTGCCCCTCAAGCATCTGTAGAGGGCAGCAGTCAAATTCCAGACAAAAGTATGTAGATAAAATAAGAGTGGTCTTGGTAGACCCACACATAGGTGTTGAGTTCAAGTTATATGTGTCTGTCGCAGCCTGTGTTTCCTTAACCTCTAACCTGCAGATTATTTTTCTTTTCTTTTCTTTTAAATATCTGGGCATTTATTTCTGTTAAAGCCCCTCTGCACTAGTTTGGCCAGGAGGGATTAGACTTCCCTGCATGGTCACTGACAGGTGGTTATCTCATCAAATCAGCTCTCAATTAACATACGAAAAAGGGGACCATGGGTTACCAATGGTCACCAATTAGGCATTGTTTGCAATATAAAAGCCACAAGTAGCTAAAAGTAGTGCAGAGGGGCTTTAAGTGGTTTCGCATAAATGTTTTTTTCTCATTTCAGCATTGAAAAATCAGTCAATGTTTAACCCTCATAGTGCAAATTGTCAATGAAATGGGTAACTGAAGTTGTCGCATATTTGTATGGGATATTCTTTGCTTTATAATTTACATTAAACACTTGCATTCCATATTAAATAACAGAATCTGAATGTGTTGATAGTAAAATACTAAAACAAAGGGATTCAGCAGAGAGATATTGATCAACAACTACCAGTAAATTTTAGAACAACTGACATATAAAAACAATGTAAAAGTGACGTATAAAAACAATGTAAAACTATCAAAAAATATGCTTCTCTGGAAATTGTTTTTCCATTTCTGTTCAAATAAATATATGAGCAAAATTGTCTAACAAAACAAAAAGCATACCAGTACTTTTAAGAATATGAAGATGAAGCTCATCTTGCCAAGCATTGTGAATGGTTTTGTGAAGGGTTTTTAACTTGTGGGTAGTAAATTGGCTTCATCGTTTTCTGCATCGTTTCTGTCAATATTGCTAAAAACATTTCATAAATGTACTTTTGTTGAGAATATTTGTGCACTAGCACCTTTATGATTTGAAATGAATGTATGGTACAGTACTATCCACTTTAAATTGCATGGCTTTCTGATTTTAAAAAATTGTTCCCTGCAACTTCTCCCTGCATAAATAATGTATGTAAAGCATTGTGTATCTAGTGTAATGTTATTAGTTCTTTTTTGTTCATAGAGTTGTCTTTTTTGGTCGGGTATCATAACATATTTGTTGCCTCTATTGCTCTAAGTAAATGTGCCTGCTCTTAAAAAGTTACCTTGTGCATTTTGTGACACTTATGGTAAAAAAGAATTTAATTTATAAAGATTGCATTATTCTTTCCTAAAGTTGCATATCATCTGTTTGGAGCAACATTAACTCATCCACTTTAACATTGGTTGAATGCCCTTGTGGCTTTTGACAGGTGGTACTCATATGTCATTTGTCTTACTCATTAAATGTATTTTCAGAAATGATCATAACTTTGAAAGTGACCACCATTTATTAAAAAAAGAACATTTCTCATACATGTATATGCAATTGGATATTACAGACTGCATTCTTATGAAATACAATACATTTATCTATTGTAACAATAGCAGAATCAATTGTACTTCATCTGCTCTTTTGAACTTCCATTAATAAGTCAGAATATTCTACAGCTGTTTTACTGTTGTTAAGCTTACAATATTTTGCAATCACCATCATTGCTACACTCACAATTTGCAATCATTTCTTTCATGGTTTCCAATGCATTAGTTGTCTGTAATGTACTAGCTCTTTGTTACAATGTGGCTTTCATTGAGTTATCCATTCTTATATGATATTTTGAAATCTTGTTAATTCCCCATTTTTAGTGACGATCTTCTTGAAAGTTTAAACTACTTCATTAAATGTCAACTTGAGCCATTGCATTCCTGTATTAGCATACAGGAATGTGTTAATTTAGAAGTCTGTCGATAAAATTATCAGTGAAATTGCTAGTAGTCATCGTTCCAAGTGCTATGGAAATTTTGATGATGTTATTGAACGAGACTCAAGAATAGATGTATTTGAATTTACATTTACTCTATTTTCTACCAATTTTGTTTTTCACCATTAGGTAAAGCTCCAGGACCTGTTACATCGGCTGCAGCAGGAGCAACCCCTACCCCACCATTGAGAGGTAGACCAGGTAAATAGTTATATATTCTTTATATCTTCATTTGTATGTCATTATTTTCTGTTATTTGTTACATTTGTCTGTTAACCTCTCAAGAGCAAGTTCTGTTGTAGCAAAATGAATATAAGCCAAGAGCCTTTTCATGAATTTGTGTCAACGAAAGTATGAAATTGTAAATAAAATATTACTTGACAAGAATTATGGGGTTGCTTAGCTTGGTTGATTTGCCTTTTCGGGTGAATCGCTTTGTACATTAACCATTTTGGCAATGTCAAGATTTACTAAGGCTTAACTTTATGTAGTGATTGTAGTTAAGATGCATCCACAGTGGGGCTCATGCATTTTTATGAACATTGATATGTTTGGCAGAAATGTGCCGTGTAAAGCAGGCCTTGTGGCACTGGATGGGGCTACCCTGTGTTTTTAAAGAAGACTGAATGAATAAAATAAATAATAAAATAGACCACTAGTCGTCAGTTTCGTTAGAATAGAATACAGATGTGTATACCATTTAGTGCACAGCATGCCCACATGTAGTTAGCATTTATCCATCCCAGATACACAGGGGGTCATGTTTGTAGACAATGCACTCAATACTGTTTTCATTATTCTGTCCTTTTGTCTCCTTAAAAAAAAATATTCTCAGGTCATGTAATAATTCCTCTCGTGGAACACATCTCAATGGACGAGCGTCTTGAGGTGGCTAAGAATCTGGAGAAACTACGAGCTATCGCTTCAAAGGAACCTTGTAAGTACACATCTAATTGACCCAAGGGCCATTTAGAACAATAATGATAATCATAAAAATATTCAGTGTTTATATAGCGCTTTATACATTGACAATGTCTCTGGTGGACAGAATACAAGATATTGTGAAACAAGTCATTGTGAGGTTTTGTCTTAAATATTTACTAGATTGAGAAGGGAGAAAACATATAGGAAATTGAAAAAAATGGGTTGTACCAGATTTAATATGATTACAAATGTATCACACAGGCGAGGCTGAAAATGGAGTATGATGATTTAAATTGATATGATTTCTGTTTGTTTTCTTGTATTTCTTGCAGTATTTGCCAATACTCAAATTGGCCACTTGAAGGATCCAACAAAATGTAAGTAAAACAGACTGCCTGCTTCATTTATTGATTATCTTATTTTGCCCATCTGAGTAGTTATAAAATTACTTATACCTTCCTATGCTTAGAATTTTCCTAATTTCATTTTGTTTTGTTATGCCTCTGTCCTTCAAAGATATCAAATTATCATCCATTCATTTGTATTAATGAAAAGCAGAGCTGCCGACTAGTACGGATCTCCCGTAATTGGTACGGAAATTAATGATCATTACGGCAGTACGGAATGTTTAAAAATTACGGATTTGTTAAATAATTTGTTGTTGTTGTTTTGTTTTTTTGTGGCGTAAATATGATTTATCATAACGAGTGCTGTGCAGTATAGCATCCATCCAACACTTGCTAAGAAAGAAGGAAAATTATCTTGTGTTCTCTTAATAGAAGCCAATTTTTCATGGAAAACTGATGTGTCGTGATGACTTGAAAATCAATATTTAGCAACTTTGTGTGAGTAAAATCACCAACAATTCAGATAATGATGCACGCATGCATCAGCACAGTTTTGGCTTCCCTTTTTTATAGATTCATAGCGCCGCATAGGAAATTACTGATTTGTTCCCTAAATTACTGATTTTGAGCATTGTGATTACTGATTTTCTGTTCTGGAGGTTGGCAGCTCTTGAAAAGGCTTGTTTAAACTTTCCCACTATATTAAACTGGTTCTGTACACTTTTCTCTCTTGCTTTGAAATCACACAGTCATTGCACCTAAAGAGTTGATCGTGGACCTGGATCATAACAAATTCAAGTGTGAGGTCTCCGGTTGTACCAAGTCCTTCCGGAAGGCCAGTCTCTTGGAGTCCCACATGAAGTACTACCACACTGAGCTGGGAGCAGAGTCTGCAGGTCCAGCGTATGACAAGGATAAGGACAAGTCTGCAGTCAGGCCAAGGAAAAGGAACTATTCAGGTATGGTCTTTGTTTATAACCTCTTTTGGTCCATTAGGTACCGTAGAAGTCTTTATTTTGGGTTGCATTTTTATGCACAAGAGTGTTTCCATGGTAACAAAGTGCACAATGCATATTCCTTTTATCAGAAGAAAAAAAGTTGCTGTCCTTTGTGGAAACGCATATCTAGCTCAAGTCGTAATAATGACAGTATATCATATTTAAAAAGTAGAAAAGTTGTGTACAAAGTTTTTTCATCATTTATATCCTTTTTCCATGATCCAGTTTGAGTATTGACTTGTGCCCATACATCAGAAATACGGAATACTGAACTCATATGTGGTGTGGAAAAACCTGAATCATGTACAAAGTATTGAGTGCTTTATTAAATACAATGTTTGTTTGTTTAGAGGTATGATGATTATTTTGTTTTTGGCCTAACTCAATTTTTTTTTTCCTACCTGTCAACAGCTACCCAGGCAACCTCGTCAAAAATTCGAAGGGATTCTGGAAATTCCAGCTCAGCAGCCGGCCCAACCTCCCCATCTTCTCCTCCTGCCAGATTGGTTGTCAAGCGATCGTCGGCTCCAGACACTATCTCCTCCCCCGCCGCCGCAGCAGCGAAGAAACCAGAAACACCTGTCATGATGAAATCACCCCGATCCCCACCGCCGATCAAGAGCCCAAAGTCTCCTCCAGCCCAGCTGATGAAATCGCCAAAGAGTCCTCCCGCACAGCTGATGAAGTCACCAAAGTCCCCTCCTCTGGCGGGCCAACTGATGAAGTCGCCGAAGAGTCCACCGCTCCAGGTCACCAAGATCCCCAAGTCTTCATCCGCGACATCACCCTCTGGCTCCACCAAAGACATCAAGTCTCTCAAGGAGATGAAACCTCCCAAGGAGGCCAAATCACCCAAGGAAACCAGTTCAGCTAAATCACCAAGGGCACTACAGACGATGAAGACGGAGAAGAAGGTGAAAGACGAAGAGACGAGCGAGTCGCCGGGAGCAACCGGTAGGGTGAGACACGAGAGTAAGTCGGACAAAAGCTCCAAGGAAGATAAGAAGGGTTCATCAAGTGAGGGTGGTGGAGAAACAAGTAAGAAAGATTTAACAACGAAGGGAGGTCTGTTGATGACGAGTGATATTAAAAAGACTGAGAAGACATCTCCATCATCTTCCAAATCAACAACAGGGAGCGTCGTCACACCGTCGATTGTTCCGGTGGTCCGAGCAGACAAGTCCAAGGCTGAAGCAGGAGGTGTCGTGAAGCGGGAGGGCGTGCCAAAGATGGACAAGCTCAAGCACAAGAAACACAAGGACAAACATAAAAAGCACAAGGACAAGAAGAAGAAGAAAAAGAAGAAGAAGGAAAAGGAGAAGAAAAAGAAGAAGAAGAAGAGGCAGAAGGATGGAGGGAAGATGGGAGTCACCAAGGGGCACAAGTACAAGGATATTGATGAGTACATCCTGGAGAAAAAGAAGAAGGAATTCCAATTTGAAAGTAAGTAGGCTGATCTGTGAAGATAGTTATATGATAATCATACATGACTAACAAATTGTTCTTACACAAGTAGCAAAATTGTCTGTGATAAAGAGAGAGTTTCATTTGCTTGAAGACTCCAAGCTCTCTATTGATTGTTTGTATGTGGAGCACATATGTGTATCTCTCTGTATTATTTCCATTTATATCATATCTGTGTTGTCAAACTTGGAACAAAACAAAACACTTATAAACCTACTGAATTATTCATACCCCTTGTAAATTTGATGTCTTTTGTCTTGATGTCACATTCTCATGAAAGATTAATTGGGACAAATGAGTTTCTCACACACTTAACAAAATTACAAAACTTGGTAAGGGTACAAATAATATAGTTGTTAACTGTAGATCGAGTAACAATTATTCCCTGGTCAGTTTCCTACATTAAACAAAGTCTAATTAACTGCAACAATGAAACACTGCACCTAAACCTTCCCCTAAGCACAACTGCAACGGTAACTGTAACCTTATATTTTTAATGAGATAAAGCCTAAAGCAAGTGTCCAATCAATCATCTAAAATGTCATTCAAGTAAACTTTGTCATCAATACAAACCATAATTTTTACAATTCTGTGTTTTTTTCTTTCTCTCAGTGCCTCTCCCTGTATCCCAGTTCAAGGAGAACTACAGTCGACATCCTGCCCCCATCTTGAAGTCTCAGCTCCTGAGGAGTGTGGAGAGGATAGATGCAGGTCACGGGAGGGGGGCTGGAGAGGGGGAGATAGTCAGATGTATCTGCTACCGGAAGACGGAGGAAGGCTTCATGATCCAGGTAGATTTTGACATTTTGTTTTGCTAATTTTGCTCATTCTCCTTATTTTTTTTATTTTGTTGTAGTCTGACTCTCTCTCTCTCTTTCTCTCTCTATCTCGCTTTCTTTTTATGTATCCTTTCTTGAGGACTTTTCACCCCTGCAATTTCTTTATCCTAATCTGTTTATCTGTCTCTGTCTCTGTCTGTCTCTCTCTCTGTCTCTCTCTCTCTCTCTGTCTTCACGTCTTTGTCTCATTGCCCTTTTCTCAGTTATATCAAATTTGCTCCCCCTCCCACCTCTCTCTCTCATTTACTTTGTCCATCTCACAAATATATGAAATTACCTTAACACTTCATTAAGCTAACAAAATTGTTAATTGGATTGCCTGACTCTGCTCATAGTCAGAAGGGTGTAACTCAATTAATACATTACAGGTGAATGTGCTTCTTGCTATCTACTGTCAATTTTATTACTTGGATGGTAGATGAAACTCAATTTTAAGGCAAAACATTGATGTTCATGAATGATTTGACATTGATTTTCCCTGTGTACACTATAGAAGCTGTGACATCATAACAATCTATTTTTAGAATTTCTTAATTTGAACTTCATTTTCCAAAAGAGCATCAAAAATAATGTCCAAATGTTGAAAACCAATTGAATATGTTTAGTATGGGCTGAGATATGACCATCTGAATTAATAGATTTTCATAATGTTATGAACCAGAGCAAAATTTTGATGACGTCACACTTTACCACTCTATTAAAAGCAAACTGCTTATCTTTCATCAATTGCTTCCTTTCCCCAGTGTGAACGTTGTCTGTGCTGGCAGCATAGTAGCTGTGTGGGACTAACCAAGTCTACTGTACCTGACCAGTATGTCTGTCTCATCTGCTTCAATCCACGAGGTAAGCAATATATGAAGTCAACCATGCCTAGTAGCCCATGAGATATCCCACTTGTAGATACCCCATACAGAGCTGCCAACCAGTACGGTTTTAATCGTATTTCGTACAATTTTTTAATAGTAATTTTTTTTTTTTTTATTTTTAAATTTTCAATGGCAAGATGCCCATTCTGTCCTGTAAAGTATCCTACAAGCATCTCATATCGGCAATTTGGGAATGTTCATTGGTTCGTCGAACACACCAGTCATGACGAAATCATGCATATTCAACCAATGATCCCTAAAAAAATTCTTCCTGTAGGCCTATGTAGGAACTGTAAGAGGCATTGATCCATTTTTTGTTTAAATACAATTTTTGTCAGTAAAATACTACTTTTGGGATTAAAGAATACAGTTTTTGAGCTCCAGAGGTTGGCAGGTCTGCCCATAGTATTGCCTTTATAAATCTTGTTTAGATGAAACAAATGATTGTATTCCCTGCACATTTTAAAAGGTGAGGGACAAGGCCATTGAAATTTGCCTGAAAGCCTTTGTGATCGTGTTCAGAATGACATAGGCCTCGGTCGCTTTGTCCTTGGTCAATTACACAATTTCTAGAAATTATGCTAGTTCCATTAGAAAATCATTTTCATTTTGTACTCTGTGTTTTTATAACAGACCAGAGAGTGAGTGCCAAATACCGATACGGTCAGACGTGGCTGGACGACGGGAATCTGGCATCGTTTTCCTTCGCGCCCAAGGAACATGTGAAGGAGGCGTCTCATAATCTTGCAGCGACCAACCGGCTCATCGGTGAGATGCACACCATCAATGAGGTGCTACGTGGACTCAGGGAGAAGCTGCATATTCTTCAGTAAGTGTGAATAGCAAGGCTTTTAATAACAATAATATCAGATATTTATATACTATAGTGTGCATAATCCACCATGCTCAAGGCGCTCCGAATATTACCCGGCTCTGCTAGGCTGCCAATTTCGGCCCTCACAGCCTTCAAGGAATTCCTTCCTACCGGTACCCATTTACCACCTGGGTGGACAGTGGCAAGTGTAGATTAATGTCTTGCCAAAGGACATTAGTGCTGTTGCGGGACTCGAACCGAGTACCCTGTGATCCACAGTCTTGACGACTATTCTTTTATATCTCATTATTTATGGTAAACAAGGACTATATAATTATACTTTACGTATCAATAATGCTCGATAATATAGTCTCTGAATATCTCAAAATGCCCACACATTGATCCTGGAACCAACCTTAGAAGCCATTGTCTGGTTGGAGCAGTAACCCATATACTTCAACACAGAGTTTTAACTGTTCCGAACAAACGATAACTGAGCTGGCAAATTAGGAGACTAAGAATCATCTTTTTTCTCCTAATAGCCTTTTATAGGACTTTGAAACCTGACAAGAGAGAATCACTTAAATTTTGTTAGTACCCTCTAAATACTCTTGTGTGAAATTTAATTATTTGACCATTTAGATGATATATTCAAAGCATGATCCTATCTTTCTCTCACAGAACTGATGATCATCCAGCCATGAAACTCTGGGCTAGATCATGGATAAAGCCCAAGGTACCTGAGAAACCAAAACCCAAACCAGCTCCACTTGTCATACCTAGTCTAGAGTCCAGCCTGAGTCCCACCCTAGACTCTAGCCTATCAGAGTTCAAAGATACACTGAGCATCGATGGAAGTCTGGATCCAGAGGCTAGCTTGACGCCACACCAGACAGAGCAGATTGCTATCATCATGGCCATGAGCGGTGACCTGGAGATGGCCACGTTGGCAAACCTAGCGCTTCCCTGCGAGGTCGGGCTTGACTCCTCTGCGTCGTCCATGATCGATGGAAGCCTCCTGAAGGAAGACCAGAACCTAGGGGATGTGGAGATGGGTGGGCTGTCCAGTGTAGGGCAAGGAGAAGTAGTAGACGTTGGGATTGGAGTGCTGTCGAGCGCTGTGGGTGGAATGGAGGTCAAGAACGCACCAGGACTAACAACAGAAAACAAAGCTCCAACCGTTGCGACACCAGGAATGGCTGCAGCATCTGCAGCATATGATGCTGGTAATGTTGATGAGATACCCTTAGCTAACATTCCAAAGACACCAGTGATACAGAAGAGCCGAAGTGAAGACTTTGATCCTCCCACAGTAAAGTTTGTAATGTCTTCAGGCACTGAAAGGTCACCAGCAAAAGAGCCTGCGATTGTAGACATCAGTGACATTCCATCGACATCAGCTGGCCCCAGCCAGGAGCAGCTGGAGGCAGCCGGTATGATGCGGTTTCAGCCGCTCACTCACAGTGGCAGGAGAGAAGAGACACGCAGACCACCAAGCCCCCTGCCTCAGGATGAAAGCAGTCTAGATACAGAGAGTTCAATGGAAGTGGATATAGAAGATGCAAAGCCTGATCAAAGCAAGGAAGTGTTAATAAGCAGGACTGCAGAAGCAGAAACTAAGGAGGACGTAGAGAGTATGGATAATTTGCAAGAACCTGAAAGTGGTCCATCAGCTTCTATAAAGCCCAAGTCTCAGACTCAGTTGGACACTGTTCCTATCAAGGAGCCTTCAATCACAAAATCTCCTGTAGAAGGTGACACCTCAGTAGTACCTGATCCTCATATAGATGATGGCTCAGTTGTTCCCAGAGCAAAACCTGAAGGAATCAGTCATCAATCAACACAAAGTGAGACTGCTCCAGAATTAGTTGCTACAAATGAACAAGATGATGGGAAACAGAAAGAAGAGGCCAGTTCAGTGAATGAAAATATTGCTAGTACAGAAACTGACCAGGAGACGGAGAAGGAGGACAGCTCAGCGAAACCAGACATTGCATCTCTAGCAGATGGTAAGGTACCTGAAGATATGGCAATGGATACCGTGAGTGATGTGCAATCAGAAGATAGTGAGGCAAGAGTTCCAACAGATCACATCAATCCCACCCCTGATGCCATGGACGTACGGAAACATACAGAAAATGTTATCACACCTGATGATGCACCCCAGGACATCCCACCTGCAGAGACACAGACTGTTAAAGATTCTTTGAAAGAAGGGCAAGATGACACTTTACCCGCTAACTCTGGTCAAGAATCAGGCATTCCATCAAGCACCAGCTCAAGTGTTACACCTTCCACTATGGAGGGAATCGAGCCAAGTACGGCAGCAAATCCAGCTAGTGATGATGTGGCTCTTGTTCCTTCAGTCTCCTTTGATCAGCCCCATCTTACTCCTGACACCAGTGTTCAAGTAGATGCAGGGACAGTTACATCATCAGATTCTGTCAACAAAGGAACAGCAATGACTGGTTCTGTTGATCCAGGAGGGTTGGTTGTGCCACCGACCGTTGGGCCCGCTGGGGATGGCCAAGCACCTGTCACACCCGATGTCGGTGTCCTTGGTCCAGTGGGGATGAGCGGAGATGCACCACCAGTCCCAATGGAGGCAGAAGACCAACCATCAACATCAGGTTTCACCAACCAACCAATCCCATCTGGAGTGAATCTGGGTGGGAGTGGTGTGTGGACACCTGTTAAGGTAGGATATCATAGTGCTCTATAGTCCAGCACAAATTTAATGAACAGTTTGGGTCGAAATCTGAATGGAAACAAATTCAAATTTATCTTATCCTACATATATTGGACTTGGATTGAAAAAGTGATTTTTCCTGAGGATACAAATTGCTTAATACTAGTATTTTATTGACTTCAGCTGAGCTACAGGCACTTAACCCTATGTTAACTGGGGGGGGGGGGGGTCAATTTGACCCCCCCCTGTAGAAATTTCGCGACTGCTCCAAAACCGCGGCAGATATAAAATTTTCCTTTCATGACTTTTTACTTTCGAGTCTTACGCATCTTTTAAAACTATTTTTTTTTAAATCGGACCTACGGTTACAAGGTCACGTGACCTTTTGTCTTTGCATGTCAGCCCGAAAATCGCTCATTTTCGTGATTTGTGTACAAAACATGTAAAAGTCATTTTTCCTAAAAATAGATAAAACATTGGTTATTCAGTCTTGTTTGAAGTTTAGATGTTTGTTTTGGGGTCAAAATAGTTGAATTGTAGTTCTAAATGAAATAAAACAACAAAAACAATAAAATACATAAGTTAAAAAAACAATAAAATACATAAGAAATTATAAAAACAAGAGATAACATAAGGAATAACCTGGCTCTTCCAATTTTTTGTGTTGTATTATTATTCCAAATGGTCTAATAAATATATGTAGTGAAAAAGAATATGTAAACATGAATAATCTATGATTTATGGGCATAAATGTGAATTTGATGACCTTATTTGCATAAATTACCATAAATATGCAAATGAGTGAATTTTTCAAAAATTTGAAATTACCATAGTATTCTATACACTTCACTAGACGTGTATGCAAATTTTCGCGGCGATCGGCGGTGAAACGGCCGAGATCTTAGGGGGGGGGGGTCAAATTGACCCCCCCCCCCCCAGTAAAAACCTGGTCTGAAATAGCCCAGTTAAAATAGGGTTAAAGGATTCCAGGAATTTCTTCCTGTCAGGTACCCATTGTGTTGTGTGAGTGTAGAGTGGCAAATACACATGTTGGTACTGAAAAAGATGCTCTATGTTCAACTTTAAAAAAAATCATTTTGTCTAGAATCTATGAAAATGTTCATTATCGGAAAATACCATAATTTTTTACCTTTAATGTTGTAGAAAGTATATATGATACATTTAAAATTTCCACCGTGATGTTTATAGAACGTGCCAGAGGTGCCAACGCCACCCACTCAGCAGAAGAAGAGTCCAGCCAAGAAGGAGGAGGTGATAGAGCTCAAGGGGTCACTCCGGATCATCAAGGTTCCTCTGAGCGTATGCAAGAAGAACCTCAAGGAACACATTGAGCACCTGGAAGCTGAGCTGGACAAGAGGATGGATATCATAGAGGAGGAGGCTAATGGTAAGTGGTGGTGTTTTTGGTGGTAGTAGTGGTGGTGTTGGTGGTTGTGGTGGTGTTGGTGGTGGTGGTGATATTTGTGATGGTTGTGATAGTGGTGGTGGTTATGGTGATAGTGGTATTGGTGGTGATCATGATGATATGTAGTGATGTTGTTTATGCTAGTGGTGGTGATGGTGGTGGTAATGATGATAGTGATGCTGTTGATGGCAGAATTAAAGGGAGTAGGAGGGCAGCAGAAGAGGAGAGAGGGAGGGAGGGATGATAAATATTAAGAATAATTTGTGTTTTGAGTGTAAGTGTGGGGGGGGGGGAAGGAAGGGGTCTTTGTGTGTGTATTGTTTTAAGGTATTGGCCCTTGCAATGAAGTTTTCATGACGGTAGGGTTTTGGGTCTAAATGATGATGTACTGGTTATGAGGAGGAGGAGGGTGTTGATGGAGCCTTTAAGATGCAATAGTAATTGTGATGATAGGAATTTAGTTGCAGTGTTCAATGTCGCTACCCTCGCTTCACAAAATTCTCCCTGATGACAAAAACCAAATGTTGGCAGCTCTGTAATGATGGTGATGACACTAATGTTCACAATATGGACAACAATGAAAATATTGTAATCCCAGTTTATACACCAATATTCATGACGGTAAAATTGTTGATTAAGAATTGCCAAATTTCACATTTGCAACCACATACAAGTACAATCGATACCAACTTTATTTGATCAAACATTGCACTTGAATTTGTTTCCCTTATTTACAGCCCTTGAGCAGCAGTTTGCAGAGTTACCCGGTTTGAGCCCTGACATCCGAGGTCTAGCTACCATGAATGATACTTTCCTCAAGACCAAGCTACAAACCCTTCTCGGTGACCTGGAGCGCATCAGTAACATTGTAGCATTGTGAGAAGAAAGGTTCACCTGTCTTTAATTTCTCTGTTACAGCCTCTTTTATTTCCTGGCTGTCATCAAAATATATTTAGTGTGATTTAGACTGGTACAAAACTCTTCTTGGTGACTTGGAGCGCATCAGTAACATTGTAGCATTGTGAGAAGAAAGGTTCACCTGTCTTTAATTTCTCTGTTACAGCCTCTTTTATTTCCTGGCTGTCATCAGAGTATATTTAGTGTGATTTAGACTGGGACAAACCTCTTCTTGGTGGCTTAGAGCGCATCAGTAACATTGTAGCATTGTGAGAAGAAAGGTTCACCTGTCTTTAATTTCTCTGTTACAGCCTCTTTTATTTCCTGGCTGTCATCAAAATATATTTAGTGTGATTTAGACTGGTACAAAACTCTTCTTGGTGACTTGGAGCGCATCAGTAACATTGTAGCATTGTGAGAAGAAAGGTTCACCTGTCTTTAATTTCTCTGTTACAACCTCTTTTAGTTGTTGGTTGTCATCAAAAGATATTCAGTGTGATTTAGACTGGGACAAACTCTTCTTGATGACTTGTAGTGCAACTAAGTACATTAATAACATTGTAGCTTTTTTGAGAAGATGTGTTCACCAGTCTCTAATTCATTCTGTCTCTCTATTCCATGGGTTTGATATCAACTTGGAAACAAACCCTTCTGAACGACTTACTATCAGTTACTACACTACTAGCAGTGTTGAGAAAGGCTCACCAGTCAGTGCTCTTTGAGTTTCAAACCTGCATGACAACTTTGCATCCACAAATGACACCTCAACATATGCTTGTATATTTTTCAGTCATGGTTATATTTCATGTATTCAGCTAATTGTAATTATACCTTGTGTAAATATATCCACTTGTACTATATGTTCCAAAACCACAAAGAAGATGCAAGTATTATCCAAGGTGCAAAGAAATTTTCACTCAAACCTTTAGGTTGGTTTAACTGATAGCTTTCATCAATGATTAAGCAAAGTACTGAAATTTGGAAAGCTCACTATGCTGTTGTGTAGTTGCATTCTTTCAAACTTGTTTAAAAAATAATTTGTATGTGTTGTGTATGTGGCTGTAATCTAGCCCATAGGTAGTATTATGATATATATAATATTGTAAATAAAGATATAAATAGACATGTAAATATACATTATGTAAATTGAAATATGGAAAATGTTGAAGCTGTTTATTTGCTATATGTGCCTTCCCATTTTGGCTGCAGTATCAACAAGTGATTATATGATAAAGCCTGGACCCAATTTGCTGTCTGTTAATAAAAGCAGTGATCAGTGAGAAAAGAAAAGTCTCTCCCATGCAGTATTATGTTCTGGAACAGATATTTATCTTTTATTCAGAAACGCCAGTTATTTTCATTGTGATGAATTCCCATATACATCATGTACAATATACGCAGTACGTTTAGTGAATTGTTTTGTTTGACCAAGTTGGAGCATGAAAAAAGAAAATAAATCATTGTATGGCTTGTATAAAGCTTTCAGAGTAAACCCATTCCTTCATACATTGCTTATACTGAGACATAACACACTCGCGATGGCGAATATATTTCATCTCTCGGTCGGTACTCGTCATAATAACATTATATACTACATGTACATGGATAGTTGTGAATTTCTTCTTGTTTTATGACTCGCATTGGACTTTGTGCGCATTTTGAAATGAAACGGTATTCTGTGATGTTGCACAAAAATGAACGTGTAACTTTGTGGTCTTCATTTAAAAATCTTAAATCTTGACTATGGTTATCATTGTATGCGCTACAGGTGGATGTAACTTAACTTCCAAGGCATCAACAGTAGGATCAAATGCAAGTTTGTCATAAATGTCTCGCTAATTTCAGCTAGTCGAAATGCAACAGTGAAAGACACAGCTGAAATCTGCCTGTATGCGTATGTTATTAGACATATAACTTATCTTAAAGTGACTCGGTAACATTGTTGAAGGTTGATGAAAAAAATTGCTTAATTTTTGTATAAAATGTTACTTACTATATTCCTTTTACTATACTAACAATCTGACATGCAAAAAATCCTGAACAAATTCTCAAACCACAAAGATATCTATGGTTTTCTTTGAAGGCGTCGATGTGAGGCACCCTCTAACAGTGATTAACAGTAAATTCTCCCAACCATTTTTGAATTTTCCCAACCGTTTTCCATGAGAAAATACATAAAACAGGCTATAAAAATCTGTCAACACTTAACTGTCTGGAATGGAATGTAGAGCCATTTTCTTGCTTTGTGACGATTTACATTCACCTAAAATGTAATTAAATTGTCCTTGTCTTGATGCTGAACAGGCTTTGACAAGTAGCAGAATAGAAGTAGAATAATATAGTTGGGAGAATTAAGGAATCGATCAGATCAGTTTTTCCCAATTTGTACCATGAATAATGATCCGTTTTCACTCAAATTTTCAGATTATCTTTAATTGTACATCTAGCATTGAAGTCGCTACCTTAGCACCACTATCTCTCATCTGAACAATGTTACAAAGTCCCTTTAAGGCTCGCTTAGATATATGTGTAAAGCGTAATACGCTCCACATTTTTGCATTTATATTATATCACAGAGCTTGGTGAATAGTACACTGGCAGGTCCTCTGTTGCACTTTTTTTTGGCGGCGGTTTACTGTGCCATCTTTTTAGTTCTTGTTATATCAACAAATAAATTCTTCTCTTGAGCATCCATATGTTAGGAGTGCAAACTATCCAATCAGAAACAATGACTCAATTTATTCCTCCGATTATGATTGTGTAGACATATGACATTTTGTTAAGTAGTACACCAAGAAGTATTTTGTAATGCCAGTACTGCCCTTGTTTTACCTGAAAAATTATCTTGAAATGCCAAATGTTGGAAATTAAGTATGTTGAAGAGAATGATTTGTAGCCACAACTCCACAAGCCAAGCTTAAGTCTGGTAATCAAATTGCTTTTCAAGAAACACTTAATCGATCGTGCACAAGCTTTTGTTTCTTCAACAAGCAGGATATAAACAAAAAATCCTTGGAAATCTTATACATTTGCATGTGCACTGCAAAGCTCACCTTGTTTTGTACCCCGTGTGGTGCATGTGCATAGGACAATCAGTATATTAAAGTTACATTTAATTATGTGAGTAAAGATTTTTCTATGTTAACAGGAATAAAGCTTCAGAGTTCAAGCTTGAAAAAGAAAAGGGAACATTTGTTTTTTCCCTCTTTTTATTGGATTTCAATTTTATTTCATTGCATTTTATTCAATATATGACAGATAAATAAACCATGTGATAAAATCATTTAAAATGCCTTTCATGTGATCAGCTTTATCATCAATGTCTTGCAAACACAGAGTTCTATTGGCTTTTCTTATAAAAAATAAAAACTATGAAAACTCAAGAAAAAGCGTACTTGTTTTCATTTGTGATTCACTGTGTTATGTTTAATATTTGAGACTCGGAGGTATTTTTTTTTACAATTCTTAGATTGTGAATGATGCGAAAATTTGACGATGTGAAAATTGAATGAATTGACAAACATTGTATTTCTCAGGTAGATAACATTGGGAAGAAAGTGAAAAAAGAACTGTGATTCAGTTCTTTGAAGAGATTTGCATTTGCATATTAGAGGGTCATGATGGCCAAAGAAAGCTTTGCTAGATTTCATTTTTAGAATAACTCGAGAGAGTGGATTGAATTTCAATTTTCCTACCTTGTTTTATGTTTATCTCATTTTTGTTCTTGTCTGTTTGTCTATTTCTATAAAACTGTGTAAAATGCCATTCAGCACTTTGCCTCTTCTCTCTCTATCCCTCATACATCTCCCTCTCCCTCTCTGCCCCTCCTTTATATGCACCAGTGTTTGAAGTTAGGAATTTTAATAGCTGGCATAGAAAATTTACCAAAGGAGCAATCGTCACTGGGCAATTTGTCATAGAACCCAGGCACATGGCTCATGTTCATTGTTAGGGAAGAACCTTTTTTTAATTGAGACCAGTCCACAGTGCACACCCCTCTCAAGCTTGATTTTCTTGAAGACGGCGTTGGAAATGCGAACCAGCTCCCGCTTATTGTCCGATCTCGATCGAGAGGTTTCAAACACAGATAAGAGATACGAGAGAGAGGGAGAGTGAGAGACATTGAAAACAGAAAGGAAAGTAAAGAGAGAGAGAGAGAGATATATAGATAAATGGATATGAGAGAGAGAGAGAGAAAACGAGAGAGAATGACAAAGAGACAGAAAAAGAAAGAGAGAGATATATATAGATAAATGGATATGAGAGAGAGAGAGAGAAAACGAGAGAGAATGACAAAGACAGAAAAAGAAAGAGAGAGAGATATATATAGATAAATGGATATGAGAGAGAGAGAGAGAGAGAAAACGAGAGAGAATGACAAAGAGACAGAAAAAGAAAGAGAGGGGAAGGATATAAATATCAGAATATTTTGTGCCACTTAAATAGCAAAATAAAGGTGATGTAATCAAAAGTAGCCAATGCTGACAGTTAACCATGTATATTGTAATATCCAACAGCCCTCTTTCCTCTCACTTACACACTTGGTACGTTGACATACATTAATATTATCACAATCGCAGTGTTTCTATGAATATAATTTAATAGAGATCTTTGAATCAAGTCTTATAAAACGTGTATATTGCAAATGCTCATATTATCATCACACAGATTTTTTTCAATGATCCTACAATTTCATCAAAATATCAAGAACTTGCACATAAAAATAGGCCCTCTATTACCACAATCGACCAGAGTACCTAATAGTCATAAAAAACATGATCTGAATGAGACAACTATCCCAATCTTTCAAATTCCTACAGAAATGTGGTACTTGGAAAATCAGCTTGATACATAATTTGTCTCTTGACTGTCACAGTCGTTCAATTTTATGTCTATGTTGACATGATGAGCATAAAAAAGATTTATTAAGAGAGCATATCTCATTTGTGCAGAGCTATAAGTGTGTTCAGTCTGTGCTAATGTACATAAACTAACGCCCCTCTGGCTTGTGTATCGAGCAGCTGATTATTCCGAAACTGTTAACCACAAGGCACGACCAAATCCCAAATTGCAACTTTTAAATTTGTATATCATACATCAAAGATTATGCCTGCCTTCATATAGTGCAAATACAGTATGTACCTGTGAATTCATTGCATTTTGTAAAATAAAATAAATGAATAATTAGTACCAGTAATTTTTTGTATAAATTGACATGTGACAATTTTTCATGATCAAAACAACACAAAGTTTAAAATGTCTAAACGAGAAAGACCAAAAGAGCATGAAAGCTCATTGAAATTGCATATTTATCTGAATATTGTGACAGTTGATAATATAAATTTCCCTGGGTAAACTTCAGGTTCTGGAAATGATGTCATGCAGTAGAGAATGGTACAAAATTTCAAATCCTTGAGCGCATTAATAGCAGCCATGTTGAAGCAGGGTAATGAAACTGGAACATTAGGAATGTTGAGTCTGACAGGCATTAATGCCGTACAAGGACCCACTATGATTAATTTTCAAAGAAAATGATGGATGCTTAGGATATACAGTTCAAGTTATAATGAATAACTGAATAATCTTTAATAACATAAATTTGATTTTGAATATCCACACATCAGTATGCATATATATATTGGCAGTAGATCGCAAAATACATTTTGGCATAAGTACATGCAGTTTGGACCCGCAAGAACAAACATAATATCCTAAGTACATCCTAAAAACATTACACTGATATTTTAAGAGTAAGGGTAAAATTGTTTTTCCTTTGATAAAAGTGCAAATATATCTTAATCTCTAATTTCATAAGAGGATAGCAATCCAATCAATTTTTTGTTTGACCAAGGATCATGCATAAAACAAGTAACACCTCTTCTGTTACCATAATTGTCAAGCTCAATTAAAAATTATGTGGTAAATGGGCTATATTTCATTTCATTTGATTTCATTTGTCATATAAAAATATAATATAATTTAAATAATATATTACTACACTTTGTCAAAGAGAATTCAGCATTACTTGGAATACTTTAAAATCTACAAGATAAATGCATAAAACAGGAAGTTCCAGACTATATGAGTAATGTGCATTGATAGGCATTTTTAAGGAAGGTTGAGAGACATTCAAAATAGTTTTTTTCTAATATTTCGAAAATTGTTTGAGGCAACCTGTCTCTTGCTTCTTTTTTGGGGTGATAATTTGGCAGTGCATGGACCTGAGCTGATGTCTCAATTTAGGCTCAGCTGAGAAACAATCAGAGCCAGCCAGAAGAATTTTAAAACAATCTATAATACTTGGCTGAATTTGAAAATTAGAGTACTGCAAAACCAGAAACATTCACGACATGACACTTTCATTGTTAAGGACATCAATTCTCACTGCAAGAAACTTTTGTGAATTGCAAAAAAGCCTGGTGGTTTGTTGATTGTGACTCGCAAAACTTTCGCAAATCTGACCGAATCATGAAAGTTGCTAAATTTTCTGATATTACATCATGTCCTCTGAAACATCCATTTTTTAAAATTTTGGTAGAAATGTGTAAAAAATAGTGTACCGTACTGAAGAGGTAGTGCGAAAACTTTCAAGAGATGAAATTCAAACAAAATGGAAATTGTGGCTGTTTAGTGGTCTTGTTAGTAACTTGTTCTTCAACTCTTGAAACCAAAGCATCATGCAATACCGAGTTTGCCCTTGCATCAAGTTAGCCCAACACTAAAGTGCATATGCATCATAGATGAAGAGATCAAGAGAAATTTCACAAACATTTGAGGAATCCAAGTTGAGAAAGACATGAGGTGACACATCAACAAATTTGAGCAAAATAGTAAACTGTTGATTTGCATGGAAAAAGTATGGTATGTCCTTGGTAATGCAATAAATTTCCAGATCGTCCTTGGTATGTATATTTCGACAACAATGTGAGTCCTTGATTACATAACAATATACTGATGTGTAATATAATGTGTAATATGAGTCTTCAATTTACACAATCAACGTGTACTCGAGTGAATTCATGAGTGTGTGTGTGTGTGTGTTTAAAGTATTAATGTATTCTAAGCACTAACTTTAATATGATTATGACATTACAACACCACTCTGCCCAGTGTTCGATAAACCGCCGTTTACACTATTACTGGTGTCGTACTGGCAGTATGGGAGGCCCTCTGTGTCCTTCTTGTCGCCGGGACGTTGACAGGGCTTGGCCTGGAGCTCTGGATCGGCCCAGGGTTGAAGCTCCCCGGTCCCCATTAACAGGTAGGTGACGGCTCCGAACATGTAAACACCACAACATACCCAGAATGCAATCTGCCACTGTGAGATGTCGTACTAGGGTGGTGGATGGAGGGGGGGGGGGAGAAAGAATTAGGGGGTAAAATGAAGGCAACATCTTTTTCTCTTATAGTTTTTATATGCAAATTATCATTGTTTGTCATCAGATTCATCACAAGTCAAGAAAACACACTTTATACATAATATAAAAATACAGCAATCATTTTCTTTAAGTCTCCTCAATCATTTTAATATGAATGTCAAAGTGATAGATGTACATTTCTACACAACTGTTGCTTTTCAAACATTTCCAGGTTTTTTGTGGAAACCAAAGTCTTACATTTTTCTTGTAAAAAGATTTTTAAAGAATTACTAGAGTGAAACATTTAAAATTTCTTTTTTACTTTCATTTGTGATTCTTCCCTTCTCTTATGTATGAGCTTCCATAAATGCTAGTATATAACAAAAATGGAACCCAAGTCCGACATGGCTTCTGTGTGTAGGATTTACGTTATTTTCTATTTTCAACTAATTACCCCTTAACTGTTAACCCTTAGAATCCCTTAGAATGCCAACTAAATTTCTAATGGTTAATATTATAAAACTAGCAGTATACAAATTACTTTTTTAGGTCTTGGTACATTTTGAGTACAGTAATGCTATGTTCATGGCGGCCACAGCAATCACGTTTCAGGCCACCGTAGACAAAACGTGGATGCCGGCCAGATTTTTAAACTGTCAAAAAACTTGCCACGGCAGTCACAAAACCTTGTGGGCCGAAGTAAAACGGGGTGAACGCAACAAAACGTGACAGTACGTACTAAAAAATTTGGCAAGACCTAACAAACTTGAATAAAGAGAAAAAATTGCCCAAATCCCACAACGCACTACTTTTCAGGAACATATTGCAACCAAGCATAAGAAGTTTAATGCATGCAAAGCGCTGGTTACCTGGTTTGTGACGTAGAGCCCCACCATTGAGGGGCCCAGGATTCCTGGGATGGTTCCGATGGTATTGGTGATGCCCATGAGAAGCCCTCCGTACGCCGGTGCAATGTCCAGATGATTGACGTTGAAGCCAGACATGGCAAACCCTCCTGTACCCACGGCCAGAGTTAGCATTGCCACGGCCAAAACATGGTTGCATCCGATGTACCCGGTTATCACTAGGAATGCAGCTGGTAATACAAGCCCTGCGAAAAGAAGTTAAGAATATTGCTGTTTTCAGATGGGTCAAATATTTACTGATAAAATGTGAGAAATAGAGTCAGACATGGAGAGACCCCTTGATCCAATGGCCAGATTTATGAATGCCACAGCCCAAAAATGGTTACACCTGCAGGCCCCTAAAAAAAGACCTACAACAAGAAATAAAGAACGTTACCATTTAAAGACGGGCCTAGTGTAGAGCTATGCATAGGCTGCCCTACACTAGCAACACATAAAATGTAGGAAACAAAGGTGAGCAAGGGAAGCACACCCTGCTCCCATAGCCAGAAAAACTACAGCCATAGTGTGGTTCCTTATGATGTACCCAGTTAAGTTAATACTAGGAATAGAGCATGTAAAACAAGACATGTAAAACAAGACCTGCAAAAAGAAGAACATCTTGACTGAACAGAGGGGAAAGTGATTGATTGCACATATCAGGGTTAGAATGTGGAAGAGAAAGAGCGAGAGAGGGAGAGAAAGAGAGGGAGAGAGAGAAAGAAAAAAAAGGGAGAGAAAAAATAAGGGAGAGAAAGGGAGAGGGGGCAAGAAAGAGAGAGAGAGATAAATAGAAGGAGAGAAAGGGAGAGGGAGAGAGAAAGAAAGAAAGAGCAAGAGAGAGAGAGAGAGAAAGAGAAGGAGCTAGAGAGAGAGAAAAAAGAGAAAGAAAGGGAGAAGGGGCAAGAAAGAGAGAGAGGGAGAGAGTGAGAGAGGGAGAGAGGGAGAGAGGGAGAGAAGGAGAGAAAGGGAGAGAGAGAGGGAGAGAAAGAGAGAGGGAGAGGTGCAATAAACATTAGACTGAACTATAAACTCAACCAATATGTACAACCCAACTGTAACACTAATCCTCTACATAATATCATGATCTGCTATTAACCATAAAGCATATCCAATACCCATCTTACCTAAAGTATTGAATAATTTCCTTGTATTGGTCGTTGAAAGTATATAGCGCCCTCTAAGGAAGTCAGCTACCTGACCTCCGGCATTGATCGTGATCCACATTACTAGATAAGGCACTGCTGACAAAAATCCACTCTGTAAAGCAAAACAAAATGCAATTTGAAAAGAAAATGGTATAAAACTAGACCAATGAGAATCAACTGAAAATGAAATATAAAACAAAATCTCTGCATTTAATTATTATTCACGAGTAGGATTTTGAGTCAACCAGAAAAATTAGCACATACCATATTGTGCTTTGAGCAAAATTACACACATGACTGCATAATTATAATTCAATATCTTTTGGTTTATAAAAAGCTTCCAGTTGGCACTGCTATATTGTTTCAGTATCTCATGAAATTTGGTGCATAAACAAAACAAGAATGAATATGTATTTTAATAGGCAAAGGGTAAGGCAGTGAAATTACAGAAGCATGCCTTGCAAAACCGAGAAAGGATTTTCGCCCCCTTTCTTTCTCCATGATTAAAGTGCAAGTTGATTAAAAAAAATTATGGTATGATGGTGGAAAGGTGGAAAGGAAAATTCAGCTTACGGGCTTCACAAAATTAATGATAATGACGTTAAAGGGGAAGTCAATCCTGATATGAAGTTGGTTTTAATATAAGTTACAAGATAATTGAAAAATAATTACATTGTATTATGTTATATAGTAATATCAGCATTACCCCCCTTAAACCCCTTTAAAGCCTCATAGTAGTGGGTTCTCATGGGGAATTCCACACCATTCAGGTGTATAACCCAATAACAGGTGTTGTCAATTACCACGAGAGTGGACTTCACTTTTACGCCCACAGGTCTTGTGCAATGCACTGTGCCATGTGCACTGCGCCAGAAGTAATTCTCATCATAAGAAAACTCCCCTCACCCTTGAGATATGAAGGCAAGCTGGAGTATCTTCTGGTGGGACAACTCACTAGGTATGTCTTCATCAGCTTTAGATTGCCTAATAGCCCGCTATTTCTTATTTGGGAAATAAGCCCAAAGTTACAAATCGCGTCTTCATCAGCTCGAAACTCAAAATTAGAGCTTGAAAAATTAGCTCGAGATATTTTAATTGGCGTTTGCGCATAGTGCGAGTCTTCGGACTGGTGAAGCAAACCAGAAAAATAGCAGAATATTTTGCAAACTAGCCCAAGATATCTTGGGATGATTATCTCGACCGAATGTCCCGCTGATTGCAACTGCGGGCTGATGAAGACGCAAATTAGCTGGATAATTTGCAATCAGGATAGCGGGTTATTTGGCAATCTCAAGCTATAATGATGACAGGCCTACTGGTTCCCCACCTGAGAGACCTGTGCACACATTAATTCAATCAAATCTGGGGTCTTACGATGCAATACACATGGACACTGATTACTACTGTATGTAGCTTTAAACAAAGAATTAGCTTTGAAAACTTACTTGTGATATATCGAAGCCCAGTCCAAATTTCAAATAAGAAGGCAGATTGGTGAGCAACGTGTAGAAACCAAAATTGTTTGAAAAATGAGAGAGGCTAATAGCTAATAGTCTCACTGATGTCAACATCTTGAACCATGGAACTTTCAGACTCTGGTTATAAATATAAAAAATAACAGATTAGTGGAGATACATCATACATCATACATCATCATCGTCATCGTCATCATCATTGTCATCATCATCATCATCATCATTATCATCATTATTATTATTATCATTATATTTATCATTATTATTATCACAATCATTATTGTAATAATTATTATTATCATCATTATCGTGATCATTATCATGATCATTGTGATCATTATCACCATTATCATTATCATTATTGTTATTATTATGTTTATTATTATGTTTATTATTCTTAGTAGTATTATCATAATTATTACTACTATTAGTAAAACATGTGGTAGCAGTAATTATAGTAGTAGTAGTAGTAGTAGTACATCATGTAGTAATGTTGCTAATGTTCATAATCATCATCATCATCATCATTGTTATCATTATCATCATCATCATCATCATCATCATCATCATCATCATCATCATCATCATCATCATCATCATCATCATCATTATCATCATTACTATTATGAACATTATATACCTGGAATAAAAGCATACCTTATCTCTGGGCTTGATTGCTTTCTGAAGAAACTGGAGTTCTTCAGGTGAAATCCTTGGGTGTTTCTCTGGTTTATCATGCACCAATGCAATCCATAAAATAAACCATACCACTCCACAAACACCTGCAAACAAGATAAAGAAGAATAGCACAAGTGTAAACAGAAGGGCATAACTTAAGTTTACCCTGATGATTCAAAAGAATTATTTGAAGTTAGAAGTTGTCATGGTTGAAGTATAGATGCTATTATGCTTTCTAATTAATATGATTTAGTTTTTTTTTTAATAAATAAAACATATTTACATATATTATCATACCATATCAGTCCAAAATAGACATATCCTGTACAATTCATGCTGGCTTTTCCCCTCGAACCCTCTAATATTAGGTCCTACATTCTCATCAGAGAAGGATATTACCCATGTCAAATTTACACAAATGCCTAACCCACAGTTTTCTCTCAATTACCACAACCCCATCTACTCTTGGTTCTACTCTTTCAAACCATAGACAAACTTTGGTTTGGCATCAAGAAAGCCTGGCCCACCTTCCAACCTCAATCATCTGCAGCCCCCCCCCCCCCCCCATCCCCCACAGCTTCTTTTTCTTCCTTTTTCTCCTGGTTGATAAACTGCAGACATCAGAGACATATGATCAACCTCCTCCAAGAAAATCTGGCCACACCTAGTACCCCACCCCACCCCATCTTTAACCCTCTCATCATTTCTTCAATCTTACCAAAGACGGAGAAGACAGGTGGCCAGTCTCCTTGAAAGTCTCTCAAAACTTCACCCCTAGCCCCCCTCATCCTCCCCCCCCCCCCTTCCACCCACTCATCATTTCTTCATTCTTACCAAAGACATAGAAGACTGACGGCCAGCCACCAAGGAAATCAGAATTACAGAGCACACCTGAGATGGGCAATGCCAACACTGTACCAAAATGGGAACCTACAAAAGAAAACGAGACAAACGATTCAAATTCTTACACATCGTAATTACAAAATGGTTAAGTTAAATAAAAGAGAATTAGGGCCTTTTTTCAATTTTTTTTACCCACGTAGTGCACAGTGACAAAAGGAGGTTTAGAACTCTACACAAATTTCTATGAATGGATTTATAAATTGTTATAAAACTTGTCACATCAATTAAGTACCTCCTGCTCTATGTTGTAACAGTTTGATACGACAGCTAAATCAATTTTCAAGTTATGGGATATCAAAATGAGACCATGAGCTACAGTTGTAGAGAAATAAAACTAATACAGTCAAACTTGTTTTAGTGACCACCTGTCTACAAAGACCACATTTGTTGTCTCCCTTGAAAATGGTTTCTCGTTGACACATGTACTAAAGGAATCTGTCTACAAAGACCACTTTTTGTATTTCCCAGGCAAACATAGGTCTACAAAACACTGCCAAAATACCACTTTTAGATCGTTTGGTGCTTCCAAAAATTTCAGATTACATAGAAGAAGATATGAAGACTTGAAGATAAGATACACATTCTAAGACCATTGTTCTTCTTACTGCTGCACCTCTTTTAACTATTGCACTGTGTTCAACTTTCTGTTCGAATTTCTCTGGAGACTGACTTCAAATCTCACCTGCATATGTGAATGTAAGTAGACGGCTCCTTTCAACGGGTGGCGCCCAGTTGGCCCACATAGCATTCATAGCAGGGAAAGTAACACCCTGAAAAAAGGGGGAAGGATTTTGTTATGGTAATGGTGAGTATTGGTCAGGGCCTTTAAGTTACGTGAAACTAGTTCAGCGCTAAGCCCAAGTTTACTGAGAAGCTAATTGACTCGTAAATTAAGGGCACATAATCAGAACGACAAAATATAAACAAGAATGACATTTAACAAGCACATTAATTCTGACATATTAGCTCAGCTAAATGTATAGAATTAAAGGTAAAGACCAGTTATGGTCATGCGATTGCTTTGTGAAAGAAACGATCAGAAAAGGTTGATCATCTAGCATCTAGCATCTGCAAGGTTCTGGAATCATCAAAATGATAAGAAATTTGGCCCATTCTTCATAAAGTTACAAGCACTATACACAGAAAGATGTATATGGGACTACCCTATATCTCTCACAGACCATGAGAGAAACAAATTTATCAAATATATGAATTAGTAGGCGGTTTCCCGGCAAATTTTTTATCATCATGTATTAGTCAAAACATATGCTTTCACATGATTGGTAATGAGAGCTTCCATTTCATTTTTTGAAATTGGGGCGTTTCCAATACTGGTCTTTACCTTTAAGAACTAATATTAGAGGTGCTACAAACCCAATGTCACATATCCTGGGGCAAATTAAATTATCAGATGGGCAACTGAATTTGCCACCTATCTGATAGGGCAAACTGATTATGAATTTACAAACAAAACATTTTCAATATTAACAAATATAAGGACCAACGCAATGTTTGTAAATCAAAGTTGATGCTTATGAAAAGACAAAGACTACAACAGTGTTTGTGAATCCAAGCTGACCTTATTTAAACCCACCATTTACAATCTAGTTAGCAAGTTTATGTTTAAGTTAAGTGGCCACCAACCTTTCTTTAGCTCCCTGCTACTATGTGCTGACAAGCAGGTACATTTAAACTTTTTTTTCTTCTTCATGTTCTTTTTGAAAAGTTACAAACTAATTATAAATATCATGATAATAAACAAATTACATGATTAATACATCATCCACATAATATACTTACATTGTAATACCAACATTAAATTTACATGAAGAAGGATTGCCACATACATGTAAGCTAAGCTTGAAGATGTGGTAATCCTTTATAAAATGTAATAATTCCTATTCATAATCCAAGCTTTTGCCTTACCTCTCCTATGCCTGCAATGACCCTGACTACAATGAGCCAAGGAAGGCCTGTCCTGGCAGCGACGGGGGTCAGGAGGGTAAAGATGGCCGTACAGAGCACCCCCGACCCAAAGAGCCACTTAGCCCCCATTATGTCCCCTAGGAAACCCCCGGGTATCTGGGTCAGGATGTAGCCATAGAAGAAAGAAGCGAGGATCTGCTCCTTGGTGTTTGAATCCCAATTAAACTCCCCTTCCTGTTTTGTAGGAGAAAGTTGAGGAGGAGGAGAAAAGGAAAACAAGGACAAATGAGGAGGAGAAGAAGGTAGAGGAGGAGGAGGAGGAGGAGGAGGAGGAGGAAGAGGAGGAGGAGGAGGAGGAAAAGAAGAAAAGGAGGAGGAGAAAAAGAAACAGGAGAAGGGGAAAAAAGAAAGAAGGACCAGGAGGAGTAGGAGGAGAAAAAGAAGAAGAAAGCACAAAGTAAGGGTTTAAAGTGTACCAATCACCAAAAACATGTTTGTTCTTGATGTAAGAGGTTCCATGTTGCTATACTGTAGTCAAACTATGAGCTTCAAATATTTTTCGTCAAAGAGATATATTGTGGTTTGAAATATAGTCCCAGTGAATTTTTAAATGTCTTGTTGAGTAGACATCTTAAAGCATGGTCTTTAAGAATATAAAGAAAAAGTCTTTCAAACATAGATCTACATCTTTTAAATCTGTGACCATTTTTTCCACAATTGCTATTTACCGTGATCATCATGATTTATGTGATCAATCTCTATCATTATATGTTTAAGTGATCAATTGCAATTTTTGTTTTTTCTGTTAAAACCATCATTCATTCTTTTCTTTTTTGTAATTCTATTTTCATTTTAATTTTGTTTCAGAGAATTCTAAATCCTACCTTCTGTGTGGTGTTTGACTGTGATACATTGACTGGGCAGCTAATCTGGGTACTGTTGACTGTGGTTGTACTGTTCACCATGTCAGCTAAGGCCACGCTAAGGTTCACCCTCATGGCATAGACATTGACAAACCCCAAGAACGCCAGGAACGCAAGGGCATGACGAGCAGATATGAGTCCGGGAACTAGGATTAAAATATTGGGATAAATTAATGACGATGATGATGATGAATGAGGATGATGACGGTGATAATGATATTCCTCTTCTTGCCACCGCTGGGCCGAGGGGCCTTGACTGCCTTCTTGGAGCCTTTCTTAGCAACTTGAGCTGTTGGAGCCATGATGAATTGAGGTTTAATAATATATTTAAAAAATAACAATAATAATGATATTAATAATAATAATAATGATGATAATAATGATAATAATAATAAAAGTACAAATAATGAAAATAACAATAATGATAATAATAATGATAACAATATCATGATGTATAAAAACAAAACAGAAACAAATAATCCATGATAAGATTTATTTTGTATGTATTCAAACTTTGTTTCCTCTGTATTTGTAAGTCCTATAATTTGTACAGGGCTTAATAGGAAAACACATTTATTACTGAGAGAGTTACCCTGTTTCAATAAATAACAAATAAAAAACAAATAAAATAATTAATCTGTTTTCTGTATAGCGCATATCACTCTATGTCATAACATCTCTATAAATGCACTTCGGAAGAGTTTGGGAAATTATTACTTGGCTTTAACTATGGCTACCATTATCAGCGCACTGTGCGTATCAAGGAATAATCCTAACCCATTCACCTCACCTGGGTTGAGTGCGGCAAATGTAGATTAGTGTCCTAGCTGCCAAAGGTCATAGAGCAATCAATGAGATGTCTTTGGAGACCAACTAGTCAATTATCAGACAGAAAGTACTGCTAATCTAAATAGCCACTGCTTGGCTAAATCATACACACATTCACAATGTTAATTTAATAACCTTGTACAAAATACAGCATACACCTGTAGGTCACATTTGCCCATGGAGCTACATGTACATCATGTAATGTATCTATTATACAATAGATGAAGTGAATTTGCAGCACAGGTAACTACATAGAACATGATATGGCAGAAGTTCAGAATTAAAAATACTCAAATTTCATCTTGAAAAGTGAAAACCCAAGTTTTGCAAAGTATTACTGGCTAGTCTCTGTTGGGATATATTGTAGAGATATGAGTGTGAGGTATTGTGAATGGATATTTGAAAGCGTGTTCACTCGTCACACAACATAACTCTTATTTTTATTTTAGCTACGAGGAAACAAGGTTGCACTGACAATAAAATACATGAAAGAAAGTATTCCCTTTTCGTTAGTTTATTGGGTACTGATGAGGCTGGCCGTACACTTGCAAAGTGTAGCCAAGCACAAGCCGAAGAATCGGAATGAAAATGCATAAATGGTAAATGTGAATATTGCACGGAGATTACATAATGATCAATGATGATAATGAACATGAATCAATGCGATGTACATAAATAGAGCTTACGACAATAATAGAAATGAAGTCGAAAGTCCAATGAAGATGAAGAGAGTTGAGAACGAAGGAAGGGGCTCACGCGATGAAATGTGCGGAGGCTTGATGGCGGAAACGCGACTTCGTTGACGTGGTTGAAGAACCGTGAAGAACGCGATGTCATCGCCGACGCTCGTGATGATGATGAATGTAGATTGAGCTCTCGGGCGAGAATAGAAGAGAAGAGAAGAGATGTGCGACGCTCGATGACGAAAGCAGTGAGTCGCTTGATGTCGGAGGCCAAAGAAGAAAATGCAGACATCAAAGCCGGTAGTGGTGCTTTGATGAGCCGAACTTTGATGATGAATGTTTAGATGAGCTGCGGTGAGTCGAGCTCATGTGAGTGAAAGACTACCGGTGAAGAAACTGGCAGCTCCCAGCGGATAACCAAGCACCATATATGTCGGAACTAGATTTAACTGTTCCACTGGAAGACTGCAGCCCGATGAACACGGCAGAGAAAGTGAAGATGTGCCGATAGAAGTGATAGGCACAGTAGAATCAAGCCCGGAGAGGAAATCATGCAGAAACGTGTTGACTCAACTGAGACGTATTAGCAGGAGTTGTTGACTCGACCGAGGTGTAAGCGGGAGTGGAGAAAACCTCGTGGTGATGAAAATACGCGGGTGAACGATGCGCGGAACCACGATGCTCGATTGGAGGAATGAACACACGTGGTACGAATAATGAATATAAATAAGTACCGTGATGGAAAAATACTGGTGACATGAATGTACGGTGAAAGTAGGGCGAATGTAAGTAGGGCGAATGTAAGAGCCGCTACAATATAAACATCTCCATGTACATGTAATGTAGACTAATTAATGTGAGAAAACATAGCTCTCACATATATTTCGGTGTTTATTTTCTTAAAACAAATTAACTATTGAACCAGATAAACAAGCCCCACATCATGAAACAAAAAGTAAGAAAAAGTATATCCACATCCTATGCCTACTTGTACTAATCTTCTTCTCAAAATTTTATTTCTTTGTTTTCATTCCTTCCTTTCATTCATTTTCCCCTACTTTTTGCATTTTTCCTACTCCTTTTTCTAAAGTTCTTTTTTTTTCCCTTTTCATTCCCTTCCTCTCGAGCTCTCTAGCCTACTGCTTCTTGTTTTATTACCTTTACCTTTAACTTTACCTGAGATTCTAGAAGAATCGTGTGTTCTCAGCGGTCGGGCTTCCAATTCAATTTCATTTTCTTCCTTCTCGTAGTGGGGTGTCTCCATCTTGGTAAGTTTCTACTTTCTTTGGCTCAGTTCCGTGTTGGGTATTCTACTCATATGGGGAGCAGAAACCCTTGTCTGTCCATACTCGATCAAGTCTGGCTTAAAATGTATTCACCGTTCAGGAAGTGTGTTCCGGTACCGGTCATGCATTGATGACTCTTCTTCCTCTTCTTTTCACTTTCAGAAACCTCTCTTCACCCATTCATCTTCCTCTCTTCTAATCTATTTTGAAATCGACTTCCCCTTATAGATCTTCTTCCTCTCTTCTTCATCATCTTCTGCTCTCTCTCTCCTCCCTCTTCCTCTTATTATCTCCTGATTCTTGATTGAATAACATGAATATGAATGTGCATAAATTGCATTTAATGAAAATTATAAACAAACTTTTGTTACCTTTTGGAGCGACCAGGAACTCCTCTTTATTTTTCACTTCTTCTGATCCATCTGTACTTCTTATGAGAGGACGATGCTCCATAGAATCGTGTAAACCGTCATCATTTTCACAAATATTCCCAGACATCTTGAGAGGCTGAGAGGTTCTGAATTAGTCCGAGACTGATTTAGACTCAGCTGATCTCATTTTTTGTTCAGAGTTTTAATGAATTTACCGGCCACAAATTTGGCGACTATCTACGGTATCCTTGACATAACAAATTATGGCGATTCTTATCCAAATTATGAAATGAAAATAAAGATAACGGCGACTAGTGAAGGAAGATAAGGTGCATTCCATCAATTCTATAAATAGGGTCTGTATATTTTCTTCAATCACCTGTTTCCCCGTAGATGGGAAATGTGTCGATGGCAACGAATAAATATTAAATTTCCATTAGTCCTTTTGAGCATACAATCGAATTGCATTTGCACGTAAAATGAATACGGTTGCGTTCGAAGTCAGGTGACCGTTTTCTCGATTTCCAAAACATTGGTCGCCAATTTCAGTCGTGTCAACAGCTGTGTAAGTCGATCATGTGATTAACTGCTTTGTCAACACAGGCGTACTAGTAAATGTGTGCGTGTGGGAGTTGTGGGGGTGGGGGAGGGGCCGGGGCTTAGGGGCTGGTGCCCCTCAAAACATAAACAAACTTTGAAGTTCTATTCCCCCCATATATATGCCAAAAAAAGGAGAGGGAATTAAAAAGGGAAAAAGAAAAAAAATGAAATAAAAATAAAAAGGGGGGGGGGGGGTGGGGAGCCTCCAATTTTTACGTTGCTCTGACCAATATGCCATTTTATTCTTTTAAGATAATGGAAGAAAGACACGTACCATTGGTTCTATCAAGTGTATACAGTCAACTCACATTTTTCTTACAATTTGTGAAGTCGTAGTTTAGTCTCAGTGGCATATGCAGGAATTTTTCAAGGGGATTGTTTTACAATACGGGGGTGGGGGGGGGGGGGAGGAGTATTTTTTTATTTTTTTAAATTTTTTTTTGGGGGGGTCCATTTTTTGAGGGAAAATTTCGCAACGACTCAGCCAGCCGCTGAATAAGCGGGGGGGGGGGGGGGGAGGGAGAAGAGCACATTTTGTTTTTGTTTGGGGGGGGGGCCGAAAATTACGTCGTCGGATTTTTCGTTCAGTGGTTTGGGGGGGGGGGAGGAACATTTTCTTTTTGCCTCCTTCAGCACAATTTTTTTTTTTTTTTTAATTGAGGGGGGTTTAACCCCCGCCCTGCGTGCGCGCCTGTATAGTCTTAATTGCAAAACCGATCGAATGTTGAAAGTATTCATTTTTCTTTCAAAAAAAAAATTAGGGGGGGGTTAACCCCAAAAACACCCCCCCCCCCCCCCCCCCCCCCCCCCCCCCCCCCCCCCCCCCAGCGCCTGATCGTAAGTCGAAACTCGTAACCATATATTTTTCTTTGTAATTCACAATAACTTATAAAGATATATTTTTATAATCCGAATCAAATTTTGTATATGGAAATGGGATCATAATCTCACTCTCTCTCTTTCTTCTTCTTCTTCTTCTTCTTCTTCTTCTTCTTCTTCTTTTTTCCTTTTTTTTTCTTCTTCTTCTTCTTCTTTTCCTTCTTCTTCTTCTTCTTCTTCTTCTTCTTCTTCTTCTTCTTCTTCTTCTTCTTCTTCTCCTCCTCTTCCTCCTCCTCTTCCTGCTCCTCTATTTTTTTTCCAGCTCGCCTTCTCCCTTTCCCTTCTACTTCTTCTTCTTTTTCCTAATCTGTCAAACGCGTTTTATGATTTTTTTTTGTCGGATTGATCAGTTATTTATTTATTTTTTTTTGTATTTATTTTCGTTTATACCAGGCAAGTCTCAGATTAAAAACCGCCGCAGTTTTTTGTCCCGAGCTCTTTTTCATTTTGATTTTTTGTTTGAACTGAATTTATTGAGATGAAACCAATTTACGAGTCACAATTATGAAGGAACACACAAAATCGAGCTTGAACATGACAATGTTTTTCGACGTGGATATGAACTAATAGACAACTATATTTCATTTAAAATATGTATTCAAATTACATAACAGGAAAGAAACACAGAACAAATTCAGCTAAAAACGTGGCATGCAATGGAATATAAGTATTTTCATCTTTATTATATTGTTTTTCGTTCTATGTAATTTCACTTTCATTTAATTTTCATTTCTAACCGTCAGAGCGATATACAAAATCGTAACATTCTCCCATTAAACGCGTATAATCGTAATTGCGATCTCTCAAATATTTGATGACTTAATGTTTACCAGTATAAACCGGCTTTAAATCGAATTTAAATTAAACAACAATATTTGAGAACAATAATGTATACCAATTTGTCTGAAGAATATGATTGACATTGTTTAAGGTAGTAATAATAATTCTTCATTGATCTTTTTAAAAATCAATATTTATTATTATTATCATTTTTTGTATTTAATGTTTTATTTTGTATTGTTTGTTTTAAAAAAAATGTATGGGTTCTTTGAAAAGTTAGCTCACCAACATTTGTTTGAGGATATGATTTAAAAATAACACAGTGAAATGAGTTTTACATTAAAAAAAACATGAAAGAAATGAAAGAATATAAATGGGGCCCCGCCCCCCCCCCCCCACTCCGAGAACGGAGGGATACCATGCCTGTTACCAAAATGTCCGGTAAAGGGATACTTTTCGTGCGACAAAGCCCGAGAATTCTAAAAAAAGAGGGGGTGTATTTGTCTTTTCACCCAGAGATTTCTTTAAAAAGAGGGTGTAAGAGGACATCCATTTTTTTTTTTGGTCCCGAAATTTGGAAATCCAGCCGATCGTCCTCCCGTTCCGTTGGGGGGGGGGGGGGTAAGGTCATCTTTTTTTGGTCATCCATTAGGATTTAAAAAAAAAAATTATTTAAAAAAAAAATTATTATTAAAAATATTTAAAAAAAAATATAAAAAAAAATCCTCAAAGGGGGGGGGGGGGGGGTGGGTTTTCTCAAAATACATACACATAATAACAAATTCAAGGGGGGGTTAACCCCCCCCCCCCCCCCGCCCCTGCGTACTCGCCTGAGTATGTGAAAGGACACATCATGAAAATCATGAAAATTATTCTGGCTTCTCCTAGTAAGTCATGTAGTTTGGATCCCATTCCAACTTGGTTTTTAAAAGAACATGTACATTGTCTTCTTCCTGTATTGACAAATATTGTTAATTCATCATTACAAACAGGTACATTCCCTTCTGCAGCTAGGTCAGCCATAATTAGACCTCTTATCAAGAAGCAAAATCTTGATAAAGACTGCTTGTCAAATTATAGACCTGTGTCAAATTTAAGTTTCTTGGAAAAGCTCATTGAGAAAGTTGCTTGTCGTAGACTCACGGATCACATGAATGAAAATAGATTGTGGGATCCTAACCAATCTGCATATAGACCCTATCATAGTACTGAAAGCGCACTTATCAAAGTAAAAAATGATATTCTGTCTGCTATGGATAAAGGTCGAGTAGTTTTATTGTTGTCATTAGATCTATCAGCAGCCTTCGATACTATTGACCGTGATATTTTAATATGTCGGTTATCAACAAGGCTAGGAATCGAGGGTGCAGCTCTGAGATGGTTTAGGTCATATTTGGAAGACTGGTCCACATGTGTTGAAATTAGGGGGAAACAGTCAGTAGTATAGCTTCTAACAAAGTAGGTCTCCCTCAAGGATCTGTATTTGGACCCATAGGATATACTATATATACTTTGCCTGTCCCAGACATCGCTAGACATTATAACGTTTCATATCACACTTACGCTGATGATACACAGTTGTATGTTACATTTAACCCTAAGCAACCTAATGGCTTAAATACTGCATTAAAAACTCTTTCAGATTGTGTCACAGATATAAGTATGTGGATGGGAAGGAATAAGCTTAAACTAAATGAGGAAAAGACAGAGTTTTTGGTAATCGGCTCCAAACACAACTTGGGAAACATTAATGATGTTAATCTTACATTCGGAACCACCCAGATTGCACCATCTACATCGGTCAAGAACCTTGGTGTCATTTTTGATTGCAATATGTCCATGTCTAACCAAATAGACCAGCTTTGTAAATCTGTACGATATCAGTTGAAGAATGTATCACAGATTAGGAAGTATGTATCTGAAGATGCATGTCATCATGTGATTCGCAGCCATGTTCTTTCCCGGTTGGATTATTGTAACGGGTTGCTTACAGAAGTCCCTCAAACATATATAAGAAGACTTCAAAGTTTACAGAACTGGGCGGCTCGTATTATTTTTCGTTTAGACCGTCGTCACGATGCCATGCCTCTACTAACATCCCTTCATTGGTTGCCAATCAAACAGAGGATTGTTTTTAAGATTCTTTTATTTGTATACAAATTTTTTCATGATCAGGCACCAGAGTATTTTAGTGACTGTCTTGAGTTGTATCAACCTGTACGTACAAACCTTCGCTCCAATGCAGACCCATTTCGACTGACATTTCATGTGGCTCGTAGTAAGGCAGGAGATCGCACATTCACTGTTGCAGCAGCTAAGGAGTGGAATAAACTTCCCTCCAGTATCAAAGCTGCTGCATCAGTGGATGTTTTTAAGAAACTCCTTAAAACCTATTTATTTCCTATTTGATTCGCTATTTTTTTTTTGTTCAATGTTATGTTATGTTATGATTTGTGGTTATTATTGTAAGCGCTGTGATATAGTGTACTATGAATAGCGTAGCTAAATGCCTAATAATAATAATAATAATAATCATGCAGGCACAGGTGATGTCAGTCAAGATTGATGGAAGGTTTATTTCTAACTAAGTCTCAATATCAGGCACTAAAGTAACTATTCGGTGTATTATGCAGATAAATGAGCATAGAACTAATTTGCAGACTTTGTTTATTCTTACAAATTACAAGGTATAAATGGACACACGAGCACAAAAAATTTGTATGTATTTCATTCTATACGTAATGCAGCCTGAGTTCTTTGGGGGTATTTCCTGGGTGTGTGAGCCAACCAGTAATGACAGCTTATCTGAGATAGGGGGGGGGGGGGGGTAGGGGGTTGGTCTGCATGTTCTGAGATAGGGGGTTCATTGAGCAGTGTTTCAGATTTAGGGGGGTCTCCAAGGCAGAAAATGCCCGCGCCTAGCCCGCAAAAGGGGGGGGGGGTCCAGAAATTTTGGCAGTCCTCAGATAGGGGGTGCTTTCAAAGAGAGGGAACAAGCATATGCGTACCTTAAATAACACTGAGTGGGGGAGGGGGTGGGCGGGGATGGGGCCCGTTAATGGGGCCAGTCCTTGTCTTTGCTGTTTGTAAAAAACATTTTTGCCTAATGTATTCCCATTCAATAATATTCCTCTAAGATCTCTCTCTTCAATTTGTATGCCTCCCTCATGTGTTAGGAATCGGATCAGATTGGTCATTGGCACCATTGAGTTAAACATCCCTGGATGGATTGCGTCACAGAATAGACAATCTGACGAACCGCCATATTAGTTTATCGGATGTGCCCTCATCTTGTGACTGAAATGAAATCAAATCTAAAAACATTATGAAGTGGGTTGGCCATACGGCATGTGGGAGGGGGGTGCTAATGGCTCTGGGCCCCTCTATTGAGAATAAAGAGGATGGGGTGGGGGAGGGGGCAAGCTAATAATGAACAAAATGTCTTAAGATATAGATTGAGAAACGCCCATATAATTGGGATCAGTAAATCATTGTCATTGTCTGCCCCTTATACTTTTATAATAGGACAAATTGCAAAGAAATTTAGAATATGCACCTCTTATTCTCATGGTATGAGTGATGCATAGAATAGACAATTTCCTCTTGTATTGATTGTGTTAGGGCACACCCCTCACCATGTTGTCAAATCATTATGAACATTAAAAAGAAGAAGATGAAGATGAAAATAATTAAAGGTAAAGACCAGTATTGGAAACACCCCAATTTCAAATAATGAAATGGAAGCTCTTATTACCAATCATGTAAAAGAATATGTTTTGAATAATACATGATGATAAAAAATGGGGGTACTCGCATATAAGACACACAGGGGTGTGCCGCTCTAATGGGTAATTTTTTCACAAAAAGTCCCTAAACATGGGTCCCACTTTTAATTAAAATATTAAAAATAGGTCCGTTTTTTGAAAATTTGCAAAATTTTCGGGTGTTTGCCAAAACCTGAAAAAAATCTGATTTTTTTTTAAAAATGGGTCTTTTTTTAGAGAAAAATGACACATAATGACCTCTAATAATGGGTATGGGTTTCGAGGTTTGAGTGGCACACCCCGTCCAAACCAAATCTGAGTATCCCCCCTGGGATAATTGTACATCGAAACCTGTATATGAAGACCGCTAAAGGCCAAGGGTCAGAAGAAAAGTGGTCTTTATAGCAAGGTGGTCTCTATGTACAGGTTCTGTTGAGAAACCATATGCCTTAATTGATCAAATAAAATTTGAATTTATATGGCTAGAAGAAATTCTGAAACATAACATACAAGTGCTAGCTTGAACTGAGCTTGTTGAATAATGAAACATTTTTCAAATGGGTGGCAACTGGCAAACATTATGATTAAAAAACCCCATATAAATGGGCAGGATTCCTTGACTTATGGGAGCAACAAGATGGCGTTGTATGCTCCCGACAGAGTCGATGTGCTTTCGCTGCACTGATCCTTCCATGTTAACAGTTCGATGGGCGGCTGCCTGTGACGTCACTTGGGCGGACATCTTTGCAAGAGCGAATTAGCTTTTACTGGATCTTCACATATCGCGGAAAAAACTACGGAAACTGGGCGAAACACACAGTTGTATTTGCCCTTTGCAGCCGTGGATTTTCCTCATTTTCGGATATAATCCACATGCTGACTTCGTCTGTGGATATACAATCGGACGGAGGAGGATTTTAGATCGCCATGTTCAAGTGTATCCCGCTATTTCGGGCCTGCAACAGGCACGTCGAATACATCGACAAGAGACATTGCAACCTGCCGGGAGTACCGGACGATGTGTACCGCTATGCACGTACTCTGGAGGAGCTGCGATTGGACGCTAATCAAATCAGAGATTTACCCAGAGTAAGAACCTGTCCATAATTATCGTCGGAAATAATTCAAATATTGGATTTCAAGCAATTCTAGGTGCTGATGACAAAGTTTATTCTTTGAATAAGTTATAATGTCCGATTTCATTGAATTTTCAAACTCATTTGTTCATTAAAAAAAAAAAAAAGATTTTTTTTTTTTTATCAAGACTGAAATTCTCAGCTCAAGTCGTCAATGAAAAAACCTTTCGATTTGGTCAATACCAATATACATTAATCAGTGACTAATTCAAGATTTTTATTATAATTTTCCATTAGCTGGCAGTTATGTTTTTAATTTTATTTGAGCCTCGGCTCTCGCACAAGATCGAAAACATGCACTCGTTATTTTTTATTCGTGTCGGTCGACATAGATCTAGTGATTGTGACTGTGAGTGGTTAAGTGGTTTGCGTTTGGATTTTCTTGAATACGGTAGTTATTGTGTTCACTTTTGCATACAAAAATATTACAAGATGCAAATTTTGGCATGAATTTGTCTTGGTAAGATTATTTTGTAGACTAATTTAAAGCTGCGTACAACGTGCCCAGTGTCTATTTGCCTATTGCCTGTATTGAATGTGTGGTTATTGGGAACTGCAAAGGCCAAAGCAGCTGGCAAAGAAGGGTTTCATTCATGATGAAAATATTTTTGTGTCATAGAGTGGAACATTTACCATCGTGAATCTGATAATTTGGTTGTGAGAAAATGAGAAATGACTTTACTTTATCAAGAATGTCTTATTAATTGGTAAATGATTTATGAAATTGTTGATTGCATTGCTTCAGTATTCAGTAATCCACAAGGTTATAACCATTGGAAAAACCCCAACCATCTGTATCCAAAACAGGTTGTCTAATTTTCTAAGAAATAGAAAGACAACAAAAAGCACAAATAAGTGTGCAAATGAATCCTAAAAATGGAGGTTCTTTGAAGAGAGATAGACTTCTAAGGCATTTAATTTACAGCCAAAAGCTGTCCCCCCCCCCCTTCGTCAGCCATGTACATGTGGCTGACAAAGGGGGGGGGGGGGGGAAGGGAGGTAGGGAGGATTGTGAGAGGGTTATTTACATTTAAACCTTATTTTTCAGCAATATACCCACTCTTGAAATTTAAGGGCAATTCACCTTTTTGGGCCTTCCTAAAGTTTTCCATTAAAAGATAATAAAATCATTGTTTGGAATCGTATCTTTTAAACAGATTGAAGTAGTGATTAAAACAAATTAATTGAAATAGCATTGCTCTTTGTCAATCCTGGCATCCCCATTTATGTACAAATCTGGAATTCAGCACTGTATTATTCAATCTAATCATAGGAGATTTTTCTCTTACGAATGACGTACACGAATGACGTACACGAATGATGAGAAATGGTACTGTATCTACTGTACATATGCAAGGGAAAGTAATGTTCTAGTCTTCAAGCACAGGATTCTTATCCTGTTGACTATCTAGTACAGTGTATCTGGTTTCCATAGTCAATGGGTTCAAACAAATCTTCAGGTAACGTCAGCCTGACATGCTTTTCATGCTTTTAGTCTAACCATAAATGTTATTACAAACTTCAGATTCTGTGTACATTGTACGTGATGTACATGTACTGTAGTGTGATTGATTGGAAGGGTACATAGTACATACAGGTTTGTATGTGTCTGCAAGCAAGCAAGCAAATAGTCACAGCGACTTGCCCTTTGATGTGTGTAATAATTGAATTAGCCTTCAGTTCCTGTCCCGTATCATAGGAGAGGATACAAGTGTGTGTGGAATCAAGTCTGTCTCGCAGTCACATGAATTCCAATGGATACATGAATGTGTACTATCCATGCGAGTGCATGCACCTTGTACAAATGTCCTGTCAGGTTCGATACGTCTCCCCATTTGTCTGTGGGGAGATGCGGGGGCCCGACCACTAACTGTTTTTGTGTTCTGTTTCTTCTGTATTGTACATGTATGTGGGGTTCCATGCTGGTTCTATGCTCAAACCACACTCTAAATTCAAGCTGAAAACAGAGGAGTAACCTGTAGATTATAGATGAATTCATAAAATGTGACAGCTCTCAAAGTTAACCCATTGGCTAGTGGCTACTGAATTCTCTTACTTACATACTGTAGGCTTAAAGATAAAGACCAGTTCTGGTCATGCGATTGCATTGTGAAAGAAACATTGTGGAATCGATCAGAAAAGGTTGATCATCTAGCATATACTGTAAGTTCATCAAAATGATAAGAAATTTAGCCCAGTCTTCGTAAAGTTACAAGCACTGTACACAGAAAGATGTATATGGGACTATGCACACGTGCGTGACACGTGCGTGACACGTGCGTATTATCTATTTGATCCCAATAGATAAACTAATTTACCAAATATACCAATTAGTAGGCGGTTTCCCGGCAATTTTTCTATCATGTATTAGTCAAAACATATTCTTTCACATGATTGGTAATAAGAGCTTCCATCTCATTTTTTGAGAGGGGGGCGTTTCCAAAACTGGTCTTTAGCTTTAATACATGGACCACCCAGCCCCCATTGGCAATGGGTTCATTTGTTTACATGTGTATCTCGACTTCTCAATTCCTTGAAAATGTGAAATTGTGCGAATTCAACCTTCCCATATGATCTTGGATTCCTTACAAGTGCGTCATATTGAGGGTAATTTTCTCTGCTCTGTGACTGGTGACCTTTGCTGACCTTGTATAGTGCCAAAGCTGTGAAAATCAGCAGTACTTCCTATAGTGGTGATACTTGTACTGCTGGTCTTACAATGTACATACTGTACACAGTACAGGTAGTCATACATTACTGAACTGTACATACTATGTACCTAGGCCGTAATCGTGTTAACTTATCAAAACAGAAAGCTGTTGGCTGCTCCACATACTTGTAAGCCATAAATTGAACATTTGCAAGTTTATCCAGATGATACTAAAAGAGTTCTGCCAGCCATTTTGACCATTATTGCCTCAGAACTGAAACCAACTTCACATCATAATACTCACACAACAGGTGCATGGGTGTACATAGTGTACATGTTCATTGCACCTGTAGAAAGAGGAAGAAATCACTGTAAATAGAGAGTCTCCCCATCTATTGTAAAATCGTTTAAAAATGAAGATTATAATCTTTAGGTCAATAATATGTTACATGTTGTATGTACATGTATTTGAATGTTTTTAGTCCCATCAAGTTCTAGTGCAAGTTGAAGTATGGGGATGTACATACATGTATATACATGTATGTAAGACATGAAATTGATTTGTGTGTTAACACCAGCTGTCAAGTGAGTGTGTAGGTGTACAGTATACATTTGAAGACAAATTTGTGTCCAGCTGAGCTACATGTACATGTAGTACTGTACAAGATGTAGTAAAATATGTAGGCCTACATGCTGGACAGATCAATCTCAGCATAATTGCTTGTAAATAACTTTATAAGGTCAATAAACAACCCCAAATCATAGGTGATAAATTCAGTCTTGGATATAAAACTGAAGATGAGATTTGGCCATCGATTTGAATTGATCACAACACTGAGATACACATGTAGATGGGGCCCCTCCCCCAATCATATTCTTTGCGCATACATTAATACATGTAGCCGGCCTTGATGTGAAAACGGAATGATTTCATGATGTGCACACTGTACATGTATGTATGTACCTAATGTACATGTACATACCAGTAAAAGGACATTCAGCCTTTTCACACACAGCTAAAATTCATCGTATCTAGAGATGATTAGAATCACTCAACAGTTTTAAACATGTTTATAGACAAAATTTCCCAGTGTGAACATTGTTTATACGATGTTGGGATAGATACGAAGTCGCGATGCATACGCCCCTCAAAGCAGGCTGCAGATACGAAGTTCGTATCTAGAGAGCTTGACATTTTGTGTGTGAAAGGAAATTCGTGTTTAAACGTGTTTAAACTGGATGGAGCGTGCGCTTTGATTGATATGACATGACCTTCAATGCACAATGGCACTACTGCGCATTTTACGAGCAGTAGTTAATCACGAAACTATGAACGATCGCAACGAAATTTCTGTGTGTGAAAGACTCGTGATTAGTTTAAACACGTTTCAAACACGTTTATACTAATCATGTTTATAGAATTTTAGCTGTGTGTGAAGAGGCCAATTGTCATGTACATGTATATGTACATGTCCTTGTAGATGGATGCTACAATGCAGACAGACAGTTAAAATGTGTACACATCCCCCAGGCATTCCATAACATGTCAAAAATATGAGATGATGAACAGTGTGTGCTGATTTGTAGCCTATTTGAGTTCAATTTGTTCTGTGTGCATTTATTACACTTGGGACAAAATTGCCGTTTGCACACACAAGTATGACACAACCACCCAGATGCTTCGTTATGGAATCCAGTTCCATGATGGAAATGCATTTCAGAGTCAGAAGAAGGGTGTTTGACTCAGTTTGAAAGTACATGTACTGTATGCATCCCTCATGGCTGTCAGCAGATGATTAAAAAATTGTAGATTTTATACATGTAAATGTAATCATGTACATAGGCCATCTAAAAAAAAAAATCATGTTCAGCGTTCCCGCCCGGTTCCTTTTGGGGGGCCGCCTCCTTTTTTCAAATGTTTTTTTTTTTATAATTATTTTTTTAAAGAAAAAAAAACATGAAAAACTTACTGCAAAAATAATCTATTTCTGATTAAAAACAAACAAACAAATGCTGGTGGCCATCTTAAAAAACAGCCCGACTGTCAGGGGAAAAGTACTGAGTGGCCATTTTGAAAGAAAAAAAAATAAGGGCCTCCTCCTTCCGGCTTACGGCTTCTTACATGTATGTGCTCAGCATATATGATGCACATAATGCATTATGCCTACATTGAATCGAGAAACAAATATTGGCAGTGCAGACTTTAATATTACGCATATTGTACACGAAGCTGTCTTTAGCTGATAAAGACCTGCCAGTCTGGTTGCACATGCAAATCTAATGTGATGGTATTGAAAACATTA